CGTAAAGGGTGTAATCGAACGTGAGTTGGGAATTAAAACAAACTGGTCTAATGAAGAAGTCTGTGAAGGCTGTATTTTCGGAAAAGCACATAGACGGAAGTTTGGTGTACGTGAAAGAGCAACTGCACCTGGACAACTTATTCACACAGATGTTTGTGGACCCTTCCCAAGTTCTACATCAAAATATAAGTATTTTGTTTTATTTAAGGACGACTACACACGATTTCGCTATGTCTACTTTCTACGTGAAAAGTCAGAAGTATATCAAAAATTAGAAGATATGCTAGCTGAAGCTAAGACAGTAGGACATACAGTCAAGGAACTGCTCAGCGATAACGGCGGAGAGTTCGACAACGAAAAAGTAAAAAAATATTCTAAAAAGGAATGGTGTTAAGCAACGGCTGGTGATGCCATATACACCAGAGCAGAATGGTTGTTGTGAACGTGACAACAGAACCATTGTTGAATCTGCTAGAGCAATGATGCATGCGCATGAGGAGTTGCCACAATACTTGTGGGCTGAACTCGTGAACACGGCTGTCTATATTTTAAATAGGACTGGACCGTCGAGTATAGAGAAGAAATCTCCCTATGAACTCTGGTATGAAAGAAAACCACAAATTAAGCATTTGAGAATAATTGGTTCTTTATGTTATGCACATGTACCAAAACAAAAAAGAAAGAAATTGCAAAAGAAAGCAGATAAATGTATTTTGATTGGTTATGATAACGATGATGGCTATAGACTTTGGAATAAAGCTTCGAATTCTTTAATAAGGTCTCGAGATGTTGTTATCAATGAGAATCCAATCGAATCAAGGTTCGTTGATGTGTCAACTAAACAAATTGAAGAGAATGAGATAGAGATTCCTCTTCAGAAAGCTTCGATCGCTACAAATGATCGTATTAATACTGCAAGAGAAGAAAGTCCTTTGATAGAGACTTCTCCAAGCTCGCCTATTGATGATGAAGTATTTGATGATACGAGAAATGATGTTCATGAAGAAGAAATTGAACTGGATGAAGCAAATGGGGAAGATATTAATAATAATATTCCAGAAGGTCTTCGAGATCTTGAGATATCTGAGCAAGGTGCTAGAGTATTGAGAGATCGTGCATTACTTAGACTTCCTGCTAAGTTCAATGATTATATTATGAACACCGAATGGACTGGTTACTCAGAACCAAGTTGCTATAAAGAAGCGATACAAAGTCCGGAAAGTAAGCTATGGAAAAAAGCTATGGAAAGTGAAATTTCTTCTTTAAAAGAAAATGGAACTTGGATTTTAACAGAACTACCGAAAAATAGGAAGGCTATTCCATGCAAATGGGTCCTTAAAGTGAAACTTAATGCAGATGGAACAGTTGATAAGTATAAATCTAGACTTGTCATAAAGGGATTTCGACAGAAGAAAGGCATTGATTACTATCAGACATTTAGCCCAGTAGCTAAGATGGCAACGATTAGAGCTGTCTTGAGTATCGCGGCTAGTGAGGAAATGTATATGATGCAATTCGATGTTTCAACTGCTTTCTTGTATGGATCCTTGGACGAGGAGATTTTTATGTCTCAACCGGAAGGTTATGACGATGGCACTGGACGCGTATGCTTATTAAAAAGGAGTCTGTACGGCTTGAAACAAGCTCCGAGATGTTGGAACAAACGAATACTAGATTTTTTCAAGAGCGTGGATTTCAAAGCTTGTGATGCTGATCCTTGTCTCTTCGTACGAGACAACGATAAGGGGAAGATTATTGTAGCTTTGTATGTGGATGACGGCTTGGTGGCAGGATCTTCACAGATGCTAGTAGATGAATTTTTTGAAGATCTGAAAGGTACTTTCAAAATTACTATGAAGCCTGCATGCTATTTTTTGGGAATAGAGATAGAAAAAAGAGAAGACGGCCTACTGATAGCTCAAGCTGGTTACACAAGAAAACTTTTGAAGCGTTTTGGTATGGAAGATTGTCGTCCTGTTATGACGCCCATAGTTAAGGATGATGTGGAACAAAAGCACAATACGTGTGATTTAACTCCAATCCTGGAAAATTATCGGCAGATTGTTGGTGCATTAGCTTACCTTATGGTTGGCACACGTCCAGATATCGCCTATGCTGTAAGTGTTGTATCACGGAATTTAGAAAAACCAACTGAGACAGATTGCGTTAGGGTGAAACGTATTATGCGTTATCTCAAATATGCTCCTGAAGCTGGAATTTTGTACAAGAAATATTATAAGAACAAAATATTGGAAAGCTATAGTGATTCAGATCATGGAGGTTGTATTACAACAGGAAGATCAACGTCAGGAGTACTGTGCCTCTATGCGGGTGGTCCTATCTCATGGTTAAGCCAAAGACAAACTAGTGTAGCAATTTCTACAACGGAAGCAGAAATAGTCGCTGCTAGCGAAGCAGCTAAGGAATGTATCTGGCTAACTAGGTTGTTTCGAGAACTGGTAGGCTTGAAAGAACTTCCTGTGTTGAATGTGGATAATGAAGCTGCTATTAGATTAGCTGAGAATCCGGAATTCCACAAGAGGACTAAACATATTCGGATTCGTCATTTCTTTGTTCGTGAGCTTGTTATAGCTAGAGAGCCAGTGATAAAGAAAGTTCACACTGGACTACAGTTGGCAGATATATTCACAAAACCTCTGCCTAGACCTCGTTTGTGGAAAATCCTAGCGTCAATAGGTCTCCACACCGAGAGAAGATGTTAATACTTTTTGGTTGGTTCCAAAATTTAAAATGCGGTGTGACACCTATTGCGTGTGTTGCCTAGCGATTGTTGACTGTCGTTTTTATTACGAAAATAGAAAATTAGTAGGTGATTTAAATATTATTTTTATTTATATATCAAGTGATATTGTGTGTTCGTTTATATATATTTTGTGTTATTTGTTTGGACCTTATAAACTGTATAACTGAACTCTTCAAAGATTGGTAGTAAGAATTAGCAGAATTGTCAGTAGATTTCACTTATACAGTTTATAAGGTCCAAACAAATAACACAAAATATATATAAACGAACACACAATATCACTTGATATATAAATAAAAATAATATTTAAATCACCTACTAATTTTCTATTTTCGTAATAAAAACGACAGTCAACAATCGCTAGGCAACACACGCAATAGGTGTCACACCGCATTTTAAATTTTGGAACCAACCAAAAAGTATTAACACTACCTTGGGATGAATTACACAGGCTTCATAGTAATTTTGAAAGTACCTTTCAGATCTTCAAAAAATTCATCTACTAGCATCTGTGAAGATCCTGCCACCAAGCCGTCATCCACATACAAAGCTACAATAATCTTCCCCTTATCGTTGTCTCGTACGAAGAGACAAGGATCAGCATCACAAGCTTTGAAATCCACGCTCTTGAAAAAATCTAGTATTCGTTTGTTCCAACATCTCGGAGCTTGTTTCAAGCCGTACAGACTCCTTTTTAATAAACATACGCGTCCAGTGCCATCGTCATAACCTTCCGGTTGAGACATAAAAATCTCCTCGTCCAAGGATCCATACAAGAAAGCAGTTGAAACATCGAATTGCATCATATACATTTCCTCACTAGCCGCGATACTCAAGACAGCTCTAATCGTTGCCATCTGGTTAATTGTAGCTTTGTATGTGGATGACGGCTTGGTGGCAGGATCTTCACAGATGCTAGTAGATGAATTTTTTGAAGATCTGAAAGGTACTTTCAAAATTACTATGAAGCCTGCATGCTATTTTTTGGGAATAGAGATAGAAAAAAGAGAAGACGGCCTACTGATAGCTCAAGCTGGTTACACAAGAAAACTTTTGAAGCGTTTTGGTATGGAAGATTGTCGTCCTGTTATGACGCCCATAGTTAAGGATGATGTGGAACAAAAGCACAATACGTGTGATTTAACTCCAATCCTGGAAAATTATCGGCAGATTGTTGGTGCATTAGCTTACCTTATGGTTGGCACACGTCCAGATATCGCCTATGCTGTAAGTGTTGTATCACGGAATTTAGAAAAACCAACTGAGACAGATTGCGTTAGGGTGAAACGTATTATGCGTTATCTCAAATATGCTCCTGAAGCTGGAATTTTGTACAAGAAATATTATAAGAACAAAATATTGGAAAGCTATAGTGATTCAGATCATGGAGGTTGTATTACAACAGGAAGATCAACGTCAGGAGTACTGTGCCTCTATGCGGGTGGTCCTATCTCATGGTTAAGCCAAAGACAAACTAGTGTAGCAATTTCTACAACGGAAGCAGAAATAGTCGCTGCTAGCGAAGCAGCTAAGGAATGTATCTGGCTAACTAGGTTGTTTCGAGAACTGGTAGGCTTGAAAGAACTTCCTGTGTTGAATGTGGATAATGAAGCTGCTATTAGATTAGCTGAGAATCCGGAATTCCACAAGAGGACTAAACATATTCGGATTCGTCATTTCTTTGTTCGTGAGCTTGTTATAGCTAGAGAGCTAGTGATAAAGAAAGTTCACACTGGACTACAGTTGGCAGATATATTCACAAAACCTCTGCCTAGACCTCGTTTGTGGAAAATCCTAGCGTCAATAGGTCTCCACACCGAGAGAAGATGTTAATACTTTTTGGTTGGTTCCAAAAAGTATTAACATTAATCATCTCCGATCCATCCGTGTTCCATTCCCAACTTCTATTCTTACTCTACTTTCTTCCAATGATCCTATTATCTATAAAATACTATCTTCATATATATATGATAACAATATTAAGATTTAGTTATATTACATGAATACATTTATAGTTGCATCAATTGCTTTTCCTATATATTTATAAGTATATTCTCATATGTACAAGTATATCCTTCATATCCTATAAATATCCTAGACCTAATCCTTATCCTTTCTAAATTCGTTTGTGTTAGATATTTTTATTACTATTATCGTTTCCCCGTTTTGTTCTTGGCAAAATACCCTAATATCGGGGTGAACGCCACAAAAAAAAAAAAAAAAAAAAAAAAAAAAGGCGTTACTTGTTTAATACTGACTACACCGATTTCTTCAACATTTAAGCGGTCTATTTTAACGTTTCTTTTTTTAATAAGATTTACTAAAAACGATAAGACGCATTAGGAAATGGGTTGTTTCTTTTTTAATTGCATGATCTTTATTGCTCGGCATTTATTGATCGGCTTACTTCTTCGCTTCATCATCTGTAATAATTTATCCACAAATTATACACTAATGCGATGCGAATAAGGATGTATTAAAAATATAAAAAAAAATATGTAAGAAGATTTGTCTTATTTTTGATAGGTATTTTTTATCTGTGATTATTATAAGTCATTTACGTACACTAAAAATATTACACATTTTATAATTTAATTTCAATTGGATCATATCATATAATAAAATGGCCGAAAGCGATATGAAGTCATTAATGACCTTTTCGTCCAAGTCAGAGGCTAGTACAGCACTCGCGTCACGGTCACGATGGAGGAACGCCCCGTTGCATGAACGATGTACTATGGTGGACATGATTAAAATCAAAGAAGCTTTTCAGACAGCCTACAGAAACGTACTGTTGCCAACTGAGTTCCGAAATGTTTTAAGCACTTTACTCAATGTGGATTATGATGACGAGGAATTTCAAATCCTTTTCATGAAGGTGTACTTCTACCTAATTGACTTAGATTTAAAATTACATTATAAACGTAATTAGAAATAACTGTAACACAAAATATTCGTCAATTTGTTTTATAATTCTTTAATGTTGTGACAGTCTTCTTGGCTCATGTACCTATCCTATTATAAAATATACTGAATTCTCTGAGCACGTTCATACACGGTTCATTAACCTTCCTTTTTTTAAATACTAGGAAAGTAATTTTAACTAATGATCTAAAGAAAACTAAAACTGACTTGGCTGAGAAATTCGCATCAGACACACTAGGAGAATCGAGTCCCAGGCTTCTTTACTTTCTTCCCTCAATTTTATATACCTACGACTAGCTTCTTCGTTGTATTTATAAAATAAGAATGAATGAATGGTTTATTTTCGAATGAATGAATGGTTTAGATAGATAATAAAAACATAATATCAGAATACAAAATTGTATTTTAAATAATATTATTTCATCAAAAAAGATCAATACAAACCGAAACGGCGAGATCGGCTGGGATGAGCTTGTTTCGCATCTTCTGTTGGGTTACTTTGCCAATGACCCAGAGAACCAGAGAGAGTCACTGCAACCGCCGATCATGGGCCTTCCCACCGTAATGCGCTCTCAGCATCGGCATCCCATATCCAGGATATGCTTTTGTCCTGATGTGTCGAAGGTATAATTCAACGAGAGAAGTAAATAGCTTAGTCAGTTACTATCAGTTTAGAGAGTATATATTCTTTATTGCACTTGTAAGTTACATATAAAATAATCTATTTATAAATGTTGTGAGCAAGGGTGGACTTATCTCTGACAGAGATCTCTTCCAGTCAACCCAGTACAGTAAGAAAGCATTTCGTTAGCGGGCAGCTGAAGTGCCACAACTATTAATACATAAACAAATATACAGTTAAATAAAATATTAAAATATATAATAAAATATTACATAAATACATACACTATAAATATGTACAATACCTACCTACTTATATAGTATATGTTAAAATAAATTAATATACTAATAGTAATAGATAATCAATAAATTGTATTGTTTTAATAGATGATAATGGAATGGTAACCTCGCCTGCGCTAACGATATACGCTGGCGGGGCACCAGTAAGGGATGATTGGTGAGAATGAAAACTCAAGTTAGTTAGCCCATTAAGATGAATACGCCTGAAATTCAGCACAATTCCAGGTGTATTCATCACGGTTTCCAGGGAGGACTACGTGAATGTCGACCTCACAGGGTACATTGCTAGCAACGGGACTAGTAGTCCGCATTACTAACAATCCCCCCTACGTATCTGCAAGAGTAAGTACACCTGTACTACCCGTGTTTTGGAGATATTTGTCCTTATATAACTATGCTTTAGTTTGAAGAAGAATAAAGGATTGATTTTCCAACGTTCGGAGGCATAACACCATAGTCCTCAGGAATAGTATCGCATTAGGGATACTGTGGATATCAGAGTATATTTTGTGTATGTATAATATTAGAGTCTTCATGTCTCTAAGCAACGGCTACTACTTTTATCAAGGAGCCAAAGGCTTGTTTCCCAATTTCAAGTATAAAAAGAATGTTCAATTATAAATCTTCACACAGGATCGTAGTACAGACCCTATGCAAGGTACATACATAACAGCAAGTCGCGATGGCATGATCAACTGGTGGTCACTGGATATGTCGTTGCTGAGAACTGCCTTTTCGTCCAGCCGTTAGTCCTACTAATTTCTTACGAAAACTGAATTTGTTGATAATTCTTTGCTAAGCAAATTAATTTGTAAAGTTGGTTGGTTTCGAATATGCAATCCAAAATTTGTACATATGCGGAGCTAAATGATGAATCCTATGAAATTAAAGGTCTGTCACTATTCTGTCCGAAGTTCTAACTATTTTCTACAACGAGATTGTTGTGCTGGCAAGCATAGCGCATCGCAGCCCTTAAACGGGTGCAACACCAAAAGCATGCATGCTTGCCCGAACCCTTATGTGTGGCATAAAAATGTTCAATCACATTATTTAATAATTTCCCCGAAATATCTCACCTGTCAAAATAAATCACGTACAATAACCCATTTGTTGACCAAGTTGGTTGGACAGCCATACTCATGCTTCAAACCGGAACTCGCAGTCAATAGTATTATTTATTTTTTACACAGAGTTGGTTTTTGATATAGCAGTCCTGACAACTGATGATGATGATAATTGCAGCTCACCTGAAGGTCAGCACGACCTGGGTCACGGATATGGTGTGCATGCCCGACGTGAACATTGTCGTAACAAGTTCCACAGAGCGCGACCTACGTTTCTATGACTGTACTGCTAAGACATTCACCCTCAAGATAATCATTACTAGTTGGGAATACATGGTAAGCTGCAGTCTTGCATCATGATTCACAGTCATCGTTTTTTGGATAGCAAATTTTAAATGGTAAAATAAATTATAGATCTTATACTATATAAGATCCTGAATTTAAAATTAAACAAAGTGTTAACAATTATCAAATTCAACATCAGGCATATTTAAGATGGAAGGGGAGGCGTGCCTATCCCACAATTGTCTAGTGCCTACCAGTGCGAGCAAAACCTTCGGCTACGCGTAAAATGAAGTTCTAAGATATAATAATGCGTCATTTTTAAAGAGACCAGGCCGTGTCGTCCTGGAAAATAATCTTAAATAATCAAAGGTCATTCTCTTATTTTATTCGCCATTCTCTTATTTCTAAAATCCACGTAATATATATAAAATTCAAATTACACACAGATCTGCACGATGTACTACCAATATCACAAAGATGCGAATGAGAAGTGCATCCTCATTTGCGGCGACGTGGGAGGCAACGTGCGAATACTGCTGTTCTCGCCTGTGAAGCGCGGCCCCTTCCGCAACCAGGCCGGCCGTGCGCTGATCCAGTTGCGACACGTCGACCTGCAGCGGAAGGTGATCCTCCAAATTTGTGCTATATGACTGTTTGACAGAAATTACTGTGTAAGATTTTATGAAGTTACAAGTATAAAATAAGTGTCTACTTAAAACTGTAACACTGATAACTTAGAAACTGATAGACATCGTACAACCTAAATTGATGATTTTTAGGGAAATTTCCTAATAAATCTGGCAGTTTTGCCGCTTTGGACAAAAATTATATTTTCCTGCTGTCAATTTTGTCATGCCTCATTTTTGTCGCTCTAGGTATCTACCTGAACGACGCCCTTTAATTTGGCCACAGTGTAATAATCACGACATATTAGCCCCAAGTGCTGCCGGAGATGCGGCTGGTGGAGCTGCAGCGCGTGCACTCGGAGTGGGTGCGGCAAGTGTCGTTTTACGCGTCGCTGCATTGCGTCGTCTCGTGCGCCACATGCGCGGACTCGCTGCTCATGTGTGACCTCGCCGGCTCCAAGACGCATAACATGTTTCGAGTTGACAAGGTGCAACAGGGTTATTTTTAATAAGTGTAAAACTCCTGTTCAATTTTGTTTTACCAAAATTTTAATTATATTTTCAACATAAGGTCCCCAGAAAAGCTGATGCTTCCGCAATAAAGAAGAAAACGTTTTATAAAATACTTTCTTGGGACATCGATTTTTATGAAAGTTCGAAACTAAAAAAAACTCATCGAAATTAGATACGAGTAGATAAATCAGCCAACAGAATTTCAGTTTTTATGCGATCTCCAAAAGAAAATAATTATTGATTTATAAGTTTCACTGCATTAGGTAGGCGATAACGTTCAGGTCAGAAGGAAACTTTGTAATAAATATCATCTGCTTAGATATCCTTCTATGTGTATGAAGCAGCTATGTGTATATTCGATTTGAAAGATAAGACAGTAAAATTACAGGGTACGGGAACATAACATAGTTTTATGAGCTGGTATATCGCATAAAAGGTATCACGGTCTTTGTAGAATATCAGTGATATCTCTATAGTAACGTCTTCTTACTCCATCACCAAATGGTCTTAAGATGCAAATTATAGAAGATAAAAATTAGCATAATCAGTGGGAACTCGTTCCAAATCGTTCCCAAGCCTGATGGTACTTCAGGGCATTCAGTGCTTCGCGTTCGACGAGGAAGCGCATGTGCTGGTGACTGGCGGACCGGACTGCGCGGTGCGCGTGTGGAATCCGTTCGTGCCGACGCGGCCCGGTGCCGTGCTGACGGGTCACCGCGCCGCCATCACAGCCCTCGTGCTACAGAATTCCGGCCAGACCATCTACTCGCTCTCGCGCGACCGCGTCATCAAAGTCTGGGACGTGCAGGGACAGGTCTGCGTGCAGGTCAGCTTATAGTAATTTTTCTCGCAACGTATAATCAAACGTGACTTACTAATCCAAAAAGGATGTTTCTGGTGAAGTGGTAACAAATATAACAACCACTATTTATCCAGAGTTTAGATATCTCCCAATACTATAAGAAATCAAGATTGGAAAATAGTCCCAGAGTTCTATGGCACTATTATACACCTGAAAGATGCATCCCGCCCTTTACTTCATACTCATATATGCCGCATGCATTAACATTTCATTATAGATAGCTGATAAAGGAGGGTTTTTTATGCAACTTAGAATGGCAAACAAGCTGACGGCCCACCTGATGGTAAGTGGTAACCGTTGCCTATAGACATTAACAGTACTGTGGACATAACAGGATATACTGTTTTGTCCATGATAATGTGTTGCCATTCCTGAGAACACAGCTATTATTCCTTTGTACCCTGTAATTTCACTGCCATATCCCACTCTTCAAACCGAAACACAGCCATGCAAACACAACTGCTTCAAGGTAGAGACACGAATGGGATAGAGGTGTTCAAGCAAATAACTTTTGTACAAAGTCTACATCTGGTATTATGCAGAAATAACATAAATATAATGTATGTTATTAGACATACATAGACATCCCCTCGCAAATCGGCGAGCGGACTCCGATATCGGCCGTGTACAACAAAGCAACTCGAGAGCTGATCCTCGCAGCCATGAAGATAGCAGTGCTTGTCTTGGATGAGCAGCTCAACCCTCAACACACCGATGGTTTCACGCACTCGCGTGCTGTAGCCAAGATACTATACAATCCCTTATTCAAAGTCGTTATCACTTGTGGCATGGACAGCATTATTATCAATTGGGATCCGGTTACAGGTTATTGCCATAAACTTATCACTATTATATCATCATCACACATCATCACTATTATTATCATAATCATCTTAATAACTCATTAATGTTAAATACGGTTTTTTTTTATAAACAATAGGATTTAATATAGTCTTACTTCGATATTTCTTTTCTTGCACTAGATATTGTGTATTGTTTACCTAAATAACTCATAATAATTTTCGGGAAAGATAGAATATCCTGTTTTGTCTGGCCGTTCACGAAGATACTGTTTACGAAACTAGATCTAATTGTTGTAGGAAGGTTAGGTTTGGGGATTTATTTAATCTGAATCTTCATAATCCTCCACCCACAAATCAAATCCAGGATCTTTTAAATAATTCTCAACTAACTCGAAATTTGACTATCATTTCTTTCTATATATCCCTATCAATAAGTGTAATCGACTGTAAATAATTGCGTAAAGGTAAACGCAATGCGATGGTCCGCGACGCCCACACGCGACTGTTGCACGGTGAGCTGATCCCGGTCGAGATCACGGCGGCTTGCTTTGATCCTGGCTGGCAGCTACTGGTTACTGGCGCACGCAATGGCACTCTTAAAGTACTAGTGATACCTTTGCCTCTTAAACTAGCGATTCCTAATATGGCTTCCGTAAAAAAGTCTCCAGGGTTCTGCGAAATTATTTATACAGTGAAAGAATTTCATTCTTCACATTAAAAAATAAATGACGCTATAAAGTTATTTTAAAATATTTCTAATAAAAGCTTTTGTTCTTATTTAAATTACAATGTTTTCGATTTGTAATCATTTGATATGGGGTTCCATGAAATAAAAGGTATTTGGTGGGCGTTTCTTAATCTTCAGTTTAGGAACCTCTGTCTTAAACCATTTTCAGTTACATAATTTTTTCAAACATGACCATCAAGGGTTTGGATACATTCTACGTAGACCTTGATAAAAGATTATGCAGGGTTATCATGAATGAATTTGTTAAAATAATTTAAAAGGTTTGGATCATCAAAAATTAAAACAGATTTCTATGCTCAGGTATGGAACTTCAATACTGGCTTGTGTCTAAGGAATATGGCAATCGAACACATGTGTGAAGTTACGAATTGTTTTTGGGTAGAGGGGAGGTACGTAGCTATGTTATAATACTAAAAAGTGGGGGGAAAGGGATTGTTAGTAATGGAGACTGAGAATCCTATTGCTAGCAATATACCCAACCAGGTCGACCTCCTCGCGGTTCCCCCTGGAAACTATCATGGTTAATTCCTGATGAATTCATCATGATGGGCTAACTGGCCTGTTTTCATTCTCATCTATCACCCTTCACTGGTGCTCCGCCAGCGTATCCCGTTAGCGCAGGCGGGGTTACTATACCAATTTCATCCATCAAAAAAATATATACTAAAAAGTAGTTTGATAAAACTTTACTTCCTTAATCCTAAAAAGTTCTTTTTTAATATTAAAAAGGAATGTTAAAACCCGTCTGCGTTATGGGTTTACCCTGACTGGTGCTCATTATTGAGGAATGGTATTTGTAGATGAAGTCAGGTCAGTTGACTCATGGTGATGATTTTATCAGGAATTAATCACGATGGTTTCCAGGGAGAAAGGAGTGGAGGTTGATTTCACAGAGAATACTGTTAGCAAAGGGGCAATTATCGCCCATTATTAACAATCCCTACTCCCTCCCAAAGGAGTATATTAATATAGTCCAGGCTTTGTAGTTACATTTTGGTTGCTCTTTTATGCAACTTTAATATGGCAAACAAGCTGACGACCCACCTGATGGAAAGTGGTAACTGTCGCGTATAGATATGAATAGTACCATAGACAGAGTACATTGTGTTGCTTATGATTATGCCAAGGATCCTGGCCGTGGGGTGGAACCGTCATGTGACGGAGTTTGAAGACACCGGCACGGCAAGTAGCGGTAAAAGCTGGGAGACGAGGCACAGTGACGACGTGCTGGCGGCGGCTGCACGCTCGCCGCTCTCGCTTGCCACTGCCTCCTACAACTCAGAGCTGCTGCTCTGGAAACTAGAGACGGGTCAACCCTACAGGTGATACACAGAACATGTAAAGATATTTTTGTGATGTGGGGTTATTTTACCACACTTTCTTTAAATTGAGTTTAAGTTTATAGTATTTCGCTAACATATTTACGTTTGACCTGTCAAATAGATATAGGTACTCAGGCTAGGTTACTATTTCATTTTCATCCATTAAAACGTCATATATTTGGTTTCAGACGGTTTTCGTGTACAGATCCAATGCTACGCATCAAAATGCACTACAAGAAGCGAGACGTATCGCGTACCACTTCACCGACAGCCACTACCACCCGCCGCGCCTCCACGCCTCTTCTTAGGTACTGTGTTTGTATGGTTGTGTACGATAACGATTGAGAATATGCGTCAGGTGTTTTGATGCACAACACTCAATCTGTTCTTAACAGTAATTTTACGGTCGGCGTGCAGTGTATATGTGTATGTGCGTATTTGGTATAGGCGCATTTAAGGGGGAGGATTTTTTTTTGATGGGTGAAAATGGTATGGTAACTCCGCCTGCGTTAACGGTATACGCTTGCGGAGCACCAGTGAAGGGTGATAGATCAGAATGAAAACAGGCCAGTTAGCCCATCATGATGAATTCATCAGGAATTAACCATGATAGTTTCCAGGGAGAACTCCGAGGAGGTCGACCTGGTTGGGTTATATTGCTAGCAATGGGATTCTCAGTCTCCATTACTAACAATCCCTTTCCCCCCTAAGGGGGAGGGTGTATGAGCCGTGCCCATCCCATTATGGCTTGATGCCCTTCTTAGGATGTAAACGGAGCTTTTAACTATGCGCAAAGATAGGTTTAGACCTCTTTTAAACTCCCTCTGGAAAATGTGGTCACAGACTGAGCGTGCGTGAGCGTGGTGCAGTATGTGGGTGTGTAGAAAACTAGGTAAACGTGAGGTGACTCCTTGGCGCCATGTGTATGCAGCACGAGCGCGCGGCTGTCGACGCCGACGGTGGGCGCGGCGGTACACAAGGCGCGGGCGCGGCGCGTGTCGCTGGGCGCGGCGCTGCCGGCGCGCGCGCAGGCCATGCGCCAGCTGGCCGTGCACGCCATGATCTTCCTCGAGACACGCCCCTGCACCATGCACGACGGTCGGTGCCACTGTGCCTCTTTTTGCTTCATCTTAACATAATTATTTACCTATTTTATAAATAGTTCTCTGACTCCAGCACATTCTTACATTAATTTTATACTTCGACCAGTGTCCCTAATTTCTTAAACATTAAGGTTCCGCGTGCCCGTCCCAAATTAATCAGCATGAATGAATAAATTATAATTCCTAAAAGGCAGCTCGCTTTAGCACCGTTTTGCGTCCCTCTTAAAACATCACCAAAACCAAATCAATCACAAACAAAAAACAAACAAAAATGAATGGCAAAACCCTTCCTTATGGGGGGGGGAGGCCCATATTCAGCAGTGGACAGATCATGTGAAAATTTGGATCCTTATTTGGATCAACCTGTCGACTCCATCTGTATGCTTTCGTGCAGCGGCCCTGATGGTTGCGCTGGAGAACGGCCAGGTGCAGGGATGGTCAGATCACCCAGCGGGCGGGTTCCAGGGCTCGTTCCAGGGAGTCCACACTGTGGGCGATTATGTATCTGCCTTCGCTACAGACAGCGCTAATCGATTCCTGTTTACTGGCACCACAGTGGGATACATCAAAGTGTGGCTGATGACAAACTATCTCATGCAAGAACAAGTGAGCGCATAACGAATTTATAAGTACTTGACTTTATTCAGGTATAATAGATATATAATTATGAATATTAGAAAATTGGGCGTCAAATAAATAAGTTCTCGTTACTCAGAGTTAGCACACTCGTAACATTTACTTTAGTTGAGAGACTTGTGCTACGGTAAAACAATTTTGAAGTCTTTCAGATTTCTCATGCGACGCAATTTTTTAGGTAAGATATTATGGCCAGTATATCTAATATAATTCTAGTGTCCATTAACACGATAGGTTCACGTGAATATGCCAGAGCTGCGAGTGCAGTTTCCGTTCCTGTGGCGGGACCGCATCGAGGGTCGCGCGAAGCGAGCCGTACGCGACCAGCCGCTACCGCTGCTGCTCAGCAGCTACCGCGCCCACCTGCGTTCCATCACCACCATGGCCTATATAGAGCATATGAAACTGGTTCTTAGGTCTCTGTAATCATGCTTCATAGTTTGCTTGGTGAAGTTCTCGTGCCCAATCAGACAGTTCTGTAGGCCAAATTAGTATTTTAAAGAAGCTCATTTTTAAAGTTTCACTATTCCATCATCTTTACTAACATCGAACCTGTACAAAAAAATTGTTATAAATACATGACTTTTGTCGTCTTGTACCAGCATAGAATAGGCTATCCCTTCCTTTCCTGTGAGTCTCGTAAGAGGCGATAAAGTGAGAGCGAGGGATGATCAGCAGCGTCCCTCTTAAAACATCTCCAAAGGCTAACTGCGGCTGCCAATCTGCCTTCCAAGCGTGGTAACTACTGGCAAAACTCGCAGGGGAGTGGCATATATTCAGCAGTGTACAGTGAAAATGATGATGATGATGATGAAACTCATAACTAAATTTCGAAATTAAATTAATTTTTAACAAATTTTTGTTTTATCAAAAAAACCATACCATAGTTTTGCGTTCTTCCTACTTAAAATATTGGGTACGGTTGTTTGATCACAACGGCAGCAGCCTATGGCATTGCTGATGGTTCGCAGACCTTGCGATGAGGAGTGAAAGGGGAAGGAAAGAACTTTTGGGGAGCTCTACTAGTGCTCCCGGGGCCCTTTTATTACTTATGGAAGTTATGGAGCAGGGACTATTATATTGTTTTTTTATACAACTTAGAATGGCAAACAAGCTGACGGCCAACCTGATGGTAAGTGGTATCCGTCGCCTATAGACATGACCAGTACCATGGACATAACAGAGTATACTGTTTCGCTTATGATACCCTCCATGCGTTGCCATTCCTGAGGACTCAGATGTTATTCCTCTGTACCCTGTAAATTCACGCCATATCCCACGTTTCAAACCGAAACATAGCCATGAAAACACAACTGCTTCATGGTAGAAACAGCTACGCCACTGAAGCAATCAATTAAATTTCTGTTGGTGATTTTATTATCAATGCTCGGTTTAGTGGAAGTTCAGACTACAGTGTACGTGTGTGGCGGCTGTCTGGAGAGTACTTGCAAACATTGGGAAGCTTTGTGCCCTGGACATTAGATACCACCAGATTCCCGCCCGATGTCAAAAAAGTTGCCAGCTTCACCACTTTCAAGGTTTGGCAAATTTATACTTACTTATAATTGTTTTTTTATTTACATGTTTCGATACATTACTGCAAACCACAATGTGTGTCACACAGCAAAATGCCGATAGGTTCGTCCGCTGCGACGGGGTAACGTACACTGTTTGAAGACCTGATTGGATCCTAACCTCTTTTCTTTTGTGTAAAACAAATTGGACATGATTAATGGGCTGGATATATTTTGAAAGGAACTTTTCTAAAGAATCTTGTGTCTGAGGAATTCATTTTTGAGCAAAAAAATCTACTTATACAGAGCAATCACAACACATAGGTGACTTTGTCGCCAAATATAATACTTTACACTGCTTTATGATAAGGATTGTAAATATATAATAGATTTGGAGTTATGTTCTTAAAAGTTTTTTGTCTGGTTTCTTAAGAACCAAGAACACTAGATCATTTCTGTGATGATCAAAGTAATTTAGGAAATGGGAAGAGTGTTAGTAAATGAAATCAACAATATATCCTGTCAGACAAATTTCAGAGGTCTCTCATGGAAACCATCGTGGTTAATTCCTGCTGAACTCCATTCTCGACGATTCAATTGACTCAGGTCAGCTCAGGCTTATTCTCATTCATAATTCTTTATTGGTATCCCGCCAGCTTAAAATCGCGCTGGTTTATCATCTATAAATACCCGAATTTCTGTGCGTGTATAAGGTGTGGCGATCGGGCTGGGTGTCGCGGTATGTGCCAGGGCAGGTGGAAGTGGACCACCTGCGCGACATCACCGAGCAGGAGCTACGTACCAAGACGTATGGCACGACGCCGCCCGAGCCACTGCTCGGCCGCTACTTCGAGCTGCCCGCGCGGCCCGACCGCCACGACCCCATACAGCTCGATGACTCGCTACACACTGTGAGTGGGTTTTTTTTATTTTTGTGTTATGAAAGCAGCATTTGTTTTATTTATCTGTGCTTACTTTATATAATTTTATTTATTTCCATTTATCTTGTAGGTTGAATAACTTGATTATTGCAGTTTGAGTCTATGCTGATATTGTATTCATAAAGTAAATTAGGTATTAATGCAGAAGACTTGGAGAGAAAGGATTGTTAGTAATGGAGATTAGCAATCCCATTGCTATCAATATACCCTATCGGGTCGACCTCCACGCGGTTCCATTATGATTGATTTATTGTTAAATTCGTCATGATGAGCCAACTGATCTGCTTCATCATCCTCACCTATCATCTGTTACTGGTACCCCGCCAGTGTATACTGATAGCGCAGACGGGGTAACCATTTGATGATCATCCATTAAAAAACTGTACTTAGTTATCTAACGTTTATCTCTCATACCCCATTTCCGTTATCACCCACAATACTGCATACAAACTGTGATTTTTTAATGGATGATAATGGTATCATCCATTAAAAAATACAGAAGACTGAAGGGAAAGTAATGGTTAGTAATGATGTCTAATTACTCCATAATGGTCGGAAAGTGATTGTTAGTAATGGAGACTGAGAATCTCCAATATTGCTAACAATATACCCGACCAGGTCGACCTCCTCGCGGTTCCCCCTGGAAACTATCATGGTTAATTCCTGATGAATTCATCGTGATGGGCTAACTGGCCTGTTTTCATTCTCATCTATCACCGTTCACTGGTGCTCCGCCAGCGTATCCTGTTAACGCAGGCGGGGTTACCATACCATTTTCACCAATAAAAAAAAACAACCCCATAATTAATTCTTCCTGAAAACCATCGTGGTTAATAATTGATGAATTCGTCACGATGGGCCAACTGACTTACTTCTACTCACCAATCATCCTTCACTGGTGCCCCACCAGTGTACACCTATAGCGCAGGCAAAGTCACTATTTCATTTGCACTGATTAAAAAAATACAGAAGACTACTCCACTATCCCCTGAGACCACTTTTACTAATAATGTGAAGGTGTCAACTTGTGTTATTGAAAGTGTTATAAGACTGTTAGAGACGTGACTTGTCGGGCAACGAGTTTACGCGTCCTTCGAAGTGCTACAAAATGAGAATGTAACCAGAGGGAGACTTTGTACAAAAGTCGATTGCTTGGGTACCTCTGTCCCATTCGGTTTTTAACCGTGAAGCAGTTATGTTTGCATGGCTGTGTTTCGGTTTGAAGGTTGGGATATAACGTGAATTTACTGGGTATAAAGGAATAACACTTGAGTCCTCAGGAATGGCAACGCATGGGGAGTATCATGGGCGAAACAGTATACTCTGTTATGTCCATGGTACTGCTCATGTCTATAGGCAACGGGTGGGCCATCACATTGTTTGCCATTCTAAGTTGTATAAAAAAAAATGTAAATTTTGTAAGGGACCTCCCTCTTATTTCCGCTCCCCAGATCCCGCTGTACGCACACCTGCGTATGGCGTCTACGCAGCCGGTGCGGCGGCCGCCCACGCCGGAACTGGTGCGGCAAACGCGGCTGCGGAACATGCGCGCCAAGAAGACGCACTTCGAGCCGTCCGCCGTCGCCTCCGCTCCCACGCCCGCGCCTGCGCCCTCTCGCGCTCGTGCCAACGAGTAGCGAGCAACCAGGTAAAGTAGTGTAGAAAGAATAGTAACGCTGCCTGCACTATAAGTATACGTTACCAGAGTAGGCAGAGTACCTCTAAAGTAGCGAGGATGGAATCAGTGTAATTAACTCAGTGATATGAATTCAGTTGATAAAGATAACCGCAAAAAAACCAAGGTAACCGACATAGCCCGAAGGATAAGCAAGCTTAAATGGCAATGGCCTGGTCTATATTACCAGGCCATGGCTCGAAGAACCGACAATCGATGGGGAAAAACAGTTCTTAAGTGGCAACCCTGTACGAGCAAACGCAACGTAGGATGACCCTCCACTAGATGGAGTGAAGAGCTGGAATACATTGCAGGGAGTCAGTGGGTGCAGGTGGCTCAGGATTGTTCCTTATGGCAGTCTATGGGGGAGGCTTATGCCCAGCAGTGGACGGATAACGGCTGAAATGATGATGATGATGAATTCAAATAAACCAATTAGGTATAACAAAAATATTATACACACGTCCTGAAAATATCTTAGGCGCTAGGATTACACTTGTGTTGGTACATAACCAAGTGCCTTAAGGCGGTTTTCACACTATTTTTATAATCTTTTAATAATAGATAGTTTATTTAATTATTGCATATCCATTATTCATTACTCAGATCGTCATTATTACACAATACTATTTAATCAACCAATCAGTGTCCACTTCTAGTGATGTCCCATATACACTAGTGATGTGATCTTACAACACTGACCGTCAAGGTTTCTGCCGTTTGTCGCAAAGACAGTGCGTGGAATTTGCGGTCAGTGTGTCATGAAACTCAATCTAGTGTGAGTGAAGCATTTAAACATCTTTTTTAAAGAACTTTATAATAAGCATTTAGACATTCATTTTATCTTACAGGAGTATCGTGATTATTCAACGATTACTGTTGTGAAGTTTTATAGAAGATATTTAATCTAGTTTTGATAAAGTTAATATTATTGTAATTTAAATAATCGTGTTATTTACAATGATGTTTGTTAAATAAAGTTGTTAAAATAAAGTTATTTGATTTAAAAATATATTTTATTAAAAGTAGTATTAGCTTATTCGGTTCTGTTAAACGACACCGCGGCGCTTCATCGCGATGTCACATGAAAGAAATTATCTAGCCGAACATTACTCTTAAAAATGCTTTACACAAAACAGCAATTGAGTAATAATTAAGTTCAAATATACTAAATAATCGCCGTGTCGGTCCCGGCATAGAATAGGCCACCTCTTCCTTTCCCGTGGGTGTCGTAAGAGGCAACTAAGAGAGGGCGACGGATCGGCAGCAGTGTCCCTCTTAAAACTTTTTCAAAGCCTAACTGCGGTTGCCAATCCGCCTACCAAGCGTAGTAACTACCAGCAAAACCCCATTAAGGGGGAGGCTTGTTCAACAGTGGACAATTAAAGTCTGATATAATGATGATAGTACTAAATAATCTACATTATTAACTATGTTTACCACAGTAAGTTAATATTATATCTTAACAAATTTGAGTATAAACTAATCAAATTGCGTATAGGATCAGTCTTGAAACGTTAAATTCAAAATGTTTCTCTATTTAGACTTGACGGAGCGCGCGGACCGCTCGGGCCGCTTCTGTTGCTTATTGGCTCTGCAGATCATGGCCTTGTCGAGCAGCTGTAGCGCGACATCTAGCTCGCGGCTGGCCACCGGCAACTGGTTTCCAACCAGATGCACACGTAACAATCCGCTGGCCACCTTGTGAGCCACTTCGCTCTGGTACGTCACCACTTCCAGCAGTTTCACAGTGCTGAGGTAGCTTAGGCTGTTGTACGCCAAGTTCAAGTAGCACAATGTCATGTTCCCCATACTGTATACATAATTGTCGTGTAACATCGTTTCCTCGATGCTGAATGGGTCAGAGTAGGCGCCGAGCAGTTCGGTGGCCATCAGTTCTGCTTTAAGTGAGACCGTGTCGAGTACGCTCGTGGCAGTTGCTGTCAGCGTGCTTGTTATACTGGATTTCCTGCTGCGCGTTCCCGTTGCTTTCCGCTTCCCAGTGCGACTGTTCTCGTCGTGTGAGTGTTCCAGAAGCGCCGTTGTCAGCTCATTATAGTACTTGGTATACACCTCCTCTTTCGTTTTGAGGTACTTTAATTGTCGCTGTCTCTTCTTTACCACTTCGTCGCATGACAACGGGAATTCCATGAGACTCCCGAATATGCTTGCCGCACCGACGTCACCTATCTGATTTCCGGATAGATTCAGATATTGCAGAGACCGGTTGCTTCTCAAAGCTTCACCAAGCGCACAGGCTCCGACGTCACATATAAAATTAGAGGCGAGCGAAAGCATTACGAGTGTTCTCGCCGCGGGAAGTGGGTGGATCAGTTTCGAGGCGATAATTGTACAATCGTTATCGTCTATGTTGCAGCGCGCGAGTGACAGGCACCGCAACTGTGTCTGTTCTTCTAGAAGCATATAATAATTGGCTGCAGCGACGGGTGAGTCGTCAAGATTAAGTTCGGTGATATGCGAAAAGGAGAGAAGTTTCGCTACTTCATAAAGAGTAGGGCCATCAAGGGGACCCCATCGCAGCGTGAGCTTCTTAAAGTACGGGTGGTATGGAATACATAGGCCGATGATCTTAATGAGGAGACGCGGGATGTCGGGGCAGCGGTAGAAAATGAGCTCGACCAAATTACCGACTACGTCGGTCACGGCGACGATAACAATCATGTCCCTGTCTGTCTGCGGGTCTACAGAGACCGTAGACACCTTGCTTTCAGACACATTAGATATATTCTGATGAATGGCTGACTTCACTTTGTTCGATCTCTTATATCTCTCTTCTGTTTTGCTTACATATTCGTCTGTTGGTAAATGAAAATAATCAGTTGAGAGCATATTCGGTAGTACACATATAAAGACAGGAAATACCAATGCAAGGAGAAGAGATTGTTAGTAACAGGGATTAACTAACATACAATAGCACAGACCTTGAATAGAATGAATAGACCATGTTAGATCAACCTCCACGCGGTTCTCTTTGGAAATCACCATGTTCGATTTGTGATAAACTTGTTACTATAGTGGCCTATAAGCCACCTGACCTGATTTTATTTACATCGCCTATCATCTCTCACTGGTACCCTGCCAACATAATCTAATACCCCAACCATCCTGTTTTCATATATTAAACAAAATTGTTTGAGAGTGGACAAGTTTTACTTACCTATATGTTTTAACACTTGAATCCGAATCTGAAGAAAATTTTACGATTTAAGAGTAAAAAAAAAACTTTATTTCCTTAAACAAAATTAGTCTATGGTACGATATAGCTATGATCCAACACTAGGCAAATCCTGTCTCGTAAAACTCAAAGCAAGAAATTTGTTTGTTACTATCTATTTGCTTTGCACTATTTAACACGCAATTAAGCTATGATAGTAATCTCTAATATATTTAGGATTTTACAACATATTTAAGTTAGTTGGGCATTTTAAAACAAGTACCTTGAGTTCGCATAACAACTTTGACCATAAAAGGCGCCTGCAACTGATTGCACGCGTAAGGCACGAATCGCGCCACGTCGGCCGGCGTGGGACCTGCCGCGCTGAGTCGTGGCTCCGTCAAATATAGATCGGTCATTGTAACGAGTGCTGGGATCTTAATAATTGGATATAATAGCAAAATACTAATATGATTGTCACATTAATGTTTGACAGATATTGCTTACAAGTTGAGTTTGTGGCCAGTGCCAACATACTGGCTTGGAGTTTTAGATCATACTCAATAAGTACATACTTTTATGTTTGCCTACAAGCACTTTTAAGAAATATTTAACTTTTTTAGATTTCCGGAACAAGGAACAGTACAATCAGATTAATACTAGTTCGTCATCATCATTTCAGTCATTATCCGTCCACTGCTGGACAAAGGCCTCCCTCATAGTTGTTGATAAGTTATTAATGAATACTTTTTACTTCTTTTATCATATACGTCAAAATTAAGTTTATACATTCGATACTAGACAATTGATTTTTCTGCAAATATGTATGTTATCAATAGAAAACATTCAGATCAATAAAACAGACACTGGATGAATGTAAAATGTTTGTACAGTGTAGGAATTGAAGTCGGAACCATTGATAAATGGAACTGTGTTAAACCGTCACACCATTAACGAATTCGCGGTAATTTTTTTTATACAACTTAGAATGGCAAACATGCTGACGGCCCACCTGATTGAAAGTGGTAACCGTCGCCTATAGACATGAGCAGTACCGTGGACATAACAGAGTATACTGTTTCGCCCATGATACCCACCATGCGTTGCCATTCCTGAGGACTCTGGTGTTATTCCTCTACAGACAGAGGACAGAGGTGCCCAAGCAAACGACTTTTGTACCAAGTCTCCATTCATGTAAATTCAGGTAAATGGTATTAGTAATAATTTTCTTTTTTTCATAAATCTTACACGTTTATTAGGGTACCTAAATGTCTGTTGGCCATGAATGACTGAACAGAATTAAACGAAATGAAATTTCAATCAAATTCGCGGGATACTAAAAGGTGAATTAAAAAAACACACACATAATTTGGACATCAGTTTATTTCATAGTAATCCGAACTACTCGAAAATATACAAATATTCCAAAGGTTATCTAAACAGATACGATCCTAACGGTGAGTCCAAAGCGAGCTTGTTATTCATTAAAAAAATTATAATAATGGAAGTCAGACCTAAGACGTCCACATATGATAACTGCCATGGGATGATAATGTTTCGTATACGTAAATTAATTCATTTATATTTATCATATCTGACATTCCTTCATTTTAAATATATCGTCAAACAAGTAAAGTGAGTAGCGGCCACTATGGCCGACTGTCACTTTTATACACTTAAAGGAAGTTTAACGGTCTAATTTTAAACGTTTAGTCGTTCTAATCAAAAATAATTTGTGATAGTCAAAAATATTTAACAAAAAATCAATCAAGGGCTCCAATTACAAAGTAGTCAAAGTATTACATAACAATGTATCTGTACCAATTAATAACTTTAATATTTATTATTAAATCCGTTTACTATGGATTTACGTGGTTATTAGTTGTTCGTGTCATGTACAATAATTGTTACAAGGAGAAGGGAATTGTTGGCAATGCAGTTTAACAGCCCCATTGCTAGCAATGTGCCCTGTTAGATCGACCTTCACGTGGTCCCCACTGGAAACCATCGTGGACAATTCTTGTTGAATTCGTCAAGATGGGCTAACTGACCTGCTTCATCCTCACCTATCATCCTTCACTGGTACCCCGCCGGTGTATACCGATAGCGCGGGTGGGGTAACCATTCCATTATCACCTATTAAAAAAAAAGTTATTGTTACAGCGACCATATACGACCTATATTACTAGCTGGTAATGTAGTTTTCTATAGATGAAATAATGTTTAAAATCGAAAAGTATTTTTTAATTTAGCCATTACAAACAATCTTTCCTCTATTACAAAATATTACTTTAATTTAATAATAATTCAATTGCCAATTAATAGTTGTTTAGTTTGTGTAGTTTGCTCGCTGTGGACTATTATATTTAGTTGGCTGCGTCGCGCTTGGCGCCGCTGAGCACAATGTACGGGGAGTGCGTCTCGCGTTGCTTCTCCTGCAGCATCTGCAGCGTGCCCAGCGGCGTGTCCGTAGAACTCATCTTTTTCATTAGCTGTAATACGATAGGAACACTGTTAATAGTACATTACTGCAGCGACCAGCAACTGAGGTATTGACGGAAGAACGTGCAAATGTGGGCCGAGGCGTAGCCGAGGCACACATACGTGAGTCCATCAATACCTAGTTATAGCTAAGGCTTGTATAGTACTTTTCTCAAACAATGCGCGGAAATCAATAATTTTTTTATTTTATTTATTTATTTTATTTATATAAATAAATAAATCAATAAATAAATCAAAAACACAATTTTACTTTTTATGTTCAATGACGAATAACGAATAATAATAATTTTTCACGCGCCATAATGTTTCTTTGTTTTTTTTTTTAATAAACAGCTTTCTATTTGCTAGGCAGTTCGAAATTTAAATAAAACCTTTTATTAGTTACCTCCTTGGTTGTACCCATGTTTCGAAGTAAAAGGTCATTCCATTTTTAAATTACAGGACAGATATGAGTTTATTTTCATACAACTTTTGCCGGCCGCTGTTCGCATGTATCTGGCCAGTACGGCAATTTTGATTTATCTCGAAGAAGATTGTCAAAATAATGCTCACATTTTCAAGCATGTTTGAGAAAATCATATTTCTTATTTTTAGAGTAATAATTTTTTTGTAAACATACATACACATATACACATACACACATATACACACTCACACACACACTTATACATATACACACTCACTCACACACATATACATATTTATATTAAATAACAAACAATTATAAATATTATAAAAACGTGTACTAACCCCCTCTTGCACGGCCTTCTTGATGCGCTTCTCCTGCTTGTTCTTGCCAGGCCCCTTGCCGTGGAACTTGTGCGAGAGATAGCGGAACGCCTCCTTGGGGCACAGCGGGCGGCCGTCGTCGTCCACGTACTCCAGCTTGATGTTCGGTCGGAAGTTGGACTTCTCGCGGAACTCCTGCAGCGGGCCCGAGTGGCCGCCGCGCTCCCGCCGTCCGTATTTGTCATCCTCGCCACTGAATACAATACATTATCGGTTAATTTACAAACAGTGTAACGATTACGTACGGTCTAATATTAGTACAAATTCAGGTACATATAATCGAGGTTAGTGTGTAGTGTCACACTTGGTCGCGCGCTCCAGGTAGCCCTTGCTGAGCGTATAGTGTAGTATAGTGTAGTATAGTGGGGACAGGGTCCGTACCCGAGCGCCTTGTCCTCGATGGAGTAGTGGCGCGCGGCCAGCAGGTGCGCGAGGTGCGAGCGCGGCGCGGGCGCGGCGCCGGCGCGCTCCAGGTAGCCCTTGCTGAGCGCCAGCTGCAGTGCACCCGCCACACCTGCACCCAGCGCAGGCTCCGCTTCCAGCCCTACGCCCGACCCTGCGCATACAGATATTACACACTCACTAAATTATACATAGCTGTATGGACGCAGTTCCTTTGCCTTTCTGTACTGAACAAAAACGAAACAAAAAAAAAATATCGAAAACCACCGGCGGTAAAATTCTGCGACTTCTCACCACCGGGGCGACTGAGACCAGGTAAGAGCAATAAATAAACATAGCTGTATGAATAATTATTTAACACAAGAAGTTAATTAGAATAGAATAGTACATTACTGCAGCGGCCAGCAACTGAGGTATTGATGGACGAACGTGCAAATGGGGGCCGAGACGTAGCCGAGGCACACATATGTGAGCCCATCAATGCCTGGCTGTGGCCAAGGCTTGTATAGTACTTTTCTCAAACAATGCGCGGAAATCAAAAACACAATTTTACTTTTTAAGTTCAATGACGAATAATGAACAATAATAATTTTTCACGCGCCATATTGTTCCTTTGTTTTTTTTTCAATAAACAGCTATTTGCAAGCTAGTTCGAAATTTAAATAAAACCTTTTATTCGTTTCCTCCTTGGTAGCCATGTTTTGAAGTAAAAGGTCATTCCATTTTTAAATTACAGGACAGATGAGTTTACATAGTAATTTATCTGGCCGCAAAACACGACAGATATGGATTTTCATACAACTTTTGCCGGCCGCTGCCCGCATGTGTCTGGCCAGTACGGCAATTTTGATTTATCTCTAAGAAGATTGTCAAAATAACGCTCACATTTGCAAGCATGTATGAGAAAAAATATATGATAGTAAATTTGTCAAGTCCAACCTGCAGCGAGATCTGGTGGCTTTTCGCTGCCGACGTCGACGCGACTCCAGGCGCCCGCGTTTGAAGTCGCCTCCGGCTCCGGCTCGATATCATCACGCTCGAAGTCCTAAAAAAATTTGATGATATGGTAATGATTATAAAAAACTTTTTCATTGCAGAAATAGCTTTGAATGAATGTTGAATAAACAATATCATCGCCATATTGTGACACTGATCTATAAATAAGTTACTAGGGTACCATGATCTCAGCGTGGTGGTCCCTGTTGCCGGCGAGCCCGTAGGTGGGGATGTCGCCCAGCGTGCGGCAGAACTCCGCCGTCGCGTCCAGCACCATCGCGCTTCCGCTGCCCCCCATACTGTCCTCGTCCTCCTCCTCAGGCTCCTCTTTTTTCACGCGCTCCAATATCTCCTCCACCTGGATGAGAAAATGAATGTTTATTTTCTCATAAACAAGTTATTTTTTATTTTAAACAAGTGATAAATTCTCATATTGTATATTATATTTATATATTATTCTTATTTTTGTTGCTTTGTGTGCAGCGCCTTGTATCTATATTGTTGCTTCTTGTGAAAACCTATTAGTGGCTTATTTTGTAATATTAAACTGTACCTATTTGCTCTAATGTAGCCCTGGTTTTCCTATGAGTAAATAAATAAATAAACAACCTATTATTTAATTTTAAACTTTCTCGTTGTTTAAATATATTTTAAATACACAATCGGGACTTAACGCGATATAAAAGCCTTTACAGGTAAATAGTACCTACATGGTTGCATGTTACAATAATACATACCTGTTTCTTTTTTGCCGACGTTTCGACGTGGATTGGACCACGACGTTTGTGTATTTAAAACCATATTGTTTGTGTCTACAAAGCTGTTTTACTGACAAATAATATTGTTAAACAAGTTAACTGTCTAGTACAGAGATACGTGTTTCTAGAGTTAGTTTCTGCACCTTCCTACGCTGAAGTTTCCCTTGAAAATACTTATACAAGGTGCAGTGAAGAGTGTGTGTTTGAGAACTGTGTGCGCATGCTTGTGAATTCCGCGTGTGTGTGCGTGTCGGCGCTGCGTGTGACTGCGAGCGCCGCGGGCGGGTGTACGCGAGTGTTATCTGTGCGTGTCAGCACTGCATGGCGAATGCGTGTCAATACAATATCTGTACGCGTGTCAGTGTGCCTGTAGGCGCTGGGTGTGCGTGTGCGTGCGTATGCGCGTGACCTTGGGCGTGGTGGAGGGCTGCATGAGCCGCAGGCGGCGCGCGCGGGCGAGTGCAGCCTGCAGCTCGCTGTCGGGCTCCGTCTCGTCTTCGTCCTCCACCTTTATCCCCGTCGCCAGCTCCTCGGGCTTAACTTCTGCGGGTTCGATATAATAACAAATCTCAGCACACTTGTTTAAGTGTGTTTAATCAATTTTGCAGTTTTGCAAAATTGATTTCTCTAATTTGAAATTTCATCTTCGAGAAGCAAGCTATTTTATCCTTAAAATACCTCATTTAGAGGTGAAACACGTGTTGCAAAACATGGGCGGACGAAATAGCAGTTGGAGATTGATAGCTAATATGGAAGTTGTAGATCTTCTAGTAATAATAATAACAGTGAATGTTTAAATGTTGGCAGTCACACTCTTACTAATGGTAATGAAATTAAACAAAATAATGCTAATCAAATAACCAGTAATATAGACTGCTATTATGAAGTTGGATAAAAATAACTAACAAGATGAAACCAGCTACAAAACAAAGAATAATATCATAAAAACATGCTTATCTATTTCAATATGGTATCACTTAATAAGCGTAGAACATTAATAGATTTAATGTTCTTATATAAGTTGTTTAGGAACAGAATTGATTGTTCTCAGCTTCTTGCCAAATTTCATTTTCGATTGCCCGTACACTATCCTCGTAGTTACATCAGTCTAATGTCCGTGCCGTTCCGTAGAACTGTTCTTGGTGCCAACTCCACTGTACCACGTCTTTGCAAGCTGTTGAATGATTGCTAGCAACACTTGGATATTCACTTCGATACAGAAGGGGATTTCTATAGGAAAGCATTACAGGTAATTTAAATAGCTAAAAAACTTATGTGAGGCAATCATCTATTGAATCTAAAAAACTATACCAATGTCAAATACTTCAAGAGATTGTTATACCATATTATTGTTTTTGTTAATTAGCACGCTGTGTTTCCTTTAAAATGATTGTACACTAAGTATAAATAGACAGTAATTGTAATATTAAATCTTATCAGTGTAACAATTGCTAGGAGACCAAATAAAGATAAAATCAAAATCAAAATCAAAATCAAAAATTGATATATAAAGACACTTTTGAGAACTACGAGTAAGATGTGTTGTCGATGTTATCGGCGACGATTATGACTTTTCATAACACCTCTTTCTAAGTTGAATACAAAATAAAACTTATAATAATTACACAGAGTATATAATAACAAATATACAAATACAATAAAGTGATTGGTACAAATAAAGATAAAATAAAATAAAAAATTGATATATCACTAACACAGTAAGATGTGTTGTCGATGTTATACGATTATGACTTTTCATAACACCTCTTTCTAAGTTGAATACAAAATAAAACGCAGAGTATATTACCTGTGTCATCGGTGTCAAGGGGTACAGTGCCCGCCTCGTAGTCGTCCACGTCGATTGGCTCCTGTTTGGCCTTCTTTCGCATCTTACCCTGCACACAAATAATAATTGTGGAACGTTAGAATGATAAAAACTGCTATGAATTATACCAATTATATAATTGTGTTATATAAATGTACCGAACGAATGTATGGTAGTTCGGTACCTCCCTTCGTAAAACTACTGTATGAAAAATTTTTCCTTATACTGTGACATTAGTAAGAATTAGTACATGTAACTGTAAAAAATATGTATAATTAATAAGTCCATGTGTACATACCCTCTTTTTGGGTTTCTTGAACTTGGCCTGTATCTCGTGCTCGTCCATATAGTCGGAGGCGAGCTGCAGCTCGGGTAGCTGCAACGACTCCAGCCGCCGGTCCGGCCCGCCCGCCAACCGCGACCGCCGCTGCACAAACAAACACACCACTAGTGAGCGTGGCGCTCTCTGATATCAACAGTTGCTAGGTCTTATAGAACCGCACTAGATGACCGGCAACGTACCCCTCGAAGATCAAAGCAAATAACAAATTTGCATAATGATTCAGAAAGAATGGAGCATTATGTTTAATTTTAACTAAATATTATAAGGTTTTATCTTTAGCTGTACAGTTTTTACCTTCGAAAATTATATAGTTTTTTTTTTTCGATTTCTCAATAGTCGACTGGAATAACTACCCCTGTATGGGCTAAGTCCACCATTATACATAATTTTTTTTTATATGCCCAATAAAAATAAATGTTACTATATAACACAATAAATTTGAACAAACAGATTGAAACAAAAAAAAACATACTTCTAAGAGCACGAAATTTATATTACTATAATCTTTTAGAGAAAACAATAAAGAGTATTTATCTCGTACTCTATCTATTGTCCAGTAATCTTAATGTTCTTAATTTAAAACTATAGACACAGACAATGAAGTAATGTAGTGAATTAAAAAAAAATTAAAGTACGAGATCTGTGCCTCTAGACAAGTGGTAAGCGAATTCATCGATGGAATTGACATCGCTAGCGAATCCGTGAGTTGGAATGAGTCATCTAGTGTTGCTATCTCATTCCAACTCACAGACTCGCTAGCGATGTCGATTCCATCGACGAATTCATTTATCATTTGTCTAGAGGCCCTGGATTAAATGTAGAATGGATATCGTAATCAGAATATTTCTTCACAGTATTCTCTTCTTCGAGAGTGGCAGTGAAATATCATGCTATTTATGTCTATGACATTAATATTATAATTTATAACATACCATCATCTCCTTGAAGCGCTGCGCCTCGATACCGTCCTCATCACCGATGAAGAACCCTCGCTGTTTCTCCGCTTTTTCTTTGTCAATCTCTTCGTCATACTTGGCGAGCACCGGCTTCTGGTAGCCGAGGGCGGCCGCCTCCATGTCGGCCTCATCATCGTACGCTTGGTAGCCTGCTTTGGCCTTTTTGCGTTCCTCTATGTTCTGGAATATATACAATATGAATTAAAATAGATGGAACCTAGTATTGACAAGATATAGGCATTACACAATTTCCTATGTGACGCGCCACACTTAAACACTAGCGCTGAACGAAGATATGCTAAATATGACACCAACGTTCTGCCACGGATCCTCGATTGCTGATGATAAGTAACCTAAAATAGACCTAATAAGGCCCTAGTCTTAAACGAAAGCCGCTAATGAGAATTTTCTATATAACCGTCGCCGATCCACGACGTAATGCTATTACATAAATTATTAATTCACTCTTGCGCCACCTACCCACTTCTATCTGTTCTCCTTTAACCAAAGGTTGTCTGTAAGAGATTGTCCTAGCGATAAGACCGCCTTTTGTACCTTTATGTGTATATTTCAATCTGTATTTATGTTACTGTATTTCACTTGAATTATTCAATTGTCATTGTATATTTTTGTATATGGTGCAATAAAGAGTTAAATAAATAAAAATACATCAAATTGCATATAATTTGGTAGTCTTGGTCACACTGCGCGGTAGATCGGTCGTTACATTAACGGAACATTACGGAATAATCACGTCCGCTATGGTTGCCTAACGGAAAATCAGCAACTCTTTTATGTGACTCAGGAGGGGGATAAAGAGGTTTCTTCAGGGTCGGCAACGCACATGTAATACCTCTGGTATTGCAGATGTTCATAGGCTACGGTAACCACTTACCATCAGGTGGGCCGTATGCTTGTTTGCCACCTCAGTGGTATAAAAAAAAAGCAGATTGTCTGTGTTGACTGCTTGCGTTAGTAGGAATTCGTATAATGGAAAATATGTAGACTTGGCTGCTACATTCAGCTACTGATCCTTGACGCTAACTGTAATGTTTATCAACTCTGGTCTAATAAACTTAAATAATTAAGGTACAGTAGTGTTGGGGCGACTGACCTTCTTGTATCGCTCGTCGTCGACGATGTTGACGTTGACGAGCACGTCCTCGGCGTCTTCCGCCAGCACCTCCTTGTCGGCCAGCGTCAGCACGATCTCGCGCTCCTCGCCCAACTACATCACAACACATAATAACATAAGTTTAGATTATCCACAAACAAATTTATATACCTGCATTCGAAAACAACTGACTTGTCAGATATGGGAAGGGGGAGAGATTATTAGTAATGGAGGCTAAGGAGCCAATTGTTAGCAAAATACCCAACCAGGATGACCTTCATGTGGTCCCACCTGGAAAACATCATGCTGAATTCCAGGTCTATTGATCACGATGGGCTAACTGACTTGCTTTTATCCTCACCTATCATGCCTCACTGGTCATATATCAGGCCCCCGTCGGCGTTTACCGTAAGCGCGGTCGGAGTTACCCATCCATTATAAAAAAATGAACACTCGTTTGTTTGTGCGTAAATTCCATGCAACCCTTGTATACTGTACTTTCGACTTTCACGAAAATATACATAACATATATTCAATTTACATATAATATCGCACCTTAGTTATATGTTAGGAAGGAACTAATGCTAGAATGAGTGCATATATACAGGTAAATGGAGTGACAAAATTGTGAGTGTCCCATTCTACCTCAAGCATATGGTAGCTAAATATTTGCAGGTTTCAAATCTTTTCAATTTCATACACCGACTTTCCTTTAAAGGATTTTTTATACATACACACAATTACTAGTTTCTATTATTGTTTAACTTATAATTAATTATATTAGCTCATTTATACACAAATTTGCTTTAAATTTTACCCATTATAAAAAGTGCTCTTAACACTTTTCATTTATAAAAAGGAAAATATTTTTTTGTTGAAAATTTCTCATGTATGTCTCTATGGTTTGAAACCCGTATATAGTCTCAAGTGAGGTATACTGACCGCATTGACGTCGTGCGCTACCCGCAGGCCGCGCAAGTGGGCGGCACTGTATCGGTCGGCGCGGGCTTCTCGCTCCTCTTGCTCTACAAGCGCCGACACGCCGAACACGGAGTCCATCTCGTCCAGCATCGCGGCCTGGGATATCAACAACACATTATAGGAGGGAAAAGGATTAGTATTGGGAACTAATAACCCTATTGCTTGTAATATACCATACCAAGTCGACTTCGTGGTTCCAGTGATCTGCAGACCACCGATTAAGAGACATCATATAGAAAGAAAGAGATAATTTAATCAAAGAAGCATGCGGCCCACACAGTAGCGCACAAAACAAGAACAAAAGAAATCAAAATAAACAAAAGAAAATAATAATTGTATACAAATAATTAAAAGCACTTAAATTATAATAATAATCAATAATAGACCCTACAGGTATATACGAATGTGTACGCGTACGCGCGTGTGTGTCGCAATGTTCTGTGATGTAGGTCCGCATATTGCTGCACCGCTTGAAGCGCTACAGCGCTGTTTTTCAGCAAGAACCATAGCGTATTATATATACATATATCAGCTACTAGACTATTACTGAAAAATTTTTTTTATACAACTTAGAATGGCAAACAAGCTGACGGCCCACCTGTTGGAAAGTGGTAACCGTCGCCTATAGACATAAGCAATACCATGGAAATAACAGAGTATACTGTTTCGCCCATGATACTCCCCATGCGTTGCCATTCCTGAGGACTCAGGTGTTATTCCTCTGTAGCCAGTAAATTCACATAGACCTCCCCTGTAGACCATAAAGAACGGTCCCAAACCACCTGCATCCACTGACTAAGAAGTACAGCTATAGGTTAATCTGTACCTCTCGGGGGGAAAGGGATTGTTAGTAATGAGATTTAACAGCTTCATTGCTAGCAATACACCCTATCAGGTCGACTTCCATGCGGTTTTCTCTGGAAACCATAATGATTAATTCTTGTTCAATAGTGCCTTCATTCTCACCTGTCACCCTTTACTGGTGCCCCGCCAGCATATACCGATAGCGTAAGCGGGGCTACCATTTTATCTTCACTCATTAAAAAACAAACCTCTCCTCACACAAGTTAATTTAACGCTTTCCTATTGTATGTCTGTTTTGTCAATGTCTGTTTCGTCAATCTTTCACGTGACATTCTTTCCACATTGCTGACAAACATGTTACACGAGCTCACCCTCTTAGCAGCTTCGGCCTTTTGTTTTTCTATGTCCCTGGACTTCTTGACCCAGGCGATTGCATCCTCATCGTCGGACTCGTCTGCCAGTAATGTAGTCTGTAGCCTGATGAAGACATGAATATTATTAATTACTTTATAATTTAAATTATGCCATATCTTACTAACATCCATGGAAGATATTTAAGAAAAAATAATATGAGAGTCTTAATAAGACCAGTAGAAAACAAAACATATTTTTTTTAGAAATTTTGTACAGACAGCTGTATGTTTGTTCAGGCATCACATAAAAACTACTGCACCAAATTGGATGCAGTTCTCTATGTTGTGTTCCTGAAGGTCTAACTTAAATGTGTTTGTTACCTCGGAATGTCGTCATTTAAGTACAAACCGATTTGGGAAATCCTTTTTTTTTATATGAAAATTTTATCAAAATCAGTTCAGTAGTTTAATTTTAAATAGATTCCTTATACTGTAACATTAATATTATATTATATATTCAATTAATCAATAAATAGGTTTTGCCACAATTGAAGTGCTTTTTTTTTGTGGATCAATGTCTTATAAATTACTAGCTGACTCGATAAACGTTGTTTTACCATATACATTATTTCTAGAAGTATACATGAAAATATATTGTACTACAATTCGATTGTCATCTTGCAACCCTATTGCGGCATATAAAAATAGCGATTAAAAACCAGGAGTTGATCGTAAAAGGGTGAAAATTTTAATTTGTATGTATTTTGTAATGGTAAATCATAATTAAATAAAAAAAAATAAAAAAAAAACAAAAAAAAAAATAAAAAATAAATAAAAAAAATATAATTAGGGGTGGGTCACCCCTATCACTGAGGGATATGAAAAATAGATGTTGGCCGATTCTCAGACCTACCCCAATATGCACACAAAATTTCATAAAAATCGGTAAAGCCGTTTCGGAGGAGTTTGGTAACAAACACCGAGACACGAGTATTTTATATATTAGATTATAAATTCACACAGAGAACACCAAGTTTTTATCAGCTATTTGATTCAGGGTGGTCAGCGCGAATATCATCAAGGCGTAAATAACTTACTGGATTCGTTTCTGGAAGCGTGCGGTGTCCATTTATTAATCATCTATTTTTGACCTGTCAACGGAGCCGTAGCTAGACCTAAGTTTAAGGTAGGACAAAAGAAATTTTTGGTAGGACAAAATCCATAATTGACTTCTAAAAAGTCTTTGTCCTTTTAAAGTAGGGCATTGGTCATTCAAAGCCCTCAGCTACAGCTATGCCTGCCATTGCTGACTGTACTCACTTTTGTTCAAGCTTCCGTTTCTCCCGCCGCTCCTCGAGTTTCTCCCGTATCTTCTCCGACTTCTTCTGCTGTGAGATATTTGCGGCTGGTTTGTGGTAGAACTCGCCGAGATCATCTTTGATCTTGCCATCCTCTGTTACAATATATTTATTAAATTACTAACGATTCGGCTTCGCACGTGTAATATATAGCCTCTGTTAGTAGCTGATAAAGTAGCTTTCTTTAGGTGAAAATTTTATTAAAATCAGTTGAGTAGTTTTAGAATTTATCTAATACAGACAAACAAATACTTCTTCTTTATAATATTACTTTATAGTTTAAAATATTCTTAGTTCTTAGGCCCACATATACACATGTATATGTGTACCTTAGTCCTCAGGAATGGCAATGCATAGAGGGAAACAGTATACTCTGTTATGTTCAAGGTACTGTTCATATCTATAGGTGACAGTTACCACTTTCCATCAGATGGGCCGTCAGCATGTTTGACATTCTAAGTTGCATATAAATAAATCTATATACAAAATAATTGTGATTTAGTTTATGTTTCTAAAAGGTTAGATGTCGGTCAGGTGTTTATTATAATAACTTTATAATGGCAGAGTACAAGTGTTTTCGACCAACTTAAAAAATAGAGTTCTAGGTTTTTTACTTTATCGGTATACACCTATCCCCCGATTTACACGGTACTTGTTTTACACGTTTTCGCTTTTACACGGTTTTCCAAATAAGTTTTTTTTTTTGTTTTTATCGTACTCTACTAAATGCTACTGTGTTTGAACACGTGCGCTGTGTACACATATAGCGTATATGCTGACTTGCTGCACATGCACACTGTGTCTGTATTTCTTCGCATAAAATTAAAGTTTTATCTACGGAAAATTGTATTTGAGTGAAAGTTTCACAGTGTCAGAAAGATTTAATTTTTCATATTCGTAAATTACAAATGAGTGCATAATTAAGATTTTTATAAATTAACATAAATTAAAAAAAAAAAAAATTATAGCTTATAATGTGAAGTTAAAAGAAAAGTTATTTCTTTAGAAACTAAAATCGAAATTTTGGGTCGCTTTGGATCGTTTAATGTATTGTAATTAAATAAAAAAACAGTGTTTCCGTAACATATTACATATTTTAACCTGTCAATGCATTTCATTTTTATTTCTGTGTACACCTAAAAATATTGAAAAAAATCACAACTGTTAAATAGCAAAATTATGCATTTTTTTGCAAGCTTTTCGATTTACACGGTTTTGACTTGAAAATTTTTAATTTTCAATTTACACGTTTTTCTCAGGAACGTATCTACCGTGTAAATCGGGGGATAGGTGTATACTAAGGGAACATCATCATATATTAGTGGTGGCATTTGAGACATATCGAGCTTGCCTCTAAGCCTGCTACTGCCTATAAGAATGGATTGAGATTTAGATGAATTAACAAGGAGACCAAAAGCTTTAGCCCAAGAATGAATCGATGATAAATCCTTGTTTATTTACACTTTATTGTACAAAATAAAAAGAGAAATAACAAATGCAGTAAATATTAATGAGAAGTGATACAAAATGCGGCCTTATCACTAAGCAATCTCTTCTAGACAACCTTTGGGTAGAGAACGTTGAGAAAAATTGTTCAAAGCTGTGATCGTACATATTAGATTAGCTGGAGAGAAATGTCGATAATATTGAAGATTACGACCGAAAAGATAAGAGAACCATTGCAAGGCAGAAGCAAAGACATTAACAGCACGAAGAACACCAAGAAGAATGTCAAAATCGACGGAATTAAATGCATTGGAAAAGTCTAGGAGGATAATAGCAGTTCGTTTGGTCTCGTCCATGGCGGGCCGTATATCTTCTGTAATGTTGTTGTATTATATAAATCTGTGGGTACATAAGACTTACCAGCTGGTTTCTCAGTGACCTCGAGCGGCTTGAGGCCGAGCTTGGCGCGGAGTCTGTTGGTCTCCTCTATGGAGATGCTCTCCTGGGCTGTACTGCTCGCGGCCACAGGTGACGGCTCTCGAACACGTTCGCGCTCAACGTCGTGACTTTTATCCCTGTTTAATTAAAAAATAAAATATTAAAACTTTAGTTAAGTAATTTAAAATATAATGAGATTAAAGGTACGAGTATTACAAGTACACAAGTTATTCTTAACTAGCTGTATCCCGCAGTTTTGTCCGCGTGATTCAATATATAAAGTATCCTATGGGCTAAGTTAGGATATAATCTACCCATGTACCAAATTTCATGCAAATCTATTCAGTAGTTTTTGCGTGAAAGAGTAACAAACATCTATTCATCGTCACTTCTTTTGTAAGTAAAAAATCACGGTGCTTAAACATGTATAATTTTATTTTAAATATTAAATTCCTCTAGGTTTCAGCAAAATATATTATTTGATTGATTGACTGAAGTTTTTTTCTTTTTATTTTTATTTTCGCAGTCAATGTCGCGCGTTACAGGTATCCATAGGCGTACTTAAAAGGGGTGACCGGTGGGCCGTGCCTGCCCCAGTATTATCTGGTACCCACGTCAAGATGAGTAAGGAGTTTTAAGTATAAGAACAAACATGGCAAAGAGTACATGACGTGCCCTTTTTAAGAGGCTGAGCGTGGACGGATGGAAAATAATTTTATACACGTCAATGTTTTTATAACATGCTTTCTTTTAACTGTTTACAATAGTAACTACAATAGTATATTGTATAACACGATTAAAATAACGCTATTGTGATGTCTCACTATGAAATGTTACACCCAGCCAAAAGACAGAATCACACTTCACACTGCTTTACTCTATCTTTATTAATTAATCCAAATTCATCTGCTTTCACAATCTCGTTAAAGATTCATATTAACCAATCTATAGGTGATGATACATCATACCAATCTAACATCATTTAATGGAAGTGTTTTAACAGTAAAACTAAATGATTCTTCCAAAGGATGATGGATCTAAAATGGCAAAATACTTTGAATGTACTATCCAATACGTATTTTTTGTTAACGAAATTTGTCCTAACATATTTTATAGAATGGGTGGTAAAAACCCACTAAATTAAGAAAGAAAGCTAAGATGTTTTGCGTATAGCTAAAGACATAGATTTCAGCCTGTAGTTACAATGTTAAGCATGATGTATGTGGTCATTTAACTCACCCATGACTATTGGTTTCCTTGTAGGCACGCCGCTCAACACTGGTGCTGCGGCTGCGGCTGTGACTTAACGATTTAACCGTCTGCACTGCAGTCAGGTGAGAGTCCACCGGCACTTCTTCCACTGCAACAAACCATAATACTTGATTAACAACTCATCTAGGTTAAAACTATGTTTTACTATTGATTGCTTAATTACTTGACATGATAACGCATTTTATATTATCAAGAGGGAATATGGAGTAACATCTATGTTACACTATTGATTACTTAATTACTTTACATGATAACGTATTATATATAATTAAGAATAACACTTATGGTTGTGTGTGCAGTACAGTAAGAAAATATCAAATAAAATGTTATTTGTCAATTTAGCACTGCACATACTAGGTAAATGTGTTGCCCCCCCCCTTCCCATTTTAGTTAATATTTCTTTGTTGTTATTTAATATATAAGATCAATTTATTTTTAAATTTTAATATTTTTTATTTTTATTTATTTATTTATTTTTATCAAAGAATGGAAGAGGAAAACATATTACGCCGACCGCAAATAATAATTGGAAGAAGGGTAGGTAGATGATGATGATATAAAAGCAATTAAATTTGTTATTTATTGTCAGTTGTAATAACTTGATTAATACACTACATTACTAATATCGTCATAACAATAATAACTATTAAATATCAGTTACAACAACTATATATTACCCGAAACAACTACCTCAGACTCCTCAATTTATTGAAAATTTTAAAATTAATAGGATCTATAATGTTATAAAATTTGTGATGATAAATTAATAATACAATATGACACGAATCCTTTTCATCTGCAATATGTTGTTAGCGGCAACTAAAGGAAGAAAGCATAGAGTCAGCTTTAGAGGCGCACCAGCCGGGTAAATGACTAAAGCAATAAAATGTCATTATTTATACTAATATTATAAAGAGAAAAGATTTGATTGTTTAATTGTAATAAATAAACTCTAAAACTACATAATTTTAAAAATTCTTTCACCTATAGAAAATATATATATATATATATATATATATATATATATATATATATATATATATATATATATATATATTATTAGAGAAAATTCTTTGCACCCATGTGAATCCAGGCCTGGCCGGCACCTTTGATAATTAATGTTATAAAAGGTGGGAAAAATTACATTTGTCTAAAGCTACTAAATAACTAGATCAGGCACAGTCAATGAAGAGAAGAAAGGGAAAAGAGAAGGAATACTACTAATAAAACCTTATAATAAAAATTTTACGATAATGTCTTTTGTAACAATAAACTTTTCTTATATGTAGAAACCAGTGACCAGCAGTGGTGTTTAGTTTGTTATAGTATTATAAAATTAAACTAGTAAATATTATATTATTATTATTATTCTCTATTATCAAGTAATTTATATATTTTTGAGAAATAAAGAAACTTATAACAATTTACAACAATATCTCACTGCTTCTTAGTAGTGAGATATTGTTGTAATTGATAAGGTCATAGGTCATAAATGTATTGATAAGGTCATAGAAGGATAAAGCCCTACTCTTACTACAATAGTCAGATTGGCATAGAGTTTTATTTCCAGTATTCCTTCTTTTACAATATTATTACTTCATTACCCTATTTGCTTTCCTCCAGACACATTGCAAGAGCAAAGTTGAATAAAGAAAGTAGCAAAATAAGTTGAGTAATACCTTCCTATAATTACATAATATAAATAAAATATTTTCAATATTTATTCATAATTTCGTGTCTTTAAAACCTATTACTTATATATTTATTTGCCCAAGATAGATGTTTGTTTGTAATTTGTAATATTGCATAGTAACAAATTAAATATATTCTATACTTCAATATTAATAGAATATATGTAAACATATTGTGTATATAGGTACACCTCATGACTCATTCCTTCTCTGATGATGACTTTGGTCTTTTGTATAAGAAAATGTAACCGTAAAAAAACAGTCAACAATTAGAAGTTCCTAAATTGTTATTATATTAGTAAAGTATGTAATGTATCAAATAATGTTGTTATACAAGCCTTGTATTGATTTTTAATATAAAAAAATATATTTATTTATTTATAGGATTACCAACATAAGATACAGCTAAACATTGCAGTACAATACACTGGTAGATTAAATCTAACTGTTCTTACATTTATAGGCAACCACAGCATGCCTTGTGTTTGATAAACATTAAAATAGAATTAAATGTCATTAAATAAGTAAAAATATTAACAATATGAATAATAACATAATATAAATAATGGAAATATATTACATAATACCATTAAATAAGTATCATTATTTTAATTACTGAACTAGGAATTATTTTGATGATCATCTCAACTATTTTTTCATTGCTGAACATAGGCCTTCCCTTATACTGCCGTAAGGACTGGTCTTGAGCCACCTGAATCCATGTGTTATTTTGCATTATGTTATTTATTTTCTGAATAACCTTTTTAGAAAATGTGTTACAATGATTTAGACAAGTAATGTATAAAACACTATAGATAAAATAAAAAAAAATACTGAAATCACATGCCTGTCTTATGGGATGGGAACTGATCTCAAAGAGCAATTGGAATGAAAATTAATTCAATGATTTCAATGATTAGGTTGAATGTATACTGTAACATGAGGTTTTTATATGATACACAACAGATGTAGTTTTTAAAAGCTAGCTTTCGGCCATTATTCATATTCCGGCCTTAAATAATTAGAAAGTACAAGGGGAAGATGAGAAAAATAACAAAATTATAAGTTTTTGTGTTTTGTTACTTTCTGCCTACCTCATGAATTATCAGGAAAGAATGTATAGTATATGTATAATATGTATAAGGTATGTAGAGAGAAAAATAAGCTCTTATATACTAATCTATGAATGAAGAATGATAAGCACTTAAATTGACAGCAACAGAATTATTAAGACAGACTCATGACTGTTTAAATTATTGTAGTATTTATAATATAACAACAATTTAATAATAATTTTTAATACTTTTAAAAATTAAGATTAAATTTAAAGCAGTTTATTTGCTATACCAGTAAACTGACTTGCAATAAAAAATAAGTAACTGAACCATATGGCTCTAATAATATGGTTCTTTTTTATCATGTACACATCTTTGTTGCACTATATTACCCATTAATTAATTTCTCTTTCACTGCATTAGGTTGGTTGGAAGAAATCTCTTTTACAGATAAGCCAACCCTTGTTAACAAGTAGGTAACTGAAACACTGCATCTTTATATTTACAAGTGCAATATAGTACATATATCTATATTCATATAATAAAACTAGAGGTTGAATGTTAAAAAAAAAAACACTAAAATCAGAAACAGGTGGATGTGAAATAGACTTACACACTTTTTTCAAACTTTTTGTTTTTCAGTCTGTTTATCCTGTACAAACAGACTAATCTCTGAAACTATTGGACCAATTTAAATGAAATTTTGCATAGTGATACTTTACATCCCCAGTCAACATTTTAGGTACTTTTAACAATAGAAAATTGAAGAATTCCCATGGGATAGTTCAAAAAACTATAGTAACTTATACAGCTTAGTACACAACCTACTTAATTAGTAATTTTGTCCTCAGGCAAAGAGTGAGAATGACACGTCATTTGTTATATGTAGACCAGTATTCCCAGACGTATTAAATAGATAGGTATATACATTGATATATACTAAACAGGAAAAACAAATACCACGCAGACAAAGTTGCGGGCATCAGCTAGTATATAATATTGCAAAGAAGTTTTGGATAGAAAACTGCGCCTGAGCATTGTTTTATTGCTCTTCCCAACTAACATACAATACCCACCTCATCGGAGCAGCATACAAGCAGAGGTGGCCCACTCGATGCCACCTGGCTCTGAAATAACGAGCAAAATATGCCATTATCATGTCAAATGGAAGCACCGCTGGTACAGATGATCATCGCAGAATGCAGGTTTCTGGATCTGTTTTTCTAGACCAGTGTGAAGTTAGGTATACTTAGCTTAATATAAAAATACAAATAGTTATGCCAGAAATGATCATCGGTGTCCAGCGTTTATTTTTAAGTAATATAAATGAAGGAACTCACCGTCAGGGGAGCGATCTTTTTTCCGGTCTTTATGTTTCTTATGCCTTTTTCGTTCGCGTTCCTCACCGCCCAGCGGTGACCGAGATCTACTACGATGTTTCTTCTTTTTGGATTCCTTTTTATGTTTCTTCGAGGATCCCATGGCTTTTATAATTTATGGATTCAAAGTAACTGAATATGTCTCTTTTAAAGTAAATAATTAATAAAAAAAAATCGAGATATAAAATGGAATTAATTGAAAACAAACACGTTTTGCATTAAGATAATCAAGCTACTCAAACAGTATGTCACATAATGCTGGTGACAAATCCACGATTACAGACTATAACTATAACAGACTATGTGTTCAACGACAGTGACAGTAAGTTGTCATATCAAAACTTTAAATATAAAAGTCAATAGTATTTCGTATTAGCATAGATAGAGATAAATAGAACGCAAAAATCTATAGATGTAGTGTTTTTCTTTTTGTGTTTATAAAGTTACCAATGTATTTGATGGAGATATAGATATAATAATGATCTATTTAAAAAGATACATGAATCTGCTGAATGGCTGGGCTCTGCAGGTTCAATGTTGCTGAATTAGGCGATGTTTTTTGTTTTTGCCTTTTAAATTATCTCGCAAGGTGTTTTTTAATGGATGATAATGGAATGGTAACCCCGCCTGCGCTAACGGTATACGCTGGTGTAGCGTCAGTGAAGGATGATAGGTGAGAATGAAAAAGCAGCTCCGTTAGTCCACCATGATGAATATACCTGGAATTCAGCACGATGGTTTCCAGTGGTACCACGTGGAAGTCGACCAGATAGGGTATATTGCTAGCAATGAGACTGGTAGTCCGCATTATTAACAATCCCATCCCGTCCTCCCCCCTGAAAAAGCAGGTCAGTTAGCTTTCGCAGGGTGTTGGCATCACTAAAAATCACTATCGGCGACAAATAACGGAAAAAATCGTATAGGTTAATAAAGTAAAATTTAACAAATTCACACATAACGTGTTGTTATTGTAATTAGTGATACCTGGTATGATTTTAAACTGTAATCAAAAATTGTGTTTACCGACAGGTATCTCCGCTAATTATGAGTCGACATTAATACTTTTTTGATTTTCTCACTTTCAGTATAATCCCATAAAAAATTCATTATATTTAATTAGATTTTAGAAAAAAATAACATTATTATAGAAATTGCTTTTATTTCCGTCGTCCAATTACATAAAATGACGAAGATATCGACGAAATGGTGAATGTTGTTATCTCATACATGTAGATTTCATGATTTATTAAAAATATTTCCGCAATTACTCTTAGTCGAGTTTTCACTGTAAGGTATACCCAGTCCAAGAAATTAATTCTAGTCTCATCATATTATAAATGTAAAAGTTCATAAAGATAACGATATATGGTTTAAATATTAATCCTAGGTTAACATTATATGATATTACTTTTTATATTATTTCATGTGTGCACTGAATAGCTAATAATAAATAAAACATTGAATTGTATTAAAATATTTTATTTTTATTTAATTTCATAATCAACATAAAATAGAATTTGGTAACAACGACATACAATTATATTACAAAAGAAAAAAATATACTAAAAAATTGAAAATTACATACTAAAAAACTTTTTTTTTATCTCAGTAGGTAGGTGATTAGCCCACTCTTTTATTAGCATTTAGTAGGTACATGCAATACTTTACAAAATATTGAAACAGAAATGATAGGAATAACTGTACACGATTTGTCATAATATATATGTCAAGCCTAAATGCAAGAATAAATTCACACGCATACATATACAATAGTAATAAAATAATTTGGTTACATGATCCAATTAATATGAATAATTTATAAAATAATATTAGATTTTGACTAAACTTCTTAAGTTGTTTAGTTTCATGAATAAGTTTCGTATACTCATTACAGTTATTCCTGTGTATATAATAATAAAAAAAAAAAATGGCGTTTCATGCTGCCTTTTTTTAATTTTTAGATATATGTATAAGAATATGAGTACTTAATTATAATAAAGGTTTAGTTTGTTCTTGGAAAAGACAATGGGCTATATTTTAAAATGGCATTTCTCTTGACCTATCTCTAACATTAAAATTTGATATCACAGTGACATTTTTTTTTTATAAATTTAGTTTACGAGTACGATAGTTCATAAAATAATAACATCGCGAAACAACCAAATTAAAATATTAAGAGTTATTAGTCAAGACATAAGTTCAGAGAAATGTTACATTAGAGTCAGTCCTAATTTATATTATCTTACAAATAGAAAAAAATATACTTGTATTAGATTGAGAACTATCAGTTCTTAATCTATTCATTTAAATATCAATAAGTTTTATTACGGAATAACATTACTTGGAATGCTTGTAGCACAATTTTAATATATAAGGCATAGTTTATACGCTAATGATATGTACATTATTTCAATAGTTATATCTTAAATATGTGTGTATAAAATTAAAAATAATAAACAAATTAAATTGAAATAAAATTAATATTCGAAACTTCACCTAGCTGAAAAAGGAACCATCGATATAGAACACCTATTTTCTAATGCCAGCCATAAACGTTACACTTAGCTATTTAAAATTGTACCCATTCAATCTGCAAGAAAAAATCGTAACCTGTATAGATATCATATACTAAAGAACCACATCTATAAGTATTAATGCAAATTGTACTCGCTTTTGGCCGATTTCATTTGGCACAATTGAATATACAATTTTGATCTCTATTTGTATATGCATATTGTATACAATATTATAAACCTGAGTGAATTAGTAAATTTAAATTAAGAATTCTCTAATATATATCAAAATTAATTATTCTTATATTACATAATGTTTTTGTTGTTTATTGTTACATATTAATAATATTATATATTTTGTTGATACCGTTTAAATATAGATCTCAGTATTGGAACCCAATCTCACGTTTATTATATTTGATACAATACTCTTTAAAGATATGGTGATAAATTACTCTGAATAGAGATATCAATATAAAATTTATACTATATATAATATTACACTATCAAATGTATGGTATCCTAAGTACAATACAAGCATATCTTAAATACAAGGCAGCAACATACACGGCGCAGTAAATTCTTTTTAAAATTTACACTACCTTAAAATTTCATTTTGATATCATATAGAAACCTTTATTCTTAGAATAATATGAATTAAATTTGTAATAAATTTAATTCAAAATTATTAAATTTAATTTATAATAAAGCATTTTTATCGGCCCCACGGCCATAGCCGGGGGGGGGGGGGAGGGGGATATTGAGGAGCAATGCCCTATTTCAAAAGGCTCAATACCTTAGTTAATTAGACAGATTAGCTTTTTCTAAATCACTTAATTATGGCTTCTGCCTTACCAAACAGTTCTTTTGGCCTAGCTTAAACATGGGTCTAGCTTCAGCCCTGAGCGCGCCTCATCAAGGTTACTGGTGATCCAAGAACTGGTGTAGCTACTTTGCGAAAAAGACGAGTTTAGCGGTCCATAGAGGTAATGTTGCTAGTATCTTGAGTACTATTTATAATTAATTGTATGTGTTGTTATTCCAAAAATTGTATAAATTAAATGTATAAAACTGAAAAATTAAAGATTACGATAAAGAAACTATTATGTTAAAATATTCGGTTAAAAGATAAGATTTAGAGAAAGGACGCCTCAGAATTGACAGCACTGAAAGTGTATGAATAACTTCTAATAATTAATATTGATCAACTTGGATACCACATCTTTGAGAGTGCAATTTTTCTAGTAAAAAGATATATTTTACAAAATATTACTTTAATATATTACTCTTACAGTCTAAATTCATTCAGACTGGTATTAGGCCGTGGTACTTACTTAGCATTTATACATTAAAATATTCAATCCAAGTCATATATCATTTGATGGACATAATTCATTATTAATAATTTGGCAATGCTGCCACGTTTAACATTATATAAACATTGTACTTTGTTACATTAAAATTTAGTTTGATTATCAAACACAATCTTTGAATCAGTCAGCAATGTTAGTGCGACAAAGTACTAAAGTCTTTTAGACAACATCGGCCTTAAGTATCATACAAATTTGTTCACAGAGTTGCCACTCTCCTTGTCGACATTTCTAATTACAATCTAAATGACATTAACAATATTTGTTTTACAAAAATATTTCTGGACAATATAAAAATATTGCTTCGTTACATTACAATTATATATTATTATTTACTTACCAATTACATACATTTTACATGTTTAAAATTTCTATTACATATAAAAAGAGTGTAACTAAAATACAGTATATGTAAAAAAGTGATAATCGACAATCTCTGATTAGTCAGAGACCAGGAAGCATTTTTACATATTCTCTTTTTTTAATATTATTATTTAACCTAACAAAGTTGTTTTGCTCCCTACTGTCATCTATCGAGTTGATTTTATCAAAATAAAAATTTGAGAGATAGGATATCTCTCAAGTTGGAGTATACAATACAAAATTTTATTAAAATCGGTTGAGAGGATTTGAGATTTTTATTTATTGAGATATATGACTTATTTATATATATATACACATTTGTTAAATATGAAAGTATATATCTATCGTACTAATTAAATTAGTTATTTTTTAAATATACACTATGCAGGACGTATTAGTTGACGTGTTTGGAAGACATACTTTACTCTCTTACTGATACATAAATCTGTTTAACCCTTCTTTGCATATTTTTTTTATTGGTGATATAAATCATGGTGATATAATTCATGATCAAAATTAAAGGAAAAATGGTTAAAAAATAAATTATACAGCTATGTTTTTTTTCTGCAATGGACATTAAAAAGGTATCCAGACACGATCAACTTAAAGTGAACTTGTTCTTTTATATAATTTTTGAGCATTCGATGTAATGATGGAAATTTCCACTATTATGCAAAGAAGGATTAACTGCCACCTTCTATCATTTACTGCCTATAAAAGTTTAATAAAATGCCGTTGATTTCTTATAAGTGTAGTTTTTATATCTCCTGTATGAAGACGAGCTAAGATTAAAAATTCAATAAAGCAGTCTTTTTTATAGCATCTAGCGAGTTAAAATATACCAAATCGCTTAAATAAGACAAAACTAAATGTGTTTACAGTCTGATAATATCATAGGGAGATTATAAGTATGATATTACGGAACCTCTTAGTGGGTTTTATTTTTACCCACAAAACATCTATTTATGTTCAAGTTCAGATGCACTTAACAATTTGCTATAAATACATAATAACAATTTTTATTAATACAGATTGTCAGTTATTTACTAAAATTAATATTATTTGTGACATATTAGCACAGCAGTGATGTGTGAAGTCATATTTATTGAGTGATAATTAGGTTTTATATGTTTATTGTCTTACCTTGAACCTTGACCTTTGGAAGCGACCTTGACCTCTATTTGAGACCTTAATACTTATTAGACATTATAAATGTGATATACATTGCACGTTTATAGCTGCCAACAACTATCCGCAGTATTGGTGTTACAGCAGCGCATGCGCGTGCAGTATCCGCGGCGCGCCGCCCTCGCCCGCGCCGCCGCCGCTCTCCCACGCCACCACCACGCCGTTCCCGTACAACCCGAACAGCAGTAGGGAGTCGCTGCTGTATGTCACACTGAAATTTAATGTTTATTTAGTGAAAACTATAAGTAATACCTTGAAATAAGCAAATGTATTATTATTATTATCTGTTTACATTAGGCATGGGTAATATGGATACCGATCTGATATCTATATATTGGGTTTATCTGGAGATTGAAAGCGGAAAAAAAGGTTATCACCCATTTCGATATCGCCTATATCGGTTCGATATTTATTTTCTAATATGTCAAGTCTTCAATATAATTTTTCGGATAAATGAAATGAAATGAAATGAATTTATTTTGCTAGAATGCAGGTAATTTTAGATGATAGAGGTTTATATTTCCCGTGTACATTCTGCCTCTATGTCGGCGTGCAAATTTTTAACAATATAATAAATTTATATATATATTCTACATTATATTTCCTTTCCTTAGTCATACAATAAATTATTATTATTTATTACAGTAAACAGAAAAAATAAAAGCCTATACAATAGTTGTCCAAATTAATAAAATATTTTAACAACTGTATCTCTAGTGTAGGTTGTGAAGTGCATTTGTTTTTTTAGCGAAATATTCATTAATGGTATAAAACCCGTTACATAACAGCCAATTTTTAAGTTTACGTTTAAACACTGTATGAGCTGTTACTTCTCTAATGTTATTTGGTAGATGGTTGTAAACTTTAATAGCCATACAGTATGCGTTTCTTTTATGTAAATCTAACCTGCACTTTGGTACATATAATTTGTCGTTTGGTCTAGTTGTACGTGTTCTCGAGTCCGATATTCTTTTGAAAAAGCCAGCATGTTCCCTTACAAATATACACAAATCTCTAATGTACGTACATGGCAGTGGAAGAATATTTAATTTCTTAAAAAGAGGGCGACAACTTTCTCTAATTTTTGCACCACATATAGCTTTAACACACCTCTTTTGCACAACAAATGCTCTGGAAATTTCTGCAGAGTTTCCCCATATTAGTAATCCATATGAAAGTATGGAGGATACGTATCCATGATAAGCACTCAGTGCAGCCTGTTCTGATACTGACAATCTTAATTTTCGTATCGCATGCACGAATCTATGGAGATTGTTACACAAGGCCTCTATATGGGCCTTCCAGTTACAATTTCTATCTATAATTATGCCTAAGAATCTGGTACTATCCACTAATTCCACTGATTGATTTTGGTAATTTATATTTATTTTTACAGATTTTGAATGATGTGTGCCAAAATGTATTATTTTGGTTTTATTTAAATTAACTTTTAAATTATTTTCTGTTAACCATTTTATAACATTTTGTAATGTGTCATTAATTTGTGTTTCTAAGTCATCTTTATTTTTACATTTTATTAATATAGTTGTATCGTCAGCATATAGTATACATTTATGTGTGATTATATTAGGCAAATCATTTATATAAGTCAAAAAAATATATGGTCCAAGAATGCTTCCTTGAGGAATTCCTACTTTATTTAATTTTGGGATAGATCTATAGATTTTTTTATAGCCATTAATAATTTTAAACGTCTCGGTACATTGTTTGCGATCTTGTAAATAGCTTTTTAGCCAACTATGTGCATTTCCTCTTATTCCGTATTTATATAATTTGTTTAGTGCTATATTATGATCTAAACAGTCAAAAGCTTTAGTCATATCCAAAAATATTGCAGCTACGTGCTCCCTATTATTCAATCCCTCCGTTACAGATTTTATTAAATCGAAACAAGCCAAAGATGTTGAGCTATTTTTCCTAAATCCATATTGTTCTTGTTTTAAGATATTATTTTTAGTCATAAAGTCATTGAGCCTTTTTAACATAGCTCTCTCAAATATTTTAGAAATTACTGGGATAAGTGCAATAGGCCTATAATTACTCATATCACTTACATCCTCTTTTTTATGTAATGGCTTTATTATAGACATTTTTAGACTATCTGGAAAATAGCCTTGTTCAAACGACATATTAATAATGTAGGATAATGGTTTACACAAGTGAATAGAGCATGTTTTTAAAATTTTTGTGCTAATTGAATCATAACCTACTGAGTTTGTATTATTTAATGTCTTTATAATATCCATAACTTCTATATCGCTACTAGGTGTCAAAAATATTGTTTTGGCATTATCATTCATACTGATATTATGGGTATAATTAGATTTTAATGTCGATTTTTTATTTATTGAATTTACGAAATAATCATTGAATAGATTGCATATTATATTTGGATCATTATGTATTATATTATCTATTTTAATCATATCAATTTGTCTATTTTCAGCTTCATTATTAATGTTATTATTAATTAATTTCCATATAGCTTTTCCTTTATTTTTGCTTTTTTCTATATATTTGTTGCATTGTATTTGTTGTGAAGTATTAATACATTTTTGTAAAATTTTACTATAGGTCTTATAAATTTTCGCATTTACTTTTTTATTGTGATTAGCATGTTTAAATTTTAAATAGTATATTCTCTTTTTGAGACAACTCTTTTTTATTCCTTTAGATAACCATATAGATTTCTGATTATTAGATTTTAATTTAATTTTAATTATCGGAAAGCACAAATTATAAAATAACAATAGCAGATTATGAAATGCATCGAATGCTTTATTCACAGTAACTTGCTCGTACAATTCACTGAAGCTCAATTGCCTCATGCTTTCACAAAATTTATTAATATTCAGTTTACTATAATCCCTACGATATTCTGTCCAGGACGTGCTACTTTTTCTTTTATTTATTTTTAGTGTGATAGTTTGTGCAGTTTCGTGATCAGATAACCCTAAGTAGTAAAGCTTAGCATTCACATTTTTTATGTTGCTTGCGATTTGGTCAATACAGGATTGTTGTCTTGTTGGATATTTTATATGTATTTCAAAATTATAACTTTTTAGTACACTTATTAATTCGTTAGATGTTTTATTTTTTTTTAAGGTGTCAATGTTCCAGTCTCCACAAAGAATAATTTTTCTATTTTTATATTTTTTTGTTACTAAATCTAATAATTCTTCTAATCTATTCATAAATATTGACGTATCCCTTCCTGGTATTCTATAAATACAAATGACAATTATGTTACAGGATATGATATCAATCCCGGAACACTCAAATAGAAATTTTTGTGATAATTGTCCTAAAGCAGAAATTTGTTTAAATTCTAGTCCTTTTTTTATCAAAATACAGCTACCTCCTCGTTTGGTATCTCGAGAAAACGAAGACGCTAATTTATAGTTGGGGATCTTTAATAAATTTTCAGTGCCCTTTCTAATAAATGTTTCACTAAGACACACTACATCAACATCCAACCTTTCATTTTTTGTTAAGTCCGTCAAGGCTATTTCTAATAGTTCCGATTTATTTAAAACGCCCGCTATATTTTGATGTAATAATGTGAAATTACTAATTTTGTCAGGGGCTTTAGGTTTATAGTTCACGAAAAAGCGTAGTTTGTGCGTTTTGTATTTCTATAATTTCGTCAGTTTGGGTACCTTTTTCTAATAAATTTGAGGAAATTATTTTTGAATTCAATACTTGATTTCTATATTTGGAATATTTTATTTTATGGTCTATGCGTAAGACTTCTCTGAGCATTAATTGACATAGGTGTAGTGCAAAAGAACTGCGTCTAGGTCTTTCATAATGATAGTGCATATCAACAAAAGTAGTGTTGTCATATTTAGTACATATAAACTTTAGCTCGTAATTTATTTTTCTTTCGTTTAAATAATAATTATATGGTATTTCGGAAATCAAAATGTTAGTATTAGATATAGATTCAATCCACTTATTTATATACATTTGAAACTCGTAGGGATTTCTGTCATTAGTTCCACCAAGTACTATCACAAAATCATTTTTATTCAACCCGCCAATAGACTTTTTTTCCGACAAGAGAACCTCTTGTAGTTTAGCTCCGGGTTTCCAGAAACAACTAACAATATACTCCTTTCCGACTAATTTTTGAAGATGTTTCTGTACATTCCTTCCTTGATCATCTGCTATAACAATAATTTTCCTTTTCAAATTATGTTCTTTCGCTTCAATTCTGTATTTCTGGCTGTCATTTGGTTTTTCTTCTTTTTCTACATTTATTAATGTTAGTTGTGAATTCATTTTGTCTTCAATAGCTTGTTCTGGGTGGTCAGGTATAAACATCTGTTGATCTTTATTTAAATTCTTAGATTGTGGACTTTGATCTAAAGTAGAACTACTTAATAATAATGACTTTGCTAGAGTGGCCGGTTTGTTTTTAATAGGATTTCTTTTCTTTCGTCCTGATAAAGGAGTTGGCGGAGATAAATGCACTTTCTTTAAAGATTCTACTAATTTGCAGCTTTTGTCGAGGTCTGATTTTAATTTAAAATTTTCAGTATTTAAATTTTCTATTTCTTGGTGAGCGATCTCTAATTCACTTGTAAGGTCTTTTATTTTTTGTGTTAATTCTGCATGAATTTGACTCTCACTGAATGATGTGTTATTAGGTAAACTCATCATAGTTGAATTAAATATAGAGGAATGAGAGTCTGAAATATTATGCAATGAACTCGATCGTGTCGGTTTTCGGTAAGTTACATTTTCATATGCCATTGTCTTCTTTATATAAAATCGGGCAATAAATCAATTAAAAAAAAATACAATTAAATAATAAAATGTCAAAATTAAATAAAAGTTTCTGCTCTTCACTAAAAATGATCTTCCTTAAAAAAAATGTCATAAAATGTTTATCTATGTCTTCTAGAATTAAATAATAATATTAATCCACACTCTAATTTATTATAAAAAAAAAAAAAAAGAACGAAAAATAAACTTTATATTCGCCTGAGATTTGAAACATCAACCTTCGGGGCACAAGTCGTTCAGCGTTGCCGCCAGACCAAGTAACTTGTTGCGTCTTAGTGTGAAACATTCAATTATAATCTTTGCTAATTGACAGTTGATGTTCATAAAAATCTTAAATTATTGGAGGTGTTTGAATTTATTGCTTATCCGCTTTGACCTTCAACCGTCACTTGCACTTGTTATTACTATATATGGAATATTTATTAATAGTTCTCTTCAATATCGCTTGTATTGTTGTTAGTAAGAATATATTCATTGCACTGTTGTCATCTTATTATTGTTGATTTTTATTAATGTGGTTTACAATCATTACTTGATTTTTATAACAACCAGATCGAACTTAAATTTTACTTTTATGTTTTCTTCAGTTTGGCTGAATAATTTTTATTACAAACACGAACACAGGATATTTAATCACTAACACACAGTTTAATCACGTGTAATTTAGGTATATTCTAAATTTTCTATTTTTATTAATAAAATATACATGAACTAGATTATACCGCTAGTGCAGTCGGTGTTAGTAATAGACTTTTAACATATTCATTATTGGATAATTTTAAAACGCTCACCCATTATACAGTACAATGTACGTGCAGGGTGCAGGATGCAGTGTGCAGTACAGCAGGGGGCGTACAGTACAGTACAGTACCTGAGTAGCGGCGCGCGTTCAGCGGGCGGTATGTAGGCGACGCGGCGCAAGTCCCACGACGAGTACAGCACCACGCCGCCGCCTTCCAGCCCGGCCGCCACGCAGTTCACACTCACGCCCTCTGGTGCGTTCGAGTAGCAAATGCTCGTCACACGTTCCGCTACCTTCACGCTACCTGTACAAGTTATAAAAAGTTACGTAAACATACACTATATGTTTATGGTTTTAAGGTTCACTTTTCAATATCAATTTAAGGTGCAAGAAAACACGTCTTTACTGAAGTAGATATATTTTCGACTATCTTATTTTATTTTTTGCATATGGGATCAGCTAAGCCGTTGCACGTCGACCCATACGGATCTTTTGTGCTTCCCCCTGCTTTATACCATCGTTTCATAGATCCTATGTGTTACCCTAACAATATATGTAGTCCCCTGGCTTTGGATAAGCCGTTCCCAGTAGACTCATACGCATACTTGCCAACGAATCACAGTTGCATATCAAGTGTTCCATGGATTCCGATTTCTCCCCGCACAGTCTGCACAGTGTGTCCGAAGATAGAACCATCTTGTGTAGTATATGCCTTATTGGCATATATCCAGTTAGGGCACTCATAAAGAGTCTTGCCTGTTGTATGCCACCGCTGTAGATGAGTTTATCCCATCCTTCGACATTATCATTTAAGAACTTTTTAGAATGTCTAAGACCCTTTTTTAAACTATTACTACCTATTTTCAACTAACTTCAATTTAATAACATTGTTTGCTTTTAAACCTACGGCGGTGAGACATTAGTAATAGAATTGCATGAAGTTAACCAGTGTTTATTTTTATTGTTGATATTATAGGTAAATTACGTTAGCACTATATTTTAATTTAATAACTACCGGTTTGAATCAACTACGAGTTGAAGGGCGATACTTTGAGCACTGTATGTACACAGTGACTTATCAACACAACTAGTGGCAATAATGACAGACAAAGAGGAAGACTACGAAGACTAGCCGTTGATACCCGAAGAGTTCCGAACGCCGTCTTTCTTATCTGTGACGATGCCGCAAGCGCCTACAGCGAGCCCTTAGCGCGTCACAGTCACTCATGACTAAGACGCGAATACAGATACGTCGAATGTGGTGCTAACTTAGACATCTGAGGGCCTACTATGAAATATTTTCCGAAATTTCTAGACCGAACGAAACACAAATTTGATTTCAAAATTAGGTAATATGTAGCGTTTAAAAATATTAAAAATGGTAAAATATTGTTCCTTTGGATTATTATGGTAGGATTTATGACGAACGAAATGGGAGGACTATGGGCCGATTTCGATATGAACAAAAACACGAAATTGCGCCCGATAATTCGTTATTTCATTTCACGGTAGACCCACCGAATAATGAAATACGTACCGACAAATGAAGCGTTCACAGTGTGCACACGTATGAGCGACTTGTATTTGTCAACGTCGTGCTCGTACGAGTCGGCGCCGGTGACGTCGTCGTGTACAGCGCCGGGCGCGCGGGTGTCGACGGGGGCGGCGCGGGCGCGGGCGGCCGGGTCGTGCACGGTGGCCACGTCGCACAGCGTCTCGCTCACCGTCACGTGCGTCACCGGCAGCATGTCGCGGTTCGGCAGTGTTCGGATGTATGTCAGTCTGTCGGATACGATTACAATTAAAGCAGTTTGCTAAGATTCAATTTTATGTTACTGTGGTATATATACGATTTTGTTCTTCATTTATATTTTACGTACATGTATTTGTGTGTACACACGTATACACAAATACATGTGCGTGTGTGCGTGCGAGTTTTTTAGTGGGTGCAAATAAAATGGTATATATAATTTCTTTCTCTTTTGCGTGTGCGGGCGTGCATGCAAGAAATATTAATAAAATGAATCATGATGAAATGAAGTGGGACATTTTCAATTAAAGAAGTATAAATACTAAGGAAAAAGAAATAAAAGTGACAATGAATTACAAAATGGAGAATATTTCCGAATAAAGAGGTATAACGGTTTAGTCCATAATGGTAACGCATGAAAGGTACGACTGGTCTCATAGAGTATTCTGGGACGGTTGTAGCGGTTGCGATGAGGAGTGTACGGGAGGCACGCACTCGTTGAGGTCCCAGAGCACGATGCAGCCGTCGCAGCCGGCGGAGACGAGCAGCGACGCGCGCGCACACACGTGCAGCGCGGCGACGGCGGCGCGGTGCGCGAGCAGCGGCCGCGCGCGCGCCGCCCGCGCCGCCCGCGCCGCCCGGCGCGCCGCGCACGCGCACGCGCAGCGCCGCCACGCGCCCCGCCGCGTGCCCCATCATCGCCGCGCACGCGCTCTCGCTGCCCACGCACGACGCCACGCACGTTATCTGCCCACAGGGGTGGCTAACATATACCAATACCTATATATTTTAGTTACATTATCTAAATAGGTTTGGCTAGCTTGGCTCAATAACGAATATATTAAATGTCTATTGAATGTTATCCAATATGTTAATATCGAAATGAAGAACTCGACCGAAATTAATATAGATATACGGCCGGTACCTTGTGGCCGGTAATTTGGAGGTGAATGTAAATAAAACATGAAATATGGCAGTGCATGTAATATAGGCACGTGTATTACCTTGTCGAGCGCGGGCACCCGCAGCAGCATGTCGAGCGCTGCGTCGCGGCGGCGGCGCACGCGCACCACGTCGTCCGCGTGGTCCCATGATATTACTGCGTACGAGCTGCCCGACTCACCTACCACGTAGCCAGTTTTATTTCACATAGTAATCATTTATTCGAAACTTGAAATGGAAATAATGAATCAATGATCAATGATAACATAAAAATGGCCAATAGATAAAACAGCCACTAGTAAGCTAAAAATAATAGTAACTACAAAGGTAATAAGCTGGTCGTACATATATCTTGAATTAACAATTTATCAGGTAATTCGAACTAATAAATTCTGTATAAAATGAATGACTTTATTCATGACTGGCCTTGGTCTACCTGACACCTTTAGGCAAGTTTTTGACATCCTCCTTCTCCATTTTATTATAGCACCTTATGTTACGACGCTGTTTTTAGATCAGGGCGTATCAAGCGCTGTTTACCACTCTCCGCCTTGTTTTAAGACTCCTTCACTGATGGAGCCATAGCTTCATATGTGTTGCGGGGAGTCAATTAATGCAGGCCGCCTTAAGGCTATTTACTATGACAGTCTACAGAGGGAGCTAATGTGAGGATAATTAACAACTAAAATGATGGTGAACATATACTTCTTTTTTTTCGATCTTAGTTATTGCGAGAGAAAGTTATTGAATTCTTAAAAATGTGTATGTAATGTTCGAAATAAAAAATAAAAAAAAAACTGTATTCGTGTTTGTTCATACAAGACATAATTTATAATGGCGTTAGTGTGTGTGTAATGTATAAGTTCGGGTACCTTGTATGGTGACAAGCGCGCTAGAGGGCGGGGCGTACGCGACGGTACGCGCGTGGGGCAGCGCGTACAGCGTGCCCCCCGCCCCCGCCAACCCCGCCCCCGCCCCGCCCGCGGTCGCCAGCGAGCGGCGCGCGCGCGGCACGGGCGGCGGCAGCGCGGGCGAGCCGCACCAGCGGCCCCAGCGGCCGCCCTCCACGCCCGCCCACACGCTCGGCTGCGCGCACAACACAACTTATCAACGCTCCAACGACACGTTCTCACCAAGCAAATAAATAAACAACTAGTCGAAACGCTTTACAAATAAACAATGGACGCAGCTTCTCGTCCGTTTTACGATAACAAACAAACAGAAACATTCATAAAAGTATCCATTTGTGTGATAAATTTGCTTCGGAAGCTAAACAGCTAGCAGTGAAATGTATGAATATTTATAATATTACTATATTATATACTATAACTTGTGGATTACAATCTGCGATTGGGAGCAACAATCTAGCTCATTGAGGCTAGTACCATTTTAGGCTAATCGGTCGCATGTTAATGACGACAGAACTAACGTCACATTCGACGGAGGTATCTTTTTTCTAACCGTCCATGCTGTTGGCCGCAAATGACCTTTACAGCTTCACCGGACGCGTGCGCAGGGCGAATGCAGATGACACTCCAAGCCCGCGAGAGGGGAGCGGCAAAGTGTCAGGTCTTTCTTATGAACTGCGGCGTGCACTCAAGAGCATCAGAGCGGCTCGAATCTCGGCTTAGGCCACCGCACTTTGACCCCTATCGAGGGGCGAAAGGTCAGGTTGTCGTGACGAGTACGGAGGTATCTTCGACCACCGAACCTTGATGCATCTAATTGCATACAATTAGCTGTTCTCGGGTATACTGCGCCGAAGATTAGTCATTATGTTTAAGTAACGTCGCGGAATGCTTGCACCCGGTCGTCGAGGCTCCGATGTTTCGTCGGCGGAGGATGGGCAGCGAAGTCAGCAGCGGGCCGTACCTGGTGGGAGGCGCGGTGCAGCAGGTCGGGCGCGCGGTGCGGGTGCGGCTGGCGCAGCAGCTGGCGCGGCGCCTGCCCGTACGTGCGCACCATCGCCTCCGCCGCCGTGCGGTCCACCTCGTCCTCCAGCGCCAGCGGGTCGAACCCGTAGTACGTCTGCACATGTTGTTACACGCACATCACACCTCTCAACCCGCAACATACCAAAACGTTAGCTAGTGGTAAATTTAGATCATATGTCCCAACATAGAATGGGCCACTCACATTTTATGGCACATCATATGGTTGTTAAAGACAACTAGGGGAACTTAATAGTCGAAGGATGGGCAAGCAGTGCACCTCTTTAACCATCATTAAAGCCTAACTGTAGTTGCCAACCCGCATGTTAAGCGCAACTACTGGCAAAACTCCCCAGTAGAGGAAGAACTATGTTCAGCAGTAGTCAGTTAACGGCTGACAAAACGATGATTAATAATAATAAATGGGATACGTACACATGCTGGGAACACATTGATGGCGTCGATGGCGGGCTGGCCGGTCTGCTTGTAGCCGAAGATGAGGTCGATCCAGTGCGGCAGCATGTCGGTGACGTGCGGCGCCTCGAGCGCCTGCCGCAGCACCAGCGTGAACAGCCGCGCGTCCGCCGCCCACGCGGGCAGCTCCACCGCGTCCACGCCCGCGCCGCACTGCCGCACGCCCAGCGACAGCCCTGCCGCACACCACCAGCGGAATAGAAATCGCTGCTTATAGGATCTAACAAACCTAATACTAGCAATATACTCTATCAAGTTGACCTCCACGCAGTTCCCTCCTGGAAACGACCGTGGTTATTTCTTATGGATGGACTAACTGACCGGCTTTCATCTTTACCTATCATTTCGCATTGGCTCCCCGGTCAGTGTATACCGATAGCGCTGGTGGTATTACCGTTCCAATATCCATTTAAAAAAAGCCACACAGCACAGTGTCAACTTTGCATGCCGCTATACAAAGATTATACATGGTAAACTTAGAACAAGGGCACAACCTTCCCCCCCTACATAATACTCATAATACTAATCTTACACCACGCGATAACACTTTACATTATGTTGGACCTACTGGCACTGGCGCCATATTGTTTATAAAGGCACTGATGCACGCCCAATAACATTACCGTTCACACTATATTCCCAAATGCCTTGTACGGGTTTTATAAAAGCGAGTGTTTCTCACTCATTTAATGTCTAAATTATTGATATTTATTGCATTTTTTATATACATTTGTCGAGAGCGATTGATACTTGCGAGATCTCAGTCCTTTGCTTCCTTAAAGAAGTTACGTACATATACATATTCTTCACTTCCTCAATGGCAACCGGTCGCCATTTTTACGACCATTTCTGCCAGCATCATGTATAAGACAATTGTAAGTCGAAAATTATATTTTTTTTACACATAATATTCAAAGGGCGTCACAATCATAAGAAACAATTACGCATTGTATCATCGCGTATGTATACTCAAACTACAGCTCTTCAATTTAAACTAAATATTCACCGTTCCCGCCATTTTTTTCTACATGTACATATTATCGATTATTTATACGTGGCGCCACTGACCTTCATTGTTATAGAACAACTCTGGCAAATAGAAAAGCTCCGGTATGAGTTCCTTTACGTCGGTGGGCGAGTCGTTTGTGATTAGCCGCCACGTAGTTACCAGCGAGTGGAACGTGCGGTCCGGCATATCGAAGTTGTTATCTGGAAATAAATTGGTGATGAATGAGGAAGCAATTACTGTGGAGGATACAGTGTAGCCAATGAATGTCTAAATCAGTGTCACGTGTACGCTGACAAATTGAAACCCTTACTAATTGATTCTGGTAATCTTATGATAAATGAAACATCAAAAAAACTGTAGAAGGTTGAAAGGGAAAGTTTTTTTTGTATATGTTTTGTTGTATTTCTTTAAATATGTACCCATAGCTAACATTATTAGTGTACCGTAAGTGATACAAATCACTACATAGTATAAAACAAAGTCGCTGTCGCTGTCTGTCCGTCCCTATGTATGTTTAAATCTTTAAAACTACGCAACGGATTTTGAAGCGGATTTTTTTAATAGATAGAGTGGTTCAAGAGGAAGATTTATATGTATAATATATGCATAATATTGTAGAGAAACACTGATAATTTTAGAGGTTTCTAATGTGATGTAATGTGCACCCATGCGAAGCCGGGGCGGGTCGCTAGTAAAATCTATTTATCTATCTAAGTACGGGAAGTTAGTATGAGAAGTGATTTACAATCAATAAACAAGTTAAACAAGACAAACAGTTAAATGGTGACACTTACGAATTCAAAACAAATGCGTTGTCTATTTCTCTTTATGTCTATGTATCGCGCCGACGTGTACAATACTTACCCTGGTAGTTGAGGAAGAGCTCTGTGAAGGGCGGCAGACGCACGAGGTAGTGTAGCACGCCGCCCGAGTTGGAGTACAGCGACGCGTAGTGGTGCGGCTGCTGCGACAGTGCCGAGCAGCCTGCCCGCCGCGCCGCCGCCAGGTCCTGCAACCGGATCACCTTGCTGGTCATCATCTTTCACCACATCACAGAGGCTGGCGATAGTCTTGTTCAGAGGCGAGTGGTAAACAGCGACTTTAAATCAATCTTCGGTCGTCGATCATCCGCGACGGAACGCTTATATACCAATTTACATATAATTTGCTACCCTCAGTTACACTAAGTAGATGTCATTACATTGAAACGTCGCTGAGCGATTGTGTCCGCCGTCTGTTCGATCATTGGCGCGCCGATCTTTGAATGATGGAAGATCGGTAATGCTGCATTGCATCTTTATGTAATGCCATCACACTTGGCGGATGATCCGCATTTCTTGCTCACGCTCACGTGGCTCCAAAACTAATACGTTTCGTATTACAATTTCGAACATACAATGAAATAAAAAACGGAAAAAAAGAGACGGTATAGTGATGCATTGTTTATCATATTCCTACCCATAAAGTGTTCAAACGATCAGAATCCAAAATCACCAATCAACTTCGAAATTTTCGATAGAACGAAGAGAATATATTAACAATAATGTTTTTCTCTAGTATTCCTGACTTCGGACTATTAGGAATATATTTACTTGGAAACGTGAGAATTTTATCCGTTAAATAGTGATTACACTTTATAAAAAGTCCGTGAAATAAAAAATTTATGGAGACAGATGTTGCGGGTTGATTTAAAACGACCAGGTTGCTAGAGACGTATATTTCAACTGCCTAGTAGTTTTATTATATTTTCTTGTTACTTATAAAAAATATTCAACACAATGAAGTATTGTTACGAATAAATTGAATTGAAGAAAATATTAAACCTGTTATTTTTTTTTATATTACTTAGAATGGCAAACAAGCTGACGGCCCACCTGATGGAAAGTGGTAACCGTCGCCTATAGACATGAGCAGTATCATGGACATAACAGAGTATAATGTTTCGCCCTTGATACCTCCCAAGCGTTGCCAATCCTGAGGACTAGTGTTATTCCTCTGTACCCTGTAAATTCACGCCATATCCCACCCATCAAACCGAAACACAGCCATGCAAACACAACTGCTTCACGGTAGAAACACGAATGGGACAGAGGTACCCAAGCAACCGACGTACTAAACAATTTCCTTACTGCACTGCACGCATAAACATAGATATGACTCGATAATAGACAACTTACATTGTAAGTGTTTATATAGTGCTGTTCCCGGTTTTTGTTTTGCACCGCCATCGGCTTGCTGAGGTCTCGGAACGAGGCCGGGTTGTTGAGGTCCAGTATCCGCGAGGTGTAGTCAGCGATTACGAACGGAAACACCGGGTATTGCATCAGGTCGTTGTACGAACGGCCGCCGAGGCAGTTCAGCCGCATCAGGTACTCCCAGTTGGTGATACTGCCGGATCGCCATTGGGCCATCGCTTCTGACAGAGTATCGGGCTCCGAACTAATATAAACATTAATGTAGCATTAGTCGAGTAGAATAGGTATTTATGTAAAGGTAATGTAGCATTAGTCAAGTAGAATAGGTATTTATGTAGAGGTAATGTAGCATTAGTCGAGTAGAATAGGTATTTATGTAGAGGTAATGTAGCATTAGTCGTAGTAGAATAGGTATTTATGTAAGTTTTTTTAAATAAGTTAATGGTTTATTAGAAGTGGAGATTATTAGAAGAGAAGAATGTGATAATAGTTATTTATAGATATGAATAGCGTCATGAACGTAATGAAGTGTTTAAGAACTGTATTTATGTATAGAAATTTTAGTTTTGAAATTAGAAAATAGAATTAGATACCAGAGGGAGACTTTATACAAAAGTAGTTTGCTTGGGCACCTCTGCCCCATTCGTATTTCCATTGTCAAGTAGTTGTGTTTGCATTGCTGATGTTTCGGTTTAAAGGGTGGGATATGGCAGTGAATTTACAGGGTACAGAGGAATAACATCTGAGTCCCTGGTCCTTATTAATGGCACATGAAGGATAACATGAATATTATACTGAACAACTAGTTACCGTGAATTAAAAATCTACTACCGATGAAGGTGTATGTGTGTGTGTAGGTCACAAGGTGTTTGTGTGCAGAAATTTAGAAATTAAATGTATTTATGTGTATTATTATTTTTATATATATGTTATTGTACTGATACTGAATATTTCCTGTGTGTATGTATTGGAGAAGTGTAAAGCTCGGGCCGTGGACGTAATGTAATGTGATGTGATAGCAGCGCGGCACCTGGCGGGCGGGTGGCAGGCGGCGAGCGCGCGCAGGAAGGCGGCGCGCGCGGGCTCGTGGTGGAAGGCGAGCAGGTGCGCGCGGCCGCCGCGCACGAACACCTCCACGGCGCGCTCGCGCAGGCACCAGCGCCGCGCCGCCACGCGCGCCACGCGCCACAGCGGCCAGCTCAGCGCGCCGCCGCCGCCCTCCGCCGCGCCCTCGCCCTCGCCCTCGCCCTCGCCCTCGCCCTCCTCCTCTGCCGCGCGCGCAGACAAATCACGTCAGATTACTCCCTATTGCTCTCAATACGCCCTATCGGGTCCACCTTCAGGCGGTTCCCTCTAAAAACTATCGTGACTAATTTATCGTTGAATTCGTCTCGACGGGTTGACTGACCTGCTTTCATCCTCACCTATCATCTATTACTGTTGCGCCGTCAGCGTATACCTATAACGCAAGCGGGGTTACGATTCCATTACCTCTCTCTCTCTTTTCATTTAAGAGTTTCCTCTTATCGGTGCATTCATGCATCTTCATCCAGCCAGCTCTATCCCAGGCCATATCCTTGACCTTCTTATATGACATGATATTCCATTACCACTGATTAAAAAAAAACTATTGGTAAAGCCTTCCAAGTTATGGGGGAGCATATATTTCAGTAGTGGACAGATAATGGTCGATATGATGATAACGAATTGCAGCAAGGGTTTCCAAAATTATTTTGTCTACTGCCTTCTTTGAGATTAAATTATTTTTTAGCGCTCCCATTTCTTCACCTACTTAAAAACCACTATTACTTCAAGATCAACAAATCACCCTTCCCAAATCTCTACACAACGCCATTTTTTTCTGTATCTCTTACCGCCCCTTTAGGCCTGCAGCACCCACAAGGGGGTAATATCGCCCACATTGGGAAAGGCTGTGCTACAGTGTAGCGGCGTACCGTCGGGCACGAAGTGGAGACAGCGGTCTGTGAGCAGCAGGTCGCCGCTGGTCTCGCGCGCGACGTGCACGTGCGTGACGCGTGCGGCGTGCGCCAGCGTCTCGTGCGGCTGCAGGCGCGCCGCCGCGCCGCGTGCGCCTTGCGCCGCCGCCAACACGCGCTGCAGCGGTGCTGGCTGCCGCCACAGCTCTACAGCACACAAACAACAATAAACATAAATGCACAGTGAAAAAAGAAAACAATTACACGCATTAAACTCGTTTACACACTTGTGTGTAAACCATAATAACCGTGCAGCTCCCGGCATACAATAGACTACTTATTCCTTTCTCATCGATATCATACGAGGCGACTGAGGGAGTTTATGATGGACAGCAGCGTCAAAAGGTAAATAGCAGATACCGTCCCGCCTGCTAAGCGTGGCAACTCCTAGCAAAACCCCCTTATGGGGGAGGCTATGTTCAGCAGTGGACAGTCAACATCTGATACAACAACACACTTGTGTAGATCACGATACGACAGCAGACAACACGAGTGTGTAAATCGTGCTCCCTTAAAAATAAGCGTATTACTTGAACAGGTTATGTATATGACGTGTATTTTCGTATTGATACATAACGTGTAAATACATGTGTATAGACACTAAATTCTAATTACATTAATTAGGTTTTTTTATATACAAATAAATAATTATGAACGGTTGTAGCTGTAACTTGTACACGTAATTTATACTTGTACAAATAGTCTGTCAAATTTACGTCATAAATGTAAAAAAAAAAAATACACAATAAATGTTACGCCTTTGCCAGACATAATTTTAGTTTTATCTCTCCATATATGCCTCATATAGAAGAGATCTTTATTTAGCAATAAGGCCGCCCATTGTTGCCTCTTTGTCTTGCTTCTAGGTAATTAAGTTTATGTAATTAACTATATATTTTGTTTGTGTACATATTGGTAATCTTTATAATCTGTATTATTGTTTAAAATAAGCAATAAATAATTTTCATTCATTCATCCATTCAATAAATTAATCTCAAGACAAAGTAGAATAAAGGAATTGATAACTTGACAACTTAAACAGCATGCATATAATTACGTACGAAAGATGATGAAATAATGCGACTCACCGGCCTTGTACCGGTGCTCGGGCTTGAGGAAGCGCGGCTGTATGCGCAGGTGGGCGCGCCGCAGCCGCACGCGCACGCGGCCCGCGCCCTCGGTGGGGTCGAGCTGCCACGACTGCGGGTAGCTGCGCGCCTCGTGCCACACCCCTACGCCACGCAACGCATGCGCTCGTCAATATACCAGTACTCCAGTACACGCACACATCATCCCCCCCCCCCCCCCCCGCCGCATACACATACCACAACAATAGCGTCCAGCAGGGGGGAAAGGGGTTGTTCCTAATAGGGTCTACCATTGCTAGCAATATACTCTATCAGGTCGACGTTCACGTAGTCTCCTTGGAAACCATTATAGTAAATTTTTGTGGAAACAGTATATATTCTGTTATGACCTTGGTACTGCTCATGTCTATAGGCGACGGTCACCACTTTCCATCAGGTGGGCCGTCAGCTTGTTTGCCATTCTAAGTTGTATAAAAAAAATAAAAAATAAAAAAAATTGTCACCATGGGTGAACTAATCTGCTTTCTCACCTATCAACTTTTACTGGTAGGTATCCCGTTTCCATAACATATAACAAGTTTCCACTTCTTTGCACTAATGTATTTGCTTTGTGATCCTAGGGCTAATATTACAATTTAATAAGAACTTTATTATCGTTTATTCAAAGCAAATAAAGTACTCCATTTCATGTAATAGATTTTTATGAGATCCTATCGGACGTTTCTACAGGGTTGGTAATGCGCATCGAGTATCTCTGGTAATGTAGATGTTTATAGACTACTGTAAACGTTTACCATCAAGTGGGCCGTATGCTTGTTTGTCACCTCAGTGATTTATAAAAAAAATTGCCGCACGAAGATGTTTTCATCATCAGAAGTGTACTTAGATTATACAGATGGAGTATCTACATACAAATGCTTCTAGAAAAGCGGGTCAACTTTTTCATACAATTTTGCGCGATAAACAGTTATGTAATTTAATAATTCCTTTATAACGCAAAAACTCATTTTATTTAAAAAATAATTAAATATAAATACGTCGAGGTACATTGTGCGTGTAAGTATATAGAACAATAATAAAAAAAAATGAGTGAGCTAAATGATTGCGTACAACGCGATTTCAGAGATGTTTTCTCCCACGAACACTGAGGTTATGGAATGAGCTCCCTGCCGAGGTTTTCCCAAGAGACTACAGCATGGGGTTCTTCAAAAGGGGGGTAAAGAGGTTTCTTTAGGGTTGGCAACGCGCGCGTAATACCCTTGGTATTGCAGGCATTCATAGGCTACGGTAACCGCTTACTATCAGGTGAGCCGTATGCTTGTTTGCCACCTCAGTGGTATAAAAAAAAATTTGATAATTAGCTGATAAAAAGTTTAGTCGTTTTGCAGGGTCGGTGCTGTACTGGTAGTGGTAGTGGTGCTGGTATGTATATAGTGTGTGTGTATACGCACCCTGCTCGTGCGCGAGGTCGGCGACGAGGCGGCGCAGGCGGCGCGCGGCGGCGGCGCGCGCGGCCAGGCGGCGGCGCAGGTGCTCGAGGAAGGCCTTGCGCGCCGCGTTCTGCGCCTCCACGGCCGCGCGCGTCATGCCCATCGCCGCCTCCGCCGCGCGCGCCGCCAGCGCCTCCCTGCTGAACACCGCCCTGCGCGCGCGCACACGCACTTTACATTAGTCTCTCTCAACACATAACCGGTAGGGGTAGGCGAACAAGCTGACGTTCCACCTGATGGAAAGTGGTAACCGTCACCTATACACATGAGCAGTACCGTGGACATAACTGAGTATACTGTTTCGCCCATGATACACTCCATGCGTTGCTATTCCTGAGGACTAAGGTGTTATTCCTCCGTACCCTGTAAATTCACGTCATATCCCACCCTTCAAACCGAAACACAGCCATGCAAACACAACTGCTTCACGGTTGAAACACGAATGGGACAGAGGTACCCAAGCAATCGACTTTTGTACAAAGTCTCTCTCTGGTGTTTGTTTTTTTTTTTGTTTCGGAAGTCAACGGTTATAGATAATCTAAAATAAATCACTATCCCTCGCTTGGTCAAAATATACTGCACTCGAACGGAGCTTTGAAATGAGCAGTCCTCAGGAATTGCAGCGCATGGGGGGGTATCATGGGCGAAACAGTATACTCTGTTACGTCCATGGTACTGCTCATGTCTATAGGCGGCGATTACCACTTTCCATTAGGTGCCATTATATGCCATTCTAAGTTGTATAAAAAAAAAAAAAACATGGAAGTTTCCTGTGCTGCATGGTCATGTGCCAACTCCACTGGCAGTATAGTCAGCAGTAGTGTGTATATGTGTGGAATGTTGGATAACTAACTTGGCGATGGCGGGCTTCTGGCGAGCGGCGGCGCGTGCGCATCGTTCCCGGTCCTGGCGCAGCAGCACGGCCGCCTCGGCCAGCAGCGCGTCGCCGGCGAGCCGGTCCGGCAGCTCGGCCTGCATGCTGAGCGCCCAGCCGCGCGCCCAATCTAAAATGGGCAGCTCGACCGGCGGCTGGCCGCCCGCCTCCTCGCCCGCCGCGTGGATGTGTTTCAGCATCGTCAGCAGATACACCGCCAGCTAAACAGTATACCTACTCTGTATTGGTTGTTTACTGTGTTTAAATGAGCCTTTTGGCTCACCAATCAGGTCGCCGATCACCCGCGTTGATTAATTTATGTGAAGAGGCGATCTTTCATTGACGGATGCTTGTACTCGCGTCTGTTTGGTGATCGGCAACGACATATATATTTTCTAATGATATACACTACATCAACAATTGTACAATGACATTGATTGTAAATCGGATATTGACATATTCTATCGGAAATCTTCATCGTATCGAATCATTTTAGATACATTGATGACCTAATAGTTTATAAGCGTAGTTTGGTAGTTTTGTTTTTGATTCTTGTTTTGTATGTAGTTTTTCATTCATTCTTTTTGTGTATTAAAAATCAACCTATTCTGTTTCATCTCTGTGAATGTTGAGTACAATTATAATTGGACTGCAAACTTATAAATGCATTGTTATATTCTCTTGTTGAAAGTTTTGTTTGTAATCTGTGTTTGTATCACAAGAATAAATAAATGAATGTGGTGTACGGTCGAGGTTGACTGCACGTTGTAGAGTAGTAAGGGAAGGCATTAGAGAGTAGTTGCGGGTGCGGCACCTTGCGCGTGGAGGGCGGGTCGGGCCCGGCGAGCAGGCGCAGCGCGGGCGGCGGCGCGGCGTGCAGCGCGCGCAGCAGCGGCGGCTGCAGCGGCCGCACGCCCGCGCCGCCGCCCGCCCACCAGCACAGCTGCTGCAGCGCCGGCGCCCACTCCGCGCCGCTGCTCGCCCACCACTTGGGCCGCTGGCTGTGCCCGCCCGCCCCGCTCACCGCTGCCGCCAAACGTACAAGTACATGCACAGTCTCCTCATCGTTACATCATAAACACGACAAATGCCTATTATTACGAGTATATATCGTTTCCTTGTTTTTTACTTGGTTATTTCAGATATAAATGCATCGTTTAATATGAAAAAAAAAAACACTATCATTTTAGTTTTTAATTAATCACTGTTAAATATAGATCATATTCATAATTTAAAAATTTACAAATTTTAAACAAACATGTGACTCAACAGTTCTACTAAAAGTTTTATATTTCAGAAGATTATATCTTAAAAATGTTCATGTCTCATAATGGATGCAATCTTCTGCAGTGACGTAAATGAAGTAGTAAGTGAGACGCGCGCACGGTACAAGTGCGCGTACGCGCAGGTAGCGGTGTACGCACCTAGCAGCAGCGTGCGCAGCAGGCGGCGCGCGAGCGCGGCGTGCGCGGGCGAGGGCAGCGGCTGCGTGGGCGGGTGCGCGGCCAGGAAGGCCACGGCGCGCGCCGCGGCCGCCGCGTGCCGCCCGCCCGCCTCCGCGCGCTCGCCGCGCCCCGCGCCCTCCGCGCCCAGCGACACCGCCGACGACAGCACTGCGCCGCGCAACACCACACCAATTACAACAATAGTGCGCCATCGCGTCGCGCAAGTTTCAACCCATGCTCGCGTACACCACGGTTACAGACATGTTCCCTCCCACGAACACTCAAGTTATGCCCCTTTTCCCGCTATCAAACTTCGCCCATAAGAGGGTTTCGCCAGTAGTAGTTGCCACGCTTGGCAGGCGGATTGGCAATTGCAGTTTTAAGAGGCTTTTAGTGTAGTTTTAAGAGAGACGCTGCTGTTTATTATTAGACCATTAAATTCCCTTAGTCGCCTCTTACGAAACCACCGAAGGAAAGGGTGGCTCGTTATTTGCCGGTATTATAATTACATATATTAATTTTTTTTTGCCGTTAGATTTTTAGGTTTCCAGTTATATACTATTATTAACCTATGATATACCACAGCTAGCCAAAGGTCTCTTCCATTCCTTATTTTTTTTTGATGGGTGAAAATGATATGGTAACACCGCCTGCGCTAACGGGATACGCTGGCGGAGCATCAGTGAAGGGTGATAGATGAGAATGAAAACAGGCCAGTTAGCCCATCATGATGAATTCATCAGAAATTAACCATGATAGTTTCCAGGGAGAATCGCGAGGAGGTCGACCTGATTGGGTATATTGCTAGCAATAGCATTCTCAGTCTCCATTACTAACAATCCCTTTCCCCCCATCTCCTTATTAACTTGACGAATTTAACAATGTCTATTTTGACTTCATAATGTATACAATACATAGACACTTACCGGTTGTGAAATAGTTGGCGTACTTTGTATGCGCATTGTAGGACGAGTGTAGCCGCTGTTCTAAGTACTCCAACTGTACATTGAACAAGGAAATCTGAGCGTCCCGCGCCGCCACGCGGACCCTCGTGCCTGCGTCGTCGTCCACTGCTGTCGCCTCCACGTAAGTGAGCATGTGATGGATGTCCACTATTGTCTGGGGACGTAGGAACAAAATAGTAAGCACAATGTTTTTTTTTTTTTATACAACATGCAATAACAAAAAATGGCAAACAAGCTGACGGCCCACCTGATGGACAGTGGTAACCATCGCAGATATGTGATTACTTTACAAGGGGGCAAGGGATTGTTAGTAATGCGGAATATCAGTCCACTTGTTAGCAATATACCATATCAGGTCGACCTGCACGTGGTCTCTCCTGGAAACCATCGTGCTGACTACCTACTGATCTACCTTTTAATTCTCATCTATCCATCCCTCACTAGTGCCCCGACAGCGTATACTGGGGTTACCATTCCATTATCATCCATTGAAAAAAAAAAGTATACTTTACAGATATTATAAATCGCATATTAATCTATACAAATATATGTATATATATATATATATATATATATATATATATATATATATATATATATATATATATATATCTTATATATAAAATTCTCGTGTCACGGTGTTTGTTACCAAACTCCTCCGAAACGGCTTTACCGATATTTATGAAATTTTGTGTGCATATTGGGTAGGTCTGAGAATCGGCTAACATCTATTTTTCATACCCGTAAGTGATAAGGGTCACCCACCCCAAATTTTTATTTTTTTATTTTTCTGACATTTTTATTTTTATTTTATTATAATTTAGCATTGAAAAATACATACTACTTAAAATTTTCATCGTTTTACGATCAACCCCTGTATTTTAATCGCAACTTTTATATTTCGCAATAAGTGGTAAAACAACGTTTACGAGGTCAGCTAGTATATAAAAGTAGTAATACTATATATAAAAGATAATGCTGAGCTGATGACTATCTGACTTATATGCACAGATTCAACATTTTCGGCTGAAATTGCTGATTTAAAAATCTTGAAATTTTACAAATAGATTCTTTATATAGCGTAGGTGAACAATAAAAAAGGAATTTTGAAAATTCGATCCCTCAGAAGGCAAAACGGGGATTGAAAATTTGTATGGAATTTCCTCAGTTTAGAAATTAGACACGTGAAATTTTAGGTTTGAGTTTTAGTATTTCGATCCTGACGTCACGTACGCCATGGGCAAGTTTAAATTATATGCACGTGTGTGTAAAAAGCATAAACACTAAAAAATCGGCATATGTATTTTTTTTATACAACTTAGAATGGCAAAAAAGCTGACGGTCCACCTGATGGAAAGTGGTAACCGTCGCCTATAGACACGAGCAGTACCATGGACATAACAGAGTATACTGTTTCGCCCATGATACCCCCCATGCGTTGCCATTCCTGAGGACTTAGGTGTTATTCCTCTGTACCCAGTAAATTCACGCCATATCCCACCCTTCAAACCGAAACACAGCCATGCAAACACAGCTGCTTCACGATTGAAACACGAATGGGACAAAGGTACCCAAGCAATCGACTTTTGTACGAAATCTCCCTCTGGAAATGTATGGCATAGGAGACAATAAAAATATATACTATGATGTATATTCACATTTATTATCCCGTATATTAACATATATTATTGTATACTTGAAATGGCATAAGACATCGAGGTGCACTACCAGTACCTGTGTGGCGTGGGACGCGGCAAGTGCCTTGAGCGTGAAGTGATCGAGCAGTTCGTACAGATGGCGCAGCAATTGGTTTCGGCCGTCGCCCGCTGGCAAACCGCCCGCCGCACGCACTGCCTTCACACACGTCTCCGGCAAGCACACGTCGCACAGCGCCTTCACGGTCGCCTGCGGATACGCATTGTTACAACCCTAGCATATATATATATATATATATATATATATATATATATATATATATATATATATATATATATATATATATAACAAATATATTTATATATTATATATATAAACGAATAAATATTTATTCGTTTATATATGTAATTTTAGTATGTATGTATATCAATAATTAGTAGTACCGCATTCGAGTATTCTGATACTTCTCTATGGTTGACTGGGAGAGAATGATTTTAGCATTAAGTCCGCCATGTACACATATTAGTACTAATGAATAAATAAATATGATGCGACCCTTCCATGAGCGAAATTTTAGAAGGCGCCTGCTAGCTGCTTCTGCTTCAGGAAGAAAAACAAAAGATCACCAAGAATTCACTGGTCACTCTAATCGATTTACATGCGATATTGAGCTTCTAACCTTCTACACCTCAGCGTTATCTGGAACCTTGGCGATATAGGCGTCCCCAACTGCTCTCCCCTCCCTCTCTGACTATACCCTAGTTAGATAAACACATAATATGCTTTAAACCTAATGGATAGATGGAGAGCGTCGGGATACAGCTAGTAGTTACAAGTGTCGCTTGGTGGTCGCTGAGTGAGAGTGAAAGCCGTGTACCTTGTCGATGAGGCGGTGCAGCAGCATCGCGATGTGGTGCACGAGCGACGGGTCGCGTACAGCGCCGGGCAGCAGCGCCAGCAGCGGCGGGCTGTACTGCACCGCGCTCTCACGCACGTCCGCCCATATGTCCTCCTACACACCACACACCAATTACTGTATACTCACGATAACTACTTCATATTTTTTGTGCAACTTAAAATGGCAAATAAGCTGGCGGCCATCTTAAAGAAAAGTGGTAAGCCTCGCCTATAGACACGAGCAGTACCATGGACATAACAGAGTATACTGTTTTGCCCATGATACCCCCCCATGCGTTGCCATTCCAGAGGACTCAGATGTTATTCCTCTGTACCCTGTAAATTCACGTCATATCCCACTCTTTAAACCAAAACACAGTCATGCAAACAACTGCTTAATGGTTAAAACACGAATGGGACAGATGTATCGAAGCAAACGACTTTTGTATAAAATCTCTCTCTGATGAAAAAAAAAAAGTTTAACAGTAGAGTATAAATTAAAATTTTGGTTCACGTTATTCGGTCACGACAATCTCTGACATGTCTTAATAGATTTTTAAGAAAATTTTGTAAATGTATATTGTTTGCTCCGAATTGAAAAGTTTTATTCCGATAAGACAATACGAACTCGGTAGATGGCGGTAGAGGGCAAAACCAAGTTTAACGAATCGATTACTAAACATTGTATACAGCGCCAACTATATGGACACTAGATAGTTTATAGACATGTGTAGCTTTTTTTAAGCCTCCGGAGTGGAAGCCGGGGCAAAGGGGTACGCCCCGAAGCCCCTACCTCGCCCGCCCACACTATATGACGGGCACGGAGACGACCGGATTGTTTTTTTTTAATATTTAAAAATAGCCATAAAAATACAAACAGATATTGTATTGATTGTTGGCTATCAGTACAAGTATTTTTACATTAATGGAAATATTTTCACTGACAGGGGTTTTTTTTTTATACAACTTAGAATGGTAAACAAGCCCACCTGATGGAAAGTGGTAACCGTCGCCTATAGACATGAGCAGTACCATGAACATAAATACCCCCCATGCGTTGCCATTCCTGAGGACTCAGGGGTTATACCTCTGTACCCAGTAAATTCACGCCATATCCCATTCTTCAAACCGAAATACAGCCATGCAAACACAACTGCTTCACGGATGAAACACGAATGGGACAGAGGTACGCAAGCAATCGATAACCTATGACCATGAAGTTATGATGTATTAAAACCATCAAGGTGAGCGCAAAATCGTAATAGTTATTGATTATTTTCATTGAAATCAAATAAGTTATATGTAAATTTTATCTAACACTAGCGACCCGCCCCGGCATCGCGCGGGTGCACATTACATCACGTCACATTAGAAACCTCTAAATTTGTCCGTGTTTCTCTACAATATTATGCACGTATTATACATATAAACCTTCCTCTTGGATCACTCTATCTATTAAAAAAACCGCTTCAAAATCCGTTGCGTAGCTTTAAAGATTTAAGCATACATAGGAACGGACAGACAACAATAGCGACTTTGTTTTACTTATACTATGTAGTGACAACGCATGCTATGGTTGCTTCTAAATGTAAGAACACTTAGATCTAATTTACCAGTATATTGTATTGAAATGTTTCGCTGTATCTTATGTTAGTGATCCTATAAATAAATAAATAAATAAATAAAGTATACGAATTGGTATACATTAAGTTGGTCCTCGAGCGGCACGTCGCACTTGGTGATGAGAGCCGCGCACGCCGCCGCCAAGTCCCACGTACTCTTGTACAGCGATATCTGGTGCAATGGAAACTTCATTAGACAATAATCAATCTAAAATAATCAAGATTTACATCTAGATACAGTGCCTCACTACAAACGGTTTGCATTAAAAAATAACTGTGTAATTTATTAAACTATTTTAACTTATCAGTTAAGAGAATCCTTCCTGATTTTATAGTAAGTAATGATATAAAGTTATAAATTATATATAATTATACTTATATATCTATTATGTTTATATAAAACTATATATAAATATATGTTCATTTACTATATTAATTTATTTTCTTTCCCAACTGTCCTGATCCTGTAATTCTATCCCTATATTTTTTACCACTATATTCCAGTTTTGATCTGCGTCGCTTTCCCTGCTTTTTAATTAAACTTGAAAATGGGTAATGGCTACCCTGAAAACCCGAAGCTAAAAGAAGAAAAAAACTGCGCAATTATTACTCTTAATTCAAAAAGCGAATGTTCTAAATTGGTCAATTTAGTGTATGTGTGCGCGGCACAGCAGCGCCCCCATACCATGCCATATGTACCTGGTTGGCGAGGTGCAGGTAGTAGTGTCGCGCGAGCAGCGTGCGCTGCAGCGCGGGCGGCGCGCGGCGCTGCAGCGCGGCCAGCACGCGCAGCACGGCGGCGCGCACGGCGCCCACGCGGTGGTTGGCCAGCACGGCGATACTTTCCGCCGGCACCGCGCCACTCGCCGCCTGCGCACGCACACAAATAACAAACTCCTAACAAAAATTAAACGACAGATTTAATCCCTAAATGTAAAAATAAGTTGGTTTATTTATTAATCGATAGTGTCTTAAAGGCTTAACCGTTCGCTATTAAATTTGATAAAAGTATTATTATATGGGTTGGAGAAGGATATAGGCAATTTTTTATCTTTTAAATATATCGTGGTCACGCGAACGAGGTGGCGGGTAAATACTAGTCGCTAAATAAAAAAAAGTTGTGTGGTTTTGGCCCAAAATGGGCCACCCATTACTTGCCCGTGAGTGTCGTAAGAGGGAACTAAGGGAACATAATGGTCGAGGGATTAGCAGCAGCGTCTCTCTTAAAACAATCACTAAAGCCTAACTGCGATTGCTAACTCGTCTATCAAAGCATTTATTTTTTATTAAAAAAACATCAACAGCTAGAAAATTTCATAATAAAAAATATTAAAGACAAAAGTCAATTACAAGTTTTTTACAAATAAAAACAATATTTAACTAATACACATGACATTTAATACAATCAACTATTGTCTAAACTCTCCTTGTGAGGAATGCCTATGTTCAGCAGTGGATAGTTAACGGCTGATGTAAGAAAACATAAAATAAGTAACAAGGCGGCACCTGCGCGAAGTCGTGGTCGGTGAGCGCGAGCAGCGCGTCCCGCAGCGCCAGCAGCAGCCCCTCGCACGCCGCCCAGCCCGGGCCCGCGCCCGCGCGCACCCGCCGCTGCCGGAACACGGACACGTGTTTAATAACAATAACTGTCACACCACACAAACCATGTGGCTCTCAATCTAAGCCAATACAAAAGGTTATTTGCTAAATTGGTCCAACCGAGAATTGTACTCGTGTGCACGTTGCTTTACCTAAATGAGCTAATTTATGCAAACTACGCCACCGAGATCGTCGAATGTACTTTATTGATATAAATTTTTAAAAAGATATGAATATGTAACATAGCCATAGCCATGTAGCCGTGTAGATCCGCGCATAGAATATATAGAAATATATAGAACGAGGGTGTCGTAAGAGGCGACTAAACTTATGGTGGAAAGATTGGCAGCAGCGTCCCTTTTAAAACATTATCAAAAGCCAAACTGCAGTTGTCAACCCGCCTGCCAAGCGTGGCAACTACTGGCATACCTCCCTCATGGGGCAGGCTATGTTCAGCAATAATACAATATATAAAAAAATAATACAAAAAGGTATTACATATTATGGTATACATAAGTATACATATAGTTGTTACCTGTTGATAGATGCCGCTAGTGTACACCTCGACGGTAGTGTGCTGTATCTCGTCCACGTCCACAACAATATACTCGCTGAGCTCGTCTTTCCCGCTTCTCTCTGAAACACCCTTGCCCGTCGTCTTCTCCTTAGTTTCACTTTGCTTTCCAGTCACATTCTCCTCTACAACCTTCTCTTTATCGTCTCTGGGTCTCTCCGGTATACCCTCGTCTATTGTTTTTTGATCCTCCGCTTGCTTCTCCGGTACTCCTTCGACTGTCGCCTTCTTTTCATCCCCCTCGTGCTTCTCTTGTACGTTCTTGTCCGTGATCTTCTCATCCTCCGCATGCCCCTCCGGTATATCCTCAATCGTCACTTTGGCCTTGGTTTCGGTCATTTCACTGCCACCTCCCCCTTCATCCGATCTTTCTGTAACCAGTATTTTGCATTTTAATAGGCAGACTACGAGAAATTTGCTGCTTTTCGCTATAAATGTAAATGTGAAGCATTAAAAATAAGACCATAAAGTTACAAATATTCGTATGTAATGTATAGAAGTGGATCAGTTCGATGGGGTTGTGCCTACATGTAATACTGCACAATGATTATTCATAATTTCAAAGCGAACTTTGCACCGTTCCCTAATTTGTAAGTGACCTAAATTAATCAACGTAACTTGAATGTTTTATCTTATACACATTCGCGATACAACCTCTGTGCTAAGCAGTCCATTCAATATACAAGTGTACATTATATATATATATATATATATATATATATATATATATATATATATATATATATATATATATATATATATATATATATATATATATACTTTATTGCACTAAAACATACAGTAACAACAATAAGTTAATAACAATTTTAGCAAAGGCGAACTTATCTCTAAAAGAGATTTCTTCCAGTCAACCTAACGCAGTGGCATAGGAAGTAGTGAGTGGGCAATAGTAGTGCAAGACAGAAATCTTGAATTATTCGTCGTTCGTATTACCATCTCCACAAAATGCATCGAGTTTTCTTAACAACATCAGCCTCAGTGTTAACTAAACGGCAATTTACACAGATTTGGCGTTTTAAAAGTGAGCCTTATTAAGATGTTAAGAATCCCTCATTACAATTACAATAAAACAAATATGTTAATCCTTACCAACAGTTGCGTCTGAGTTTTTTGAGGTAGACGATACGTCATGTTTCCTGCAAATTAATAGAATAGTCATGTTATTTCATTGGAATGGATTGTATTTGTAATGCATGGTTAAGACGGATATTTTAGGGTTGTTTACATCTTTTCTACATATTGGCAGTTTCGAATGAGTTCCTTGAACAACGACGACAAATACTTGAGTAGCAGCCATATATAAATTTGATAATACGAGTGAAGCGATTATGATATTTAAAATTAAAATGTTTATTTTCACGAAATAGGTTTCTTTCATTAAAAAAAAATACATACCTATGCTTCTTGATCTGCTTATTAATAATTCCTTTTAATTGTTTGGTGTTTTCCCTTCTGCTGTTAGGATCCCCTTCTGATAACCTCTCTACATTCTCCACGTCCACGATTACATTCGATCTACTTCTGCTATCACTGGTAACGTCTTCGGACAGTGTGTTTGACTCGCTGGGTCTATTCTCCGACCTCCTGCTGCGTCTACGTTTCTTAACGGAGGTATTGTCCATGAAGTCGCTCATATCTGGCATCTCCGGAGTGATGAGGAAGTAGAAGTTAGCTCTTGAGTGAGTCACGAATGTGTCGCTCGCCTGTGGTAAGAATGCCAAGTTCATATCAGTAGTTGACACTTAAATAACGAGGAAATATCTACAATAGAAGAGCGTACGCAGCTAGTACAGCCCAGCGGTACGTACCTGGTGCATGAGCAGCAGGAAGTCAGCGAGGTGCGCCAGGTGCGCCAGCAGCGGCGGCGAGCCCGGCGGTACGTACCTGGTGCATGAGCAGCAGGAAGTCGGCGAGGTGCGCCAGGGGCGCCAGCAGCGGCGGCGAGCCCGGCGGTACGTACCTGGTGCATGAGCAGCAGGAAGTCGGCGAGGTGCGCCAGGTGCGCCAGCAGCGGCGGCGAGCCCGGCGGTACGTACCTGGTGCATGAGCAGCAGGAAGTCGGCGAGGTGCGCCAGGTGCGCCAGCAGCGGCGGCGAGCCCGGCGGTACGTACCTGGTGCATGAGCAGCAGGAAGTCGGCGAGGTGCGCCAGGTGCGCCAGCAGCGGCGGCGAGCCCGGCGGTACGTACCTGGTGCATGAGCAGCAGGAAGTCGGCGAGGTGCGCCAGGTGCGCCAGCAGCGGCGGCGAGCCCGGCGGTACGCCAGGTGGGTGCATGAGCAGCAGGAAGTCGGCGAGGTGCGCCAGGTGCGCCAGCAGCGGCGGCGAGCCCGGCGGTACGTACCTGGTGCATGAGCAGCAGGAAGTCGGCGAGGTGCGCCAGGTGCGCCAGCAGCGGCGGCGAGCCCGGCGGTACGTACCTGGTGCATGAGCAGCAGGAAGTCGGCGAGGTGCGCCAGGTGCGCCAGCAGCGGCGGCGAGCCCAGCAGCGCGCGCACCAGCTGCACCAAGCTTGCACTCGCGCTCTCCCCCAGCGACTCGCACTCAGAGTTCAGGTATCGCTCCTGTATAAAGTTATATGGCCATTGTTTTAGTCTCGAAAGATGAAAATTATTATACATAGTGTTTGTAACTTCATATATTAGACGTACTTTGCAAACGAGCAGCAGGTGTGCGAGCAGGCCGAGGCGCTGCATCTGATAGAGGTTGAAGTCGCGGCGCGGGTGCTCGTCGTGGACCAGCGCACACATGCAGCGCAGTGCCAACGCCAACACGGACCCGCGTTGCGTATCCTGCCCTTCCTCTTCCCATTGCACTTCCTACATAAAAATGTTTATTAGATATTTACACAACCGAACGCTTTTTATGTTGAGAATGTGAACCATGATCAACGATATAAAAAAATAATATGGCTGGCTGTAAAGTTACATGTGCTCTGTACCTGGTCGGGAGAGTCGTCAAGGTGCCTCCAGGCTTGTAACAACAGCATCAGCAGGCTTGGTTCAATGAGGGCGGCGTCACCATGGACGATCGTCACGGCTCCGGTAGTGCTCAGCAAGGGCGCGCTGCATGCTGAGTCCAGGATTACCTGCCACATGGTCAGATTAATCACTCACTCTAAACAAATTAAAACAATGCTACTATAAAGCTTAAACGAAGCGGTTAAGACAACAGGCAATCGTTTTGCGTCTCTTGCACTCATTACCACTATCGCCAGCGAGGTGGCGACTGTCCACAGGAGAGTGATCACCTTGAGCATATGGTGCGAGAAGAGACAGGCGGGCGCAGCAAAAATGGCTAGCAGCATGTCTAGCGCGTCCGACGCGAACAGCGTGGCGTACAGGCGCCCGTCCACGTTGCACGCACGCAGCAACACCGACAGCGCCGCCGCCTGCTGTTCCGCCGAACCCTCCAACTCCACCACCTGGAAGGAACAAACATGAACCTAATAGCTAATATCATCAGATAACGAAAAATTTTGTGATAATGTGACATTTAGTTGAATGCCTATCGTGTAAGAAACCAATACAGAAGCAGCTATCACGACATGTCTCTATAAGAATCGTGTCAGAGTAATGTGAAGGATTATTTCGTACATGCAGCATACATACCCTGGCAAACATATAGAGCAGGTGGTGCGGGCCGCCGAGCAGCAGAAGCGCGGGCGCGAAGCCGCTGTGTCGGTTGGCTAGCGGCGCGCCCGCCCACGTCAGCCGCAGCGTCGTCGGCGGCTCACCACCGCCGCCGCCGCCGCCACTGCCACAGCTCATCCCCACGCGCGTCCCGAACACTGCCAAATAGAGTATCTATCCTTTTACATCTGTATACTATCCCGTTATAGATCAATGAACACATATTTTTAAAAGAATGGCAACGCAGCAGTGCCCCCCCCTCTCATATTGAAAGCGTTGATAGATAAGGAACGTCAGCCAGAAGGATCGTGAGCCAATTTACAAGTACAGGACAGTAGCCAAGTAGAAATTGGTGGACAGGAATTTAAGCAAATTACTACAATATTTATTTTCATTTACTTATTTAAATTTTAATGCACAGTAAAATTCTATGCATATTTGGCGGACTTAATAATGGACGGTGTTCTCTATCAATCAACCCACTGGGCAAACCGAATATTGTAGTTTCGATTCCATTTTCTTTTTCAGGTTAGGTAAAGAACCTACTTTACAGTGTCTCATCACTGCATGCGAGGTATCGGTACATATTGAGATGAAATCGTACGGCATAAGCGCTGTATTCACTTTCAAGAATCTTCCTGCCTGAAGAGAGACTTCAAGAGCTAACGATATACGTACCGGTGGGTAGGGCGACGGGCTGCTGGTACAAGTTAATCGTGTCAGGCGCATGCGCAGAGAACGACAGTAACAGATTGTCGTGCAGTTCGCGCAGGGACGTGTGCGTTATCTCGTACATCTGGCGTTTGAAAATTAGTACAGTCAGAAGAGAAAACTTATTAAAATTACAAAATTCTTTTTATTAGTAGTGACATTATCGTTAGCCAATTAACTATAATGTAATCTCACCTGATCCCAGTCCATGTCTGTATCTAGAAGATTCGTTGTCAAGAGTAGTGAATAATTGGGCGTTTCGCATCGAACCTGAAAATTATTTTTTCTTATTTAATGTGCCTTAGTTACTTACTCCTCTCCATCCAAAGGTTGTCTGGAAGAGATAGCTTTTAGCGATAAGGTCGCCCATTGTTTTCTCACTGTAATAATTTCTTGTAATTGTTCGTATCTTTAATAGTTTTATTATTGTAGTTTTTTTGGAGGAAACAATAAAGAGTATCTATCTTAATTTAATAAATATTAAATATTTAATGTGTTATAATGCAAAATGCTATTGGTGTTTCTGTAAATAAATAAATAGTAAATCTTTGAATATATGAAATGTTCTATCGTTGGTGTCGAAGAATTGCAGAAATTAAACACTATGGCACAAAGTATATCGACATCAGTATGTTCAGTTTCCAGGGGGAACCGCATAGAGGTTGATCTGATAAAGGCAGTTAGACCCCATTACTAACAATCCCTTTTTCCCCCATACCGCTATGGTACCCTTGCACGTGTAATGTGTGACGGCGTGTAGTGCGTGGTGCGTGGTGCGTGGTGCGTGGTGTGCTGGCACCTGGCAGGAGTGGTCGGGCCCGTGTGCAGCGAGGTGCAGCGCTCGCGGCCGCGTCAGCAGCGCCGTGCGGTACAGCTGCACACCAGACACCAGGTATGCAGCGCCGCCGGTCTCACCGCCCGTGTGCCCTACCAGCACATGGCTCGGCGTCACCTTGCGGACCAGGATACCTGTCCCACAATTGCAATTGTCCTATTTTGATTCTGAATATAGCGAAAGATTCCGAACACGTGCGTAGCTCGAGATAAAAAAAATTACTTTTGGAAATATTTTGTACCAAAAAACAGGGAAAATATCTCTTACATTAGAACATGCTTTTAAATTGGTATTTTTTGATTGACTGGACCCCGACACATCTATATATTAAAAAAAATATATATAAAATCAATTACCCAAGTTACCTTGCAACGGCAGCGATACAGTCTCGTGCTCGTAACCGTCTACGTACATCGTCACCTGTAACAAAACGAACGGTCATTAGTAAATTAACTTAGACAAGTGACAAACAAAACAATCGGTAGATACATTTTCGTTAGCGTACTGTTACAACCTTTTTTTTTTATACAACTTAGAATGGCAAACAAGCTGACGGCCCACCTGATGTAAAGTGGTAACTGTCACCTATAGACATGAGCAGTATCATGGACATAACAGAGTATACTGTTTCGCCCATGATACTCCCCATGCATTGCCATTCCTGAGGACTCAGGTGTTATTCCTCTGTACCCAGTAAATTCACGCCATATCCCACCCTTCAAATCGAAGCCATGCAAACACAACTGCTTCACGGTTGAAACACGAATGGGACAGAGGTACCCAAGCAATCGACTTTTGAACAAAGTTTCCCTCTGGTGACCTTAGCATATAGACATATTATTGCTGACTATCAATATCATTTATTTCCATTAAATCTGCAGTATTATGCCTATATGAACTCATACAAACTGTAAATCAATCAGTCGTAATTTAGCCTAATTACTGCCCTGCTACGGACCTGGTTTTTGCCCGCCGGTCAGGCCAGTAAAACTAACTAGTTAGATTCATCCAGGCTCAATATAACCCTGAACCGTCGGTGAAGGTTCACTTTGACGCGCGTCGCGAGTCAAAGTGAACCTTCAAATTAGTGAAAGGGTTACTATTAAGCTGCGTATAAAAGAAAATATTAAATAAATAATTTCGGTGTGGGGGAAAAAGTTGCTTTTTTTTATATTAAACAAGTGTCCCACACTAAGAGTACGCATGAAGAAACCAAGATGCGGGATGTCACTGGCTCGTTTAATGTCTGTCTAATTTTGTTATTTCGAAATGGTAAAATGCATTCCAACTTCCAGGTTATAATAAGGCCGCTGCTAACTCTTATAACGTAGTGATTACTTGTTCTATGGCCTATACGTTTCATTACCGACCTGTACGTATATGCGGCGCTTGATGACCCTGTCGGTGACGTTGAGCGCGACGCAGAGCCAGCGGTGCGTGGGCAGCGGCCCGCCGCGGCTCTCCGCCACCACGCCGCCGCCGCCGCCGCCGCCGCCGCCGCCTCTCGCCGCCATCTCCGGCCGCGTCAACCGAAATATCACCATGCCTGTAGCGAACAGTGCAAAAAGATAACCACTTATCATTTGGACAGAAGAAGGGATATTTGTTTATTCCCGTATTTGTTTAAATCCTGATGGAAAGTGATAATCGTCACCTACAGACATGAACAGCACCATGGAAAGAATAGGATCCAATTGAAATTATATATAGAATTATAGTAAGTAGTTAATATAACTGTATTTTTCGTATGTAAGAGCATATATTACACGACTCGGGATCTCTATTTTTTTTAAATAAAATACAACCCATGATAATTGTAGATAATATAGCTTTTTTTTTATACAACTTAGAATGGCAAACAAGCTGACGGCCCACCTGATGGAAAGTGGTAACCGTCGCCTATAGACATGAGCAGAACCATGGACATAACAGAGTATACTGTTTCGTCCATGATACCCCCCATGCGTTGCCATTCCTGAGGACTCAGGTGTTATTCCTATGTACCCAGTAAATTCACGCCATATCCCACCCTTCAAACCAAAACACAGCCATGCAAACACAACTGCTTCACGGTTGAAACACAAATCGGACAGAGGTACCCAAGGAATCGACTTTTGTACAAAGTCTCCCTCTGGTACATCCTTAAGAAGATGCAGGTGCGCTACTGCGAGGGCCTGCCGCCTTCGCGTCTATACGTTTTGGATCAGAGAGCCAAGCTGGTGCTATTGTAAACAGAATCGGCTGAAAGAATAAAACGGGGTGTGAAATAAACAATAAGTCGTCGATCGTACGGGGCCGGATAAATGTCGCTGGTGGGGCATGAGTTATGTTAGGGAAGATGATTGGAATTGGCAGCCAATAATTACTGAAATATGACTTGTGGAAAACCGTCTTCGTGGGTCCTCTGTCCTATCATGTTTCTGCGGGGGGAAAGGAATTGTTAGTAATGGAGACTAAGAATCCCATTGCTAGCAATATACCCAACCAGGTCGATCTCCTCGCGGTTTCCCCTGGAAACTATCATGATTAATCTCAGATGAATTCATCATGATGGGCTAACTGGCCTGTTTTCATCCTCATCGATCACCCTTCACTGGTGCGCCGCCAGCGTATCTCGTTAGCGCAGGTGGGGTTACTATTCCATTTTCATCCAATAAAAAATAGAAAAAAAACCATGTTTCTGTCATGAAGCAGCAATGCTTGCTTGTGCTTCGGTTTGAAGTCTGGTTAGAAGATGTAAGTTAAACTATAGGGTACACAACAACAGAATTACCTGTGGTGGGTTCGAGCCACAGTTCGAACATGAGCGAGTCGTGTCCGACGGAGAACACGTGCAGCGGCTCGCCGGCTCGCGGCGGGCCACTCGCCGGCACCTCCGTCTCACTCGACTCGTCCTGCCACTCGTCTACTTCATCTAGGTGGTAAGACACTGTGTTACATACACATATTTATACCTAAATAACTAGACTGACTCCAATGTATTTTATATGATATTTTAAACTGTTGTTTATTTATTTAATGTAAATCCAAATTATTGCATGACAAATTTATTTTAAAATGAACAATTATTTATATGTTATTAATTTATTATTTTATTAATTATATGTAAATAATTAAATATAATCTGACATTTAAATTGACATAAATGCATGTATAATTTAAATAATTCAATATAATTAATTAAACCGTCTTTCAATAAAAGCGTTCACGCTCACTTTCTTACTTTATCCGAGCGGTAAGTGCTTTATATTATTCTCAATTTCGTGTATAATATAGTATATATCATATAGGTGTCAGTATATTTGTTATTTATATATATTTATTCGTTTATATATATGTAATTTTAGTATGTATGTGTAAGCGATGCACCTCGCACCTCGTAAAATGTTATAATTGTAACCACTAGCGCCATCTGTTAGCATTTGATTGAATTAATGCCGGCGCGCATGCGCCAAACGATTGTCCCGTGACACGTGTGTGTACGAGTTGTTAGTTGTTGTTGTTAGTTCGTAGTTTTGCTATATTTTGTGAATTGATTAAAAAAGTGTCTTGCAAGCGTCCGTTTCATTTTGATAACTACCAAAATAACATTTTCCAACAACGGTCTGTTACATTCGCTGTTCCATCGAGCCGGATCCTTTGAAGAACAAGCAAGTTAGAAAATGTTCGTTACGACGCGAACTCCGCGCAAAATGCAAACGCGGAGCGCCATTTTGAAGTCGCGTGAACAAAGGGAAAAAGTTGTACGACGTGTTAAAACGGATGCAGACACGATGATTTCCCACAGTAAACATTCCAGCAGCTCCACGTTGGCGCGTAAAAAGCAGCTGGAATGGGAAGCAGCTCGAGCTAAAGCTGAAATTGAAAAGCAGCTCATTGAAAAGAAACTGGCCGCTGACATCGCCGCCCTGGAAGTAGAAAGTTTCAGAAGTACCAGAAGCCAACACTCGTTGGTGAACTCCAACACCAAGATAGAACAATGGTTAGATCGCAGTAATCTGGATGCACCTGAGCGCCCGCACTGTGGTGGGTCGCTAACGGAGGCGCCGGCAGTGGCCGCGTCAACCGACATCCAGCAGTTGACCTGCGCTCTCAGAGACGCTATCACCACTGGAGTCCACACGAGTAACCGGCAACTTCTGTCCCGATTGAGTACTTCAAAAGACTTACCTCAGTATTACGGCGATCCCTTGGAGTGGCTCCAGTTCCATAAATCGTACCAAGAATCCACAGAGTTATGTAACTACACTAACACGGAGAATCTGTGGCGTTTGAGAAAGTGTCTTCGCGGAGAAGCGAAGGATGCCGTGTCCTCTATGCTCATCGGCAACACCTCACCTGATGTGATCATCGAGACCTTGGCACTTCAGTTTGGAAGACCAAAAGTAATAATAACAAAGATAGTCAACCAATTAAAAAAGATAGCACCGCTACCACCTGCATACCACAATGAAATAGTGACCTTCTCCACCAAAGTGAGAAACTATGTAGCAGCAGTGCAGGCGATACAGCAGTCCGATTACCTACGGAGCCCGGAATTAATGACAACCGTGATCTCTAAGTGTCCTAGTGTTCTTATTACCAAGTGGGTCGATTATTTATTTAGTCATTCATACGAAAATAGAACCAAATTGGAATTATTTGCCGAGTTTTTACACATCGAGGCGACCAAAACGGCAACCGCCGGTGTGAGCAACATATATAGTCATTCTGAAAATAAAAGAAGACACGAGACTGAATATAAAAAACCGAATAAATATTACAATGTGCATACAACAGTCGAACATGTGATGAACACCTCGACACCAGTGAATGTTTGTAAATTCTGTAATAAGAGTGAGCATCGATTAGACGAATGTACTCGCTATAAGCGAGCGATGCGCCGCGACCGCTGGAATTTCGTAAAGGTAAACAAACTTTGCTATAAATGCCTAGCGGCCGGCCACCACAGTGAAACGTGTAGAGCGGACAACTGTGATGTCGACGGGTGCCGGCAGTCGCACCATAAATTACTGCACTACGTGAAGTCGCCACCTGCAAAAGAGACAAAAGAGGAAGATAAACCTGTGGAGACCGTCGCACATACATATGCACTATTAAAACCTAAAGTGCTACTGAAAGTGGTACCTATAACCGTGCACGGCTCGAAACAGAGTGTACAGACGTACGCTCTACTCGATGATGCCGCGACCATTTCACTGATAGCGGCCGATATTGCAGACAGCGCCGGACTCCAGGGGCAGACTACAACTATGCGCGTGGACAGCGCATGGGATGCTGGGCACCTTACGTGTTCAGTAGAGAATGTGAAGTGTAGTGTATCAAATAGTGATCGTGTTCGTTTCGATTTAAATGTTTGCAAAATGCGAGAACTTAATCTCCCAGTGTATAGCGTGTCCGGTCTTAACGTACAAAAGTATAAACATGTGAGTGAAAATACCTTTATACCTAAGTACTCTAGTGATGTTAAACCTAAGTTATTAATAGGTCAAGATAATTATCATTTAATTGCACCGCTCGAATGTTATGGTAGTAAAAATGAGCCTTATGTAACAAAAACACAATTAGGTTGGTGTGTACATGGATCTGTCTATAGTAAAAATGATGTAAATAATTTCTCAGTTTGTTCATTATTGTATAATAATATAAAATGTGATCCGAGTAGTGTAAGTGGGTGCGAAGGTATGTATGAGGGTGCGTCGCCTAGTGTTGGTGTCCGTGACTCGTTAGCGCGCGAGTGCGGCCCTGTGCGCGCTTCGCTCAGCCCGTCCGTCGCCGCCATCACCGCTCAGGGACAAAGGTCAGTGCATTATTGTACCTACAGTGATATTTTATTTCAAGATGAAATGAAACGTTTCTTTTCGTTAGAAACAATAGGTATTTCGAATATACCACGACAGAATGCGAACGATTTGAAAGCTATTTCAATATTAGATAAAACTGCTAACCTCATCAATGAACATTGGGAGGTAGGGTTGCCTTGGAAATCCGAAACCTCAATGCCGAATTCATATCCAAATGCCTTGAACCGATTGAAGTCTGTCGAACGAAAAATGAGTTTGAATAATGAGTACGCGCTACGATACAGAGAACGCGTAAACCATTTGCTCGTAAACGATTATGCTCAAGAACTTGTACCCGGTAATCAAAGTGCACAGCGAGTTTGGTACCTACCGCACTTTGGTGTAGACAATCCTAACAAAAATAAGTTAAGATTAGTTTTTGACGCAGCGGCCACATGCAAAGGTTATTCATTAAACGATTATTTATTGCAAGGCCCAGATTTGTTGCAATCTTTATTAGGTATTATGATGCGATTTCGTGAGAACCCAGTAGCGGTAACGGGAGACATAAGAGATATGTTTCTACGCATTAAAATTAAACCAGAGGATCGACACGCACTACGGTTTTTATGGCGTGATAACCCTAGCGATGAAGTTAAGGAATATATAATGACTTCGCTTATTTTTGGCGCGAATTGTTCCCCATTTATTGCACAGTATATAAAAAATAAAAACGCTATTAGATTTGAATCCACGATGCCGGAAGCTGTAAAAACTATTTTACAAAGTCACTATATGGATGATTGCATTGAGAGTTTTGAAAATATCGCGATTGCTATAAAAGTAATAAACGAAGTCATATATATACATAAGAATGGAGGTTTTCATATACATAATTGGATAAGTAACTGCGAAGAGGTCATGCAAAATATACCGGAATATGCCTTAGGTGATAAAGCCGTAAGGTTCAAAATTGAGAATCAGCCGGAACGTACACTTGGATTAATGTGGCATCCCTCTAGTGATACACTAGCGTTTGACGTATCATTGAAACGTATCTCGGAGGATATTTTGAATTTAGTGCGCAGGCCTACTAAACGAGAAGTACTTAGTATAGTAATGTCTATATTCGATATTCACGGTATGCTCGCTCCATTCACAATTAAAGCAAAAATATTAATGCAATTAATATGGAAATCCAATATTAAATGGGATGAAAACATCACAGATGATTTATACAATTTATTTTGCAATTGGTTAACTCAGTTACAAACTATTGAAAGCATTCGTGTTCCGAGATGGTACTTTCGTACGTCGACCGATGGTTCAAATTCCTGTGACAGCGGACGTAACTCTGCCACTTCAAGTCACGTGACCGCGGTCCCCGCTGATCGCCTACCGACGCGCGCGCTATGCGAATCTAATCCGTTCCAGCTTGAGTTGCACATCTTCTGCGATGCTTCGCCTGCTGCTTACGCAGCCGTGGCCTATATCAGGAGAGTATCGCGCGACGGAAACATATTAATATCCTTTGTTGCTAGCAAAAGCCGTGTCGCACCTGTGAAACCAATTTCTGTGCCAAGACTAGAGTTGCAAGCAGCACTTCTAGGATGTCGCCTTGCTGAAATTATACAGCGCGAACATAGATTTAAAATAGACAAGCGATATTTTTGGACCGATGCGTCCACAGTGTTACATTGGATACGAAATAACACACGAAATTACAAAACATTTGTGGCGAATCGCCTAGGTGAAATTGATTCACTGTCAAAGATGAATGAATGGCATTATGTACCTACACACTTGAATATCGCGGACGTAGCGACTAAACAGAATAATTATGTATTAAACAATGAATGTGAATGGTTTATTGGTCCTCAATTTTTGTATTCCACTCGCGAACAGTGGCCATTGGAGCCTGAAAATCTAAATAAAAATTGTAACAATGATGTAGAACATGTACATGCTGTATGTAATATAAACGAAAGAGTAGACTTACCTGTACCGGATCCCAGTTGGTTCTCGAGATGGTTGCGTTTGCTGCGTAGTACTGCGGCTGTACTATTGTTTACTGAAAAATGTAAGAAAAGTATTATATATACAAAAATTGACCGTAGATTACTGGACCGTGCCGAAGTGTTGTTATTGAAGTATTCGCAAGCTGAATCCTTTCCCTGTGAAATAGAAGATATTAATCAGAACAAAGAAATAAATAAAAATAGTAGATTACGTACCTTAACTCCTTTTATTGATGAAGAAGGATTGATGCGCGTAGACGGCCGTATAGGTGCTGCAAAAAATATAGATATACAAGTAAAAAATCCTATAATTCTTGATGGTCGAAATCACGTTGCACGATTGATAGTGAAGCATTACCATGAACGTACTGCTCACTCCTGGAATAAGATGGTGGTGAATGAAGTAAGACAAAAATACTGGATAATTAATTTGCGACCTACAGTCCGTACCGTTGCTTCCAGATGCTTGTTGTGTCGTATAAAAAAGGTTACTCCTAAACCATCTAGATTAGGTGACTTACCTGAAGCCAGATTAGCCCATCACTTAAGGCCCTTCACTCATTGTGGCATCGATTTGTTCGGTCCTCTTGAAGTCACAGTAGGACGACAGAGACCTAAACGTTATGGAGTGATATTCACCTGTCTGACAGTCCGTGCGATACATATTGAAGTAGTGCCTTCGCTGACAACGGATTCACTCATCATGGCTCTCAGAAGAGCAGCTGCACGACGAGGGTGGCCACAATGCATTTATTCAGATAACGGCACCAACATGAGAGGGGCAGATGCTGAATTGAAGAAAGCCTGTGCTGAAATTATGAACAATGATATAGTCCAATCAGAACTCGCACACAGAGGAGTAGACTGGCATTTCATACCGCCGGCTAGTCCACATATGGGCGGAGCCTGGGAGCGCCTCATTCGCAGCGTGAAGTCTACACTTCGCGTTGTGCTGAAAGAAAGAGCGCCGCGTGAGGAAGTTCTTGTTACTTTTCTCGCAGAAGTAGAGAGTATGGTGAATAGTAGACCACTGACTCACGTATCGGTGGATCCTAGGAGCCAGGAGACACTGACCCCTAACCACTTCTTGCTTGGTTCCTCGTCTAACTTACCTGTGCTCGGTGACTTCGACGACAGTGACCTTTACCTGCGCCGTCAATGGAGAGTAGCTCAAAGGTTATGTGATATGTTCTGGCAGCGATGGCTGAAAGAAATATTACCTGTGCTGTTGCCGCGTCAAAAGTGGTACCACGATGAAGATTCAGTCCGTGTAGGAGACTTGGTTCTTGTAGTGGACCCGAACTTACCTAGATACAGCTGGCCTGTAGGAATTATAGAAGCTGTATATCCTGGAAAAGACGGGAGAGTGAGGGTCGTGGACGTGAGAAGCAACCGGGGCGTGATGAAGAGACCGGTGACACGAGTGGCACCGTTTCCGCGAGTTGATGAGTGTCGCGACACCGACACTAGGGGGGAGGATGTAAGCGATGCACCTCGCACCTCGTAAAATGTTATAATTGTAACCACTAGCGCCATCTGTTAGCATTTGATTGAATTAATGCCGGCGCGCATGCGCCAAACGATTGTCCCGTGACACGTGTGTGTACGAGTTGTTAGTTGTTGTTGTTAGTTCGTAGTTTTGCTATATTTTGTGAATTGATTAAAAAAGTGTCTTGCAAGCGTCCGTTTCATTTTGATAACTACCAAAATAACATTTTCCAACAACGGTCTGTTACAGTATGTATATCAATAATTACTAGTACCGCATTCGAGTATTCTGACACTACTCTATGGTTGACTGGGAGAGAATACTTTTAGCATTAAGTCCGCCATGTACACATATTTGTACTAATGAATAAATAAAAAATAAAATTTTGCTACACCCAAACAGGATTTCATATACTTACTCTTTATAAGAGCATTGTAACAACGCTATATTATGTACGTGAATGCAATTATAATAATGGACGCAGGTGGCTTAGCATAGTTCCTTACGGCAGTCTATGGGAGAGGCCTATGTTCAGCAATGGACAGATAATGGCTGAGATAATTATGATAATGATCTATCTACTTATTTCAATTTAATTTTCATGTAATTTTTTAATTGATTTCACTGAAGAAACCATTAGTAAAAAATATATATTATTCTTTGATACCAGTGAGGTATATATTATAACAATATGTGGACGATCACAGGTTTTCGACACAATCTCTACTTGTTTATGCTACTATTTTAGTAATCAATGTGAACACTTCTAAAGAACTTTTAATGTATAGATGTGCAATCTCGTTAAATTTATTGAGCGCTTATTGACAGCTGAAAGGATGTGAATGAAATTAAGAAAACATAACAGGCAATATCCAAATAATTTTTCTCAACTTTCACATTACTAATAGTGTTAAAAATTAATTTATTTCAATTTGTATGCCATTGATTTCTTTTTAAATACTAATAGTATGTGTATATGTAGAATTAATAGTAGGGTTCATATTGTAAATAAATTGCCAACAATCACAAAGCGCCTGCGCGACCTGCGCGCGCATCTTGCGAGTGAGTCCCGTGACCAAGCGTTATGATATAAATATATATATATAACAAAATGTTCGTTTGTCTGCTTGTTTTTAAAAACTTAATTATATTATAAAAGTTTACATATATTATAAACATTGGTGAGTATTATCTCACCACATATATGGTAACCAAAAAAAGAGTTCGCATACTAGTGTATTAATTATTTTTATCTCGTTTTTGTGATTGCATTGTCATCAGTTTATTAGTACGTATTACTTTATACCTACTGCCTACGTTCACACACGATTTTTTACTTAATATAATAATAATCTATGCACTATGACCCAAATTGTCATATTAGTATATCTTCTAAGTTCAACTTAAAAAATGTCACGTACTGTAGTTAGAGAGAAATGAAGGCATAAATAAATTGAAAATAAATAATAACTTATAAATATCACTTGATGTATTACACTGTACCATTAAGTTACTTACTAAGTAAATCATGTACTTCGGATACTAGATAATAGATACATAAAATTGTAAAAGGTACTTACCCCATCTGGAGCGCGAGTGTGGCGAGCGTGTCGAGCATGGTGAGCGTGGCGAGCGTGAGGCTCGCGCGTGTGTGAGTCGCAGCCACAGCAGGACGCCGAAGCCAGCCTGCCACGCGGCCCAGCCCGCGCCGCCCACGCAGCATCGCGCCGCGTGCCGCGACCACGCAGACGCCACGCCTGCCACCATGCACTTACTTAAGCATCACATTAATCTGGCTATACCTCGTATCATTTGAGATCGAAGCTATATACAGTGCGAGATAGAATCAAGATGTTCTACTGGTGAAAAAAAATCTCAAAGAAATATGAATCGTAGAGAAACAACAAAAAAGTCGTTTTTCACATTTACATGGAGTATTCAGCTATCAATTTATGAGTAGTAGTATGTAAGGCACATTTTATTTATATTTTTATTTAGGATATTTTTGTCCTAATATATTCTATATCATTGGTAGATTCCAAGTTTGACGTACGGCTAATGATTTTCTTTACATCTGTATTTTTTCTACCACATATGTATATTTACTTACAACATAATTATTTCTATATAATGAAGGAGTGTGACTACAATGTGTCCTCAATCATTTTTATATAAAACTGAAAAGAAATCCACCTGGCCACCTACATTACATTAAATTAATGTTTTCAAGATCTGACCCTCAAACTAATACTATATTATATTATGGTAAACTAGTAACCCAATATATTGAAGAGCAACCCAAAATACCTACACTCTTGAGCTTTGATAGAATTTCCAGATCTAAGAATGAACCAATATGAACTTTACTGAATTGCCCTTTAATGTGGAAAAGATTAGAGACTTTTTTTTAACTTTTTTCATAATATTGTAAAATACCACAAAAATCCCACACCATATCCTTTACAGTGTAGACTTTGGAACTTCTTCCAAATGATACCAAAATGGGCCAGAACGTTCATGCTCTCAAAGCTCAATCAAAAAGATTTTAAGTGTTCTATATTCAGTTATTTATCATTTTATTTTTGGACTATATATATATATATGTCACGCAGTACATACAACCACTTACCATCAGGTGGGCCGTATGCTTGTTTGCCACCTCAGTGGCATAAAAAAAATACAAACTCTACAGATACTTTCTTCTTTCGGGGTCTAAAGATTGACTGAAAGAAATCCCTTGAAGGAATAAGTCAGTAAGATAAGTGTACATTTTGGTTATAACTTGATGTCTATAGGTAGAAAAAATTCATTTCCAAAAGCATATAAATAAATAGATAAAAATAAAACAGAGTACCATACAAAACAATTTAGAAATAACATCGCTTTTATAAAATAAATTTTTGATGTTAAAGCGTTATTTGTTTCAAACATTACTCACACTAAGTTCCGGGAAACAAATTGAAATATGAACAAAAACAGTTTAAAATGAACTCACCCGCTGCAATATGGCTCTCCCGTAATTTCCTTGTTTGCGCTTCTATTTGATAGTTCACCGATAAGTTCACATCGTCTCCCGCCATTTGCATGGTGTCTGTAAATAGAATAATTCTTATATTTTATTATCAATTAAAAGTGTATAAAATACGAGCTAGAACAAAAAGGGAGTTTGTGAAATAAATGAATGCATGAAACGAACGAATGTAAACTGTTTACTATTCCCCTTTATGAAAGACACAAGGAAATAAAATATGTATACAAGAAAAATATGTACTTATTGTTGTCAAGTATAAATTTTTCGACTCTTATTTTTACTAAATATGACAAGTATATTAAAATTCCCATTGTATAATTTATGGTTTTTAAGAGAGCCACCTCTTTCCCGTGAGTGTCGTAAGAGGCGACTAAGGGAGTTTATGGTGAAGAGATGGACAGCAGCGTCCCTCTTAAAATATCATCAAAAGCCAAATTGCGTTTGCCAACCCGCCTACCAAGTGTGGGAACTACTGGCAAAACCAGGTCAACAGTGGAGAGTTAAGAGCCCTTAACTGTCGACTGCTGAACTGGTATTGCTACATATTACATACAACAAGAGATGACTATTTAGCTGAAATATATAATAAAGCAGTGAAGGATGATAAAAAAGGACAAAAACATATCTGTTAGCTCATTGTAACAAATTTGAGAAGAATTAACCACAATGGTTTCCAGGGGGAACTGCTGGAGGTCGAGGTGACAGAATATATTGCTAGCAATGGGGTTATTAGATCATATTACTAGCACATTTTACCCAGCATAGGTATATTAGTTAGTACGTGTTCAGTGTCAGTTAGTACATAACCCGTAGAGTTTAATAGGTATTTCGACCTAAGAGCGTAATATTAAGGGAATAGTACATTTATATGGGCGGGTTATACAAAGCCAATTCTAATATGGTGGATTTTAAGGTAGAAATGTCGAAGATCTCGACAATCGATATTATGTATGAATCAGTGCAGCAATAGAAACCGACCTGCAGGCTGAGCTTCCACTGGAAACGTGAGGAAACAATCAGGTGTGTTAGGCACAGCGGCCGCCGCCAGCCGCTGCAGCGCTGGAAGCAGCAGGTCCAGCGGCGGCTGCTCCGCTGCCAGCAGTTTCAGTAGCTCCCCCAATTCTACTGGGCTTATACTTTGAGTCGCGGCCGAGTGGATTAACTCCAAAATGTTGCGCTGTAAATCTGATAAATGAATGTTGTTTTAATGAAGAGTTAATACTGTGAAAGCTGATATTTATGTTGCGTTCGCTTATATATATCTTAGAATATAGTATATAGATAGAGCATCGAGTCTTAAAATGGGTCAACTTTTTGTCAGCTAATTGTTAAATTAGCTCACTCGTTTTTTTATCAGTGTTCTATATACTTACGCACATAACATATCTTGACGTGTCTATATTTTTTTAATAAATAAAATGAGTTTTTACGCACTAAAAAGGTGGAAAAATTCAGAAGAAAGAAAGAAACTTTAAAAGAGAAGAAAAGAAACCTTAACCTGTTGAAGAAACCTTCATAACTATTTATCACGCAAAATTATATGAAATAGTTGACCTGATTTTCTCGAAGTATTTGTACGAAGACACTATCTATAATATATAATCTAAGATATATATATATATATATACAGAATATGTGTCATATAGATTTTATAAAAATATTGTTGTCAAGCGAGAGCGTTCACTGTTGTGTTATAAAGATAGATTGACGTATACACAAGTGGCGGTGATGGTGATGGTGATGTTGGTGATGGTGGCGAGTGGGCGACCGACCTTGGAGCGGCGGGTGGTGTGTTGCGAGCAAGGCTCGCACGGGCGGCGCCAGCAGGCGGCGCAGCAGGCCGGCGCGCGGCCGCCGCGCCGCCAGCCGCCTGCACAGCCGGCCGCACCGCGCGCCCGCGCCGCCGCCGCCTTCCACCGCCCTGACACACACGCACACAATAGTACATTTAGCTGGGGGGAGAAGGGATTGTTAGTAATGCAGATTAACAGGCCCATTGCTAGCCATATACCCTATTAAGTCGATCTCAACGCGATTTGGCCCGGTGATAATTTTTATTCTATCATTTCATATTACAGAATTAAAATGAAGGGACATAGGGGTTGTGGGGGTACCGGCCGGGGGGCCGTTGGTGCTATTTAGTATTACACCTGTGCGAAGCTGAGGCGGGTCGCTAGTCATCCGTTAAAAAAAGTACCTTTTGCTTTGAAAAAAATTACAACATTCGTTAATATTAAAACGTACGCTGATAATTGACGAAAAATAAGTTGCAGGATAACCTGATACAACAGTTGACTAGCAACTAACAAAATTAACAGAAGAAATGTTTTCAGTCTGTGACAATTGATGCGTTCTGTTGTTTGTTGTCGATAGATCTGTATAATTTGACAGATGCTTACAGTTATTTAAGAGTTGGACTTTATTTGGAAAATATATTTAAATATTCAATCATCGAGGAGTTGTGTTTTCCATTATCAGTTCAGCAATATGAGATAATGACTACCGCATGCAAATATCTAAACAAATTTAGAAAAATATGAATCACCATATATGTGTCTCTAAAATTTAGGGTTTGCCCTCGATTTTTCTAGGTCCCATCATAAGAGCCTGGCTTGGTGACAATGGGACCGCCTCAGGCGTATACTTTTTCGAATAATAAATGAATTATTGAAATCGGTCCAAAATTGACGGAGAAATCGATGGACATACATGAAAGAAATATATTGTGGACAAATAACTCCCTCCTTTTTTAAAGTTGGTTGACAGATTAATAATAGTTCATACTTACATCTGTATGAGTTGTATGAGTATGTCGACGACTATGATGCACAACTCCGGGTGGGCAAGTTCGTCGTTCTTTATGTACTCGCTACACTCCACAGTCGACTCGAATTTTTTTTGGATCTTAGCTGGCAACAACATAAATAAAATTAAAAATGTTTTCCACAGAAAAAAAAAGACTTTAATTGTGTAAAAACCAGTTATTTTATTTTTAACAGTAAACTACGAAAACCGATTTTGATAAAATTTCTACGGGACCAATTTGTTAGTATATCCTTTAGAGATAAAAAAATATTTTCCAAATCGATTTATAACTGATGGAGGTAATAAGAGTATACATAAAAAATACCTCCTTTTTTGAAGTCGGTTGAAAATTAATAAATATGCCCAAAAGTATAATCTCTAAGTTTTTTAATCCTTATTAATATTACAAATGTGAAAGTGAGTTTGTTTGTTACCTATTACCGCCTTAATTACAAGCACGGTAATAATTTAATTTTTATTCAGTTAAAAAAAACTCCTCTGAGCTATCTTCGACTTGTTCGAATAAGAAGGAACTTACCATAATTGCTTCCCGTAGAGGAAAGAGAGTCAGATATTTTCTTCAGCTTGTATGACGTCATATCCAGTTTACTTATTTCGACATCAGCCTGAGACACACAACAATGCACATCGTAAATAATTCATATTAGGTACATTTACTAGCACTTATAAATTTAATAAGAATTCTGGTAAATATGACAAATTCTGAGGATATGCAGAGTAGATTTGATCTGAAATGATAACAGTGCTGAGAAAAAAGCTCAGCTCCTAGATATTTAGCACTGCAATAGAGGATTCGGTCTTCCGGGGAAGGAGGTGACAGTTATGGTAACATGCCACACAAGTGGAAAAATTAATTCAGTACGAATATACATACATGATAATTGACTTGGTTCAAAATTATAAAAAGCTGCAACTATGTATTTTAGTTTGGAACGGCAAAATAGACTTAACAGTGAATATATCTACAATATAAATACGTTATCGCTACCGCAAGCAAGGTCTTGCGCGTATGCACTGTCTCTACACATAGTTGAAAGCTTTCGCTTGTATCTGGGAGCTGGCTCCTCTTCTTTTATAATGGATGATAATGGAATGGTAATCTCACCTGCGCTAACGGTATACACTGGGAGGACGGTATACAAAGTTATATGAAAAACCATATCTGTCGTGTTTTGCGGCCAGATAAATTACTATGTAAATTCATATCCGTCCTGTAATTTAAAAATGGAATGTTCTTTTACTTCGATACATGGCTACCAAGAAGGTAACTAATAAAAGGTTTAATTTAAATTTCGAACTGGCTTGCAAATAGAAAGCTGTTTATTGAAAAAAAAAAAACAAGGGAACATTATGGCGCGTGAAAAATTATTAGTATTCGTCATTGAATTCAAAAAGTACTATACAAGCCTTGGCCACAACTAGGCATTGATGGACTCACGTATGTGTGCCTCGGCTACACCTCGGCCCACATTTGCACGTTCGTCCATCAATGCCTCAGTTGCTAGCTACTGCAGTAATGTACTATAAAGACAGATGGGGACAGCAAGGTCCGTCACGAGGGCGCACTGCTTTACTCACCTCATAGCCGTCGTCGGGGCGGGGCGCGTCGCTGCGGTCGCTGGCGTAGGGCGCGGGCGCACTGTCCTCGCTGGACGAGCACGCTGGTGAACTGCTGCCCGACGGGCACAGCAGCGGCGGTACCTGAACGACGCCACACCATCAACGCTATACCATTGTTTCCAATAGGTGATAATAAAATGATAACACAGCCTACCCTATTTGTACACGCGGGCGGGGAAGCAGTGAGAGATGATAGGTGAGGATGAAAAAGGTCAGTTGGCCCATAGCGATGAATTTATAGAGAATTAACTAAGATTTTGGTTTACAACGGGAAACGTACGGATGTGGCTTACAAGCGGTATCGAACCCTTGAGTCTTAGGAGAGATTTTGCCTCGCTCTGCGTGTTCTACCGCCTGTACAATGGATTGTGCTTAGAGGAATTGTTCAATATGATGCTCACAGCTACTTTCTACCATCATACGGCTCGCCATCGAAAGGGAGTTCATCTTCATGTCCTACAGCCTCAATGGTCTCGTACTGCACGGTTTCAGAGATGTTTCCTCCCACGAACATTCAGGTTTTGGAATGAGCTCCCTGCCGAGGTTTTCCCAAGAGACTACAGCATGGGGTTCTTCAAAAGGGGGGTAAAGAGGTTTCTTCAGGGTCGGCAACGCACGCGTAATACCTCTGGTATTGCAGGTGTTCATAGGCTACAAAAACCACTTACCATCTTGTTTGCCACCTCAGTGGTATAAAAAAAATGTGGATCTGCGAGGGTTACTCTTAATATAAATTACAATAGCTCGATATTCGATATATCGATAATGTGACAGAAAGTGACCTCTCGACTACCCCTCATCTTATGGTATCTGTTATTTATTTATTTAGAATAGAATAGAATATCAAATGGAGGCAAATGTAATGGACACACACAATGTATTTTATTTATATTTCTTTTTTATTATTATTTTTATTAAGGAATTTCGCGACTGACCCTTGGCCGCAACAGAACATCAGTGTTTTGCTTTTTTGAGGGCAAAGCAATAAACTGTGTTGTGACCATTTCGTGTTACTATGGCACGCACATGAAAGAAGGAAAATGTTTTTTTATATACTTTGCTTTTTGTTTCTTTTTGTTGCTTTTTTTGTTTTTCATTCTTTTATCTCTTTTACTGTGTATGTCTGTATTATGTGTATGTTTGTATTGTAATTTGTGAGATGTAAGTAATGCAAATAAATTATTTATCTATCTATATTGGAATTGAGACGTTTTGCATTTTCGAATTGCAATACTAGCGATATAAAAGTATCACATTGTTCTTAAAGATACATATTAGTGTAACTAGCCAATGCATACTATTGCAAGTTAATCCCAATTCTAAACTCATTCCTAATTGTTCTTAATAATTAACAACCTTAAAATGATTTGTGCATAATTCTATTCATGATCATCATATCAGCCGTTAACTGTCCACTGCTGAACATAGGCCCCCCATATAAAGGGGGTTTTGCCAGTAGTTGCCACGTTTGGCAGGCGGGTTGGCAACCCCAGTTGGTGATATTTTAAGATGGTCATTGCCCATTCCTCGATCATTAAATTCCCTTAGTCGCCTGTAACACGCCTCTAGTACAACACCTATGGGAAAGGAAGGGGTGGCCCATTCTATGGACCCGTGTGGTCCATAGAATAATAAGTATAATAGGCAAGTATAATAAGTTCCAATAAATTCGAAAGTTTGTTACGATCGATGGAGTGATATGCAATTATAATATACATTGTATCTACAAGAAGAAATCATTGGCATACATTTAAGGGCGTGTTCTATCAATGAAACTAAGTAGCTATTACTCAAAAAGGAAACATAAAAGTTCGTTAATACTCAATTTTCTCTGCCTATACCGTACAGGTTCTGTCATGAGATGGATTTTAAATGATGAAACCGTGGCTTTAATGGCTCAAAATGATTTTTGTCGTTCATAATCCAGAGATGACGAGATAAGATGACGTGAAGCAAGCGGCCGGTCGTAAAATGAAAAACCAAAACCTTGTCATATTAAAAAAAATTATTGGCATAATAAAAAATACAAAATAATTGGGATAAGGGCAGGAAGATAATAATTATCCAGGGAAAAATGTAAGTTTCCCTCACAGACAATCAAAAATATTATGATATTCACAAAATCTTATTTGTTTTATCATAATTTCAAAGTACGACTAGGTAACGTAACTAGCTCGATTTATTTATTTACTTGTATTTATATAAAAACTTTTCACTATCCAAAGAAGTACCTAAAAAAATATTTTTATTATAATATAAATTTTTACCGTTTGTTCATCCATCTTTATGTACAAATAACATCTTAGTTTCACTTCACATTATTACCACATTTATTTTCTTATAGATATCAAGGAAATTAAACACCATTGAACCACGGGGAAGGTACGCAAAATTACGTGTTTTATTAACGTGTAACTTTGTTATTTAGAGTTCACGTGCATTGCCTCCAATCGAGTGCATGTGTACGGACGCGACCGGCGAACGGACTACGTAGCGGCTCGACCACAAAGTACCTGGGTACGGTACGATATTGGATATCTTAATAAATTCCTATACTTACATATGTTCATTGTAAACTAGACACCCGCTCCAACTTCGCACAGATAGATAATTAAAAGACGTCTAATTTTTTTTAAATAAAATATAAACCAAGTGACTATCAGTAGATAATGTTAGAATTGATAGGTGAGAGATTTTTAAAATTGGTACTTTCTAAGTTTATCCATTACAAATAATGAAAATTTTTATTTCTCTTTTATAATATTGTTTTTTTTTTATACAACTTAGAATGGCAAACAAGCTGACGGCCCACCTGATGGAAAGTGGTAACTGTCGCCTATAGACATGAGCAATACTATGGACATAACAGAGTATACTGTTTCGACCACGATACCTCCCATGCGTTGCCATTCCTGAGGACTCAGGTGTTATTTCTCTTTACCTGTTTGTAAATTAACGCCATATAATATTAGGTAGATAGATACTCATTATTGTTTCCTCCATTAGTTTACAATAATAAACTTATTATAAATACAAACAATTACAAGAAAATATTACACTGACAAAACAATGGGCAGCCTTATAACTAAGAGCGACCTCTTCCAGGCAACCTTTAGATTTAGAAGAGTAATTATAGTTTAAGTGGAGAAGTTCTGTTCGTTTAATTGATAGAGCGGGGCTCTTGATGATAATATTATTGTGATAGTTGATTACTAGTATGATAGTTACACATTTTTTTTTTTTTTTTTAGAATTTTAGTTACACATTCATATAGTAAAATGCGGAACCCTGCTTGTATCTAGCAAGACATAAAAGTGCTGCCACCAAACCGGTCGCCGTTAATTCGATAATGTCGCGCACATTCCTATGAGACGAAATATGGGAATTTCTTTAGTTTGATTGGACGAACGTTTATTAAATTACTGGTAGAATGTTTTTTTTCTATGTTTTTTTTAACGAGACGTCGGATGCCGATGTATAAGAATATTTGTAGGCAGTAGGAATGTATTTGTTTTAATTAATAATGTATAAATTGCGCCACAAGGGTCCCGTTCTATTGTAACACATTTAGTTCCATTAATATTTTAAACTAGCTTTCGCCCGTGATTTCGTTCGAGTGTAATATTTGATTTATCGTGGATTTTGTCAAAGACATTAGGTTTTGTACAATTCATGTTTTAAATATTTACTTAATACATAAATCTCTTAGAAAAAACAGATAAGAGTATTTTCAAAATAGTATTGGCTAGTGGACAATGAATGAGGGTTACCTTTGCATGAGGGAGCGTGGGCATGCAGTGGCGGGCGCTGGGCTGCGCGGCCGCCACACGCAGCAGCGCCTCGCACACCGCGTGCAGCCCCCCGCCCTCGCCCGCCGCCACCCCCGCGCCGCACAGCACCGCCCGGATCAGGCTGCAGCTCGTTTCCTTAGACCGCTCCGAGGTCACATCTATACACCGGTATGGAAACCACTGTTAGACATGAGGAGACTAATTCTCATTGCCAACAATATGCCCTGTCGGGCGGGAAAGGATAGTTAGTGATGCGGACTATCAGTCCTATTGTTAGCAATATATCCTGTTAGGTCGACCTCTACGAGGCCCCCCTGGAAACCATCGTGCTGGATTCCAGGTGTATTCATCACAATGGGCTAACTGACCTGCCTTTTCATTCTCACTTATCAGGGTATAGCGCATTACTAACAATCCCTTTCCGCCGCTAGCTTGTTTGCAATATTGCAAAAAAATCTGGCACAGGTTTAATAATTTTACTATCATCATCACATTATATCAACCGCTAACTGGCCATAGCTAAAAATATGCCCCGAAAGAGGGTTTTTGCCAATAGTTGACACCCTTGACAAGTGGATTGGCAACTGCAGTTAGCTTTGGTGATATTTTAACAGGGACGCTGCTACGTATCCCTCGACCATTAAGATTCCTTAGTCGCCTCATACTGCATCCATGGGAAAGGAAAGATCAGCTATGTCGGGACCACATGACAATCTTATAATTTTACTGTAATAAAATAAAAGATTCTTTCCGCATTCCGTTTTATTTCTTACCGGCTGAATGAACATGAATAAGAAACCCGATCTAGTGTGTAACAAACTTCTATAATGCAGACAGATATCAATAGTTGCAATGCGAAATTTAACCTTGGGGACATTGACATAAGGATGGTGCGCAGTTGACAACGTATAGTGTAGACATCAATACTAAGGTATCCGATAACAGGCCGGTCCTAGACTCGATGTGTATTTTGAACAATTTGTAACATTAAACTGAGCTTCAGAGTCAAATGTCAAGGTTCGAGGGGTCATCTGTTACGAGTCAATGTTCGCGATTTCTGTTTGCATTTTGTTTATAACTTATCTCTACTTACATAATTGGAACAAAAAGTATAAGGAAGCCTCCTTTCTTTACAATAATAAGACAGTAAATTACAGGGTACAGGGGAATAACAACCGAGTCCTCAGGAATGGTAACGCATGGGGTATCATGGGCGAAACAGTATATTCTGTTATGTCCATAGTACTGCTCATGTCTATAGGCGACGGTTACCACTTTCCATAAGGTGGGCCGTCAGCATAGCGTTTAGCGACAGGTAGTGAAGTTACAGCTTACAGAAGTATAATCAAGAATGGCAATAGATGTAACAAGGTATTCCGAGATGCCCATAGGAATTCATGTTTATAGGAGTCTATTGCAACTTTTCATAAGGCTATCAGCTTGTTTTCCATTCTAAGTTGTAATATAAATATAAAAAAAAAAACTTATATTAATCTTATATTATTATCGTGTTATGAAAATTCGAACAAATGAGATCTGAGCATTTAACCTAAAACGCTCAACTAAGGCCGTTTAAAAAGTTCGATTCCAACCGAGAATTGAACTTCGGATCAGACATTATTTACTTAAAGCAATGTGCTTTAATTTTGCCCAATGACTTTATATACAATACATATTTTATTGTAATAAAAAATAGACTCACCGGATGCAGCCAACTGCACAGTTAACAGTGCCTCCAGTATTTTGATCAGAATCCGCGTCTCGGCTGGCCCGCACTCACAGTGACACAGGTAATGAAGCAGTAGCTTCAACAGGCCATAACTGTCTATGAACACGCTCTCACTCACAACGTACTCCCTAAACATAGGGCTATACAGGCATAGTTCTGCGCAAGTCTTCCAAAAGGTCCATATGTTCTTCAGCACCTCAATGTAATCTTCTATAGATTCTTCGATCACGCCCTCGTTTGAAGCAAAATCGCTTTTTACTTGTGGCACAGAAATCCGTCTGGATTGCACGTACTCTGAACCGGGCGTGAACGCTAACATCTCTTTTTCTTTGGTCAAATCGCTCAACTCGTCAAAGAGTTCATCTGTCAGTTTTAACTTAAATATTTTATAACACTTGTCAGTCATATCCGATAAAGACTTAAAAAGCATCTGCACAGAGGCCAGAGTACTTATCTCCCTGTAGTATGTTACTTCAGAGTTGTCTTTTATAAACTTGAATATTTCAACTGTGATAGCTATTTCGAGGATGGAACAACATTGATTTGAAAATTCAGACAATGACACTAATTCGAGAACATAACTGAGTCCGCCTTTTTGTATGAACTGTTCAGCAAATGGTATAGTATTTAGAAGGCTCGCAAATATGTTCAGACATGATACGGTGAGGAAGTAAGCGGACTCTTCCGCTCTTAATATGTACCTATGTTTAGCGACGATGAAGCTCGGATAGATGACGCTAAATAGAAGTTCATATTTCATTTCTGAGCGACATTTTGGTGTTACCCGCAATAAGTGACTGACCGTCGCGTGCAATACGTTATTATGGTTATCTAATTGAAGTAAAGAATTATAATGGATAAGAAAAGACCACACGCTCTTTCTTTCCATTGGACCGATCCCATGTGAACATTTTCTACCAATATCTCTTTTGTCTTCGGATGGTTCACAAATTGAGCACGGCAGCTGATCCGTAACTTTTGGTACAAGCACGCTCGCTCCTAACTCTCCATATACAGTATGCTCCAGTACTTGAAGACACAAGGAGGCTACGCTGTTATGCGTTAACATAAGTCTCACAATGCTTTCCATGAGAGTGCCTGGTGAGAAACAACAACACACCCCACAGTTCAACATTACTTTCAGAAGTTTGTTTCGTAACGCCGGTTCTGCGGATACCTCCTCATCTATTACTAAAGCAGTCAGCGTTCCGTACAGCACAGATATGCAGCACGCAGAGGCTATGGGCAGGTCGATGCTGGCCTCGCCCAGGATGTCGTGGTGGTGGTACATGCCAGCCGCCACCCGTTGCCGGCACGTTTTATGTCTACTCCTCGGACACGCAGCAGAGTGAATTACTTCACTCCTCACTCGTTTCATACCACAAATTAGTTTACCGACCGTCTCAATTAACTTCTTGATTAAAGTCACTGTCTCGTCATGTTTTACATCAGGTATCCTTATCATTAACTCTATGCAGTCTTTCAATAACCCACCTTTAAGGCACTCGGCATATAACCTAAACTGTTCTGTAAATTCTCGAAGTTTCTCCACTGTCCGGCACTGCATTAGTAGGCAATGGAAGAATGCAGTTATCGAATATGATATACCAAATACGAAATTGAGCAAATTTTCCGATTCAGTCTTATTTGATGTTTGAATATCTTTGGCACGATTATCGGTTTTCCGATATTTATTGCTAGATTTACAGACCACGTCTTCTAAGATTCGTAGCAGCATCGGCAGTATGCCGTTGTTGATTAGTTTGGCACATAAATCTGGATGCACGAGGACTTTGTCCAACGACACTATGAGTAGTTCCGTTAAAGCTACTTTGATTTCCGATGCTTCCTCTACGTCCTCCGAGGACTGTGACGGCACTGAACTAAACTGTAGAGAGCAGAGATTTCTCAGGGAAAAATTGATACACTGTACTGATATTTGTGATCCTTCCGCGCCGGATAAACTACTTTCAGCTCTGCATAGTTCTTGTAGCAGATCTATTATTAATAATACAAATTCGAAGGATGTTATTTCTGAATTGAGTATTTCTTTATGTTTGTCTGTCATATAGTCATCCACTTTCGGCTTGTCTTTCCGTGGCGTAGAGTAAGTATCACTATGTAGAGTTTCAAGAGGGTACTCGGCGGGGGATCGTACTGGGGTATTGAAATAATCGAAGCTATCGTCAGGCGTACAAACTTTAATGCCAATGGATCGATTCAAAATTTGGAGATCTTGATTGGAATCACTATCTTCTGTGGAAGGATCACTATGTTTAATTAATTTTCTTTTGCTTTTACTTTCTGCAACGTCGGCTTTACTTTGAGCACCGTGTCTGGATCTAATATGAAATAGAATGCAGCAGATTAATGATTTATTTTAATTTAAATAAATACAGAATCAGACAAAACAAAACTTACTTTCCAATAACGGAACCTTTCTCTGATGATGCTGCGGAGGTCACTTTGGATCCTTGAATACTAACAGGTTTCTGTTGTGACCATATCCTAAAAAGAAAAATATTATTAGCTACGTCATCAAATCTAGGGCAGGCTTCAAGTTAGAAAAGGCTGTGTTAAGATCGATGTGTCTCTTATGTGTGTTATTGACGAGAAGGGAGGAGATTTTCAATATTAGAAACTAATTGCTAGCACACCTGCCGTCTAGAAATCATTGTTCTTGATTTCACTTATCATTCACAAGTAATCTGCCATTATATATCGATAGTACAGATGGGTTTGCCATTCCATTATCATCTCATAAAAAACATACATGCAGTTTAATACATTGTAATACATAAAAAAATAAATAAATGAGATTTATCTGGGGAAATGTCTATGTAACTTCCATCGTATCTTTACAACTAGCTGTTTATCAAAACTGAATAAAAATAGGCATACAGGTACAGCTTTTTTACAGTCTGATAATCATTACAATAACTACGCGTAAAAATATGTTATCAAAAACATTATAATCATTCTTTTTATCTCTATACAAATTAAAACGGTAAATGTTTGGGTAGTTAAAGCTATTTTTCTTATACACAAGAATGCCTTGAATTTCATTATAATACAATAACTGGCAAAATAAACAACGAGATGCCGTGAGTCACGCACATATAGAAATTATATTTTGGCAATCCCAATAATTATTATCAATTAGCAAATATTGTGAGGCCACATGTGTTTCGGTTATCGAATAGAAGTACGCGTTTGAAATTTAACACCAATATAATCTCATTATCTCGTTGCCGTGAGGTCCCGGTATATAACGGGCCACTAATTCTCTTCCCATGGGTGTCGTAAGAGGTGACAAGAGGAACTTAAATGTCGATGGATAGGTATCTCTCTTAAAACATCATCGAAGGCTCACTGTGGTTGCCAACCGGTCTGTCAAGCGTGGTAACTATTGGCAAAACTCTCCTTTATTGAGGAGGCCTATGTTCAGAAGTGGATAGTTAAGCGCTGATATAGTACAATGTCGTTAAATCAGGGGGAAGGGGGTTGAGGAACCGTTTTTGCTTTGAAATTTTTGTTATAAATCTGAATAATGTATTCCTTTTCGCTCTTTTGTGTTCACAAATTATTGGTTTAAACAAATAAGTTCAGTTGGAGTAAGGTACATTCTCGTACATAGATAAAATCTCAAATACGATTTTGTTGGATCGAATGTAAATTAGGTACCTACCAAACAATAGAAACTAAACAAGTTAGTAGAAGATTCCCAAATATTTGCCGGAAGCTTCAATTTTGTTTATTTGTGAGACTTTAAGGTAGTCAGTGGAGTCAGATGGCTCAGGACCGTTCCTTATGGCCGTCTATGGAGGAAGCCTATGTTCAGCAGTGGACATATAATGTCTGAGAGGATGATGACGAAACTTTAAGACTTCCAAACCAAAAGCTTTCTCAGAAACTTAACTGTTATCATCTAGCCTGAAAAAATAAAGTCAACTTGTGGAAATCCAATCATCCTGCTCCCTCAGATTTCGTTCTGATCAGCTGAACACCTGCCTCCGGATGGCGACTTGCAGTGGACAATCTGAAAATCGCTCAATAGACTGCGAATCTAGGTTGGACGCTGCAAGTACAACTTGATGAAATGGGGTATTATTTCTCAAAGGGAAATTATTTCGCAGAGCATGTCTCATCTCCTGTCCTGTCTATGTATCCTTGATCCTGCACGAAGGAGGATGTGAACAAGACATATCACAGAAAAATAATACCTTATCAATTTATGTATAGTTTGAACTACTTACTTGTGTGAGAATAGCTGGTGTATGGGTGTCCGTGACGAAGCTGGTGAAAGACAACGCTGCTGGGAAGGTGATGGAGTGCCGCTCAGCTCGCCGTACAGCCAGATCAGTACCGAGCTCAGCTGTCTGCAGCAGGATAGACCCTGGATAAAAAGACCAGTGAATTGTCAAATTGTCTTCAATCAATCAAATAATTTCCATTACTAAATAATTTTAAAATTTCGTTCCACGAAAAAAAAAACAGCCTCGTCAATGGTGAAAAAATTAATATGAATCCAAAACAGGAATAACTCTCGCTTATAAAAAGAATGACCAAAATCGGTAATTTCGGAATTAGTGAAGGTTATGCGTAACTTATACATACACTTACAAATATACATATGCACCATTAATAAAAAAAAAAAATTGTAACATCATCTGTACTAATTTTATTCTTTCTTTTTAAACTCGAGGGTTATTCCAAGTTAATTCCATATTAATACCTTTAGCATTAACGTAACTGATCTGCTTCATCCTCACCTATCATCACTTACTGGTGCCCCGCCGGTGTATACCGATATATGTATAACGCAGGTGGGGTTACCATTCCAGCATCCATTAAAAAAAATCCGGTCACGAGAGTGAAGTCGCGGGTAAACCATCACCTCTGCCCTTCATACGCTCTCTGTTTTTACCTAATAATTAGCTGGTAGAGAATGCCATATGGCATTAAGCTCGCTATTTCTACGAAGTTTTATTGTGAATAAATAAATAAAAGCTAGTATCTTCATATTTTCAAGAGAGACATGACAAAGCCATTTGCTTAATTGTCTCCTGTAGAGATTATTCTAATGTCTAAAGTCATTTATTTATTTTTGGTTATTTTTGGTACAATAAAAAGTTAAATAAATAAAAATTCAACTTCTGCTAAATAAATAACCAACTTTAATAATTGACGATAACTTCAAATTATGCATACAGACATGTTTCATTGATAAAACTTAAGAGAGCATACATATTTATATGTATACATGTTTATCATATGTTAAATGTTATTTATCAATAACTGTGTATAATGCGGCCGGGGCCACGGGTCAGCTCCTCCGAATCATTGTATCGGTTCATATGAGGACATTGACAATAATACATTATACAACTTTTGTGGGCATTTTACATCTAGATTAATAAGAATCCTTGTTTGCCATTCTAAGTTGTATAAAAAAAAAAATCAATGATACATAATATGCCAGCTACATTTTTTTTATTGTAACTTCGAATGGTAAACAAGTGGATTGTTCACAAAGCGGTATCCATTGTTTATAGACATGAACAGTACCATGGACAACAATATAGTCGATATTGCGTCGTCCATGATACCCATTACGCGTTGCCATTTCTGAAGACGAACATGTTATGACTTGCCTACCAAAGTTACGATATAAAGTACCTATGTATTAATCTACAACGGTTTATCAAAGTTTAAAACTATTCAGAAGAATGACTGAGTGTTTTGACACTCAGTACTACCATTAGTAAGGTATCTGTCATTTTAAATTATTACTGATGGTACTTTTGTATGAGCGTCGAATGTACGTGCTAACACATTATTTCGGGGGGAAAGGGATTATTAACAATGGAGTTTGACAGCCCCATTGCTAGCAATATGCCCTATTAGCAATATGACCTCCACGTAGTTCCCCCTGGAAACCATCGTGACAATTCTTGTTGAATTTGTCACGATGGGCTAATTGACCTGCTTTATCGTCACCTATTATCCTTCACTGGTGCCCCGCCGGTGTATACTAATAGCGCGGGTGGGGTTACCATTCTATTATCACCCATTAAAAAACACATTATTTCAGCCGTGAAATAAAAACAATGAATTACAATATTGTATCCTTACCTCAACTCCTAAGGCTCTGAGCAGAACGAGACATCGCCAAGCGACTCCACCGAGTAAATACTTTCTGAGAATCTCGGCGGAGGACTGTAAATTGGCTATCGTGAAAAGGCTGGTCGGCTGCACCCTCGCGTCTTCTGTTTTGATCTCTGTATGAAGGCAAATCACTGCTTCAAATTTCTTAAAACTGTATAATAATATTCTGCATTTATTCCTTAATTAGAACATTTATTCCTGAATTAGAGTTGATATCAAGTAATGTAATTTATACTACACCTACTATTTATTGCCTCTAGAGCAATTTTGTGGTACCTCATTTCGACATTATATATTCGAGAAACGCTATTATATATATATATTCTTTATATATTCATGGTAGACTCACTGATATATATATATATATATATATATATATATATATATATATATATATATATATATATATATATATATATATATATATATATATATGTGTTGCAAAAGGGACATTTAATGCGAAATTAACATTTGTTTTATAATATATATATACACCCCTAGTGCTTTGTTTCTGGTATTCATTTATGTCTTTAAAGAAATGTAGTCCAAATTCAAAAATAAGCACATGACACGATAACCTTGACACGATAACTACTCGTATTTATCCTCAAGCGAACTACACGAGCAAACGAACAAACGAGCAAATAAAGTTATCATTCATTCATACATACAATTTCCATCAATGTTGTGGTATAGAGTATAATGTAACTAAATATATATTTTGTAAGTTGAGTGTTTATTTGAAATATTTATCTGGGGACAAGATTACCTGGCGGTGTAGGTTCGGGCGACTCTTCGAAGACGGGCGTTTCCTTCCCTGAGCAAACGGTGTCGAGGCATGGTAGCGGCACAGTATAATGCGTGTTGATGGACGAGGTGACGCGGTGGATGCCGCATAGTAGCTCGCAGCCGACCAACGTCACCACCCCACTGACAGGGCTGAGAGATGAAAATCACAATAGCCTAATGTGACGACAACTGTGATGGTCACGATTTGGCAATCCACTGAAGTTCTTTAGAGATAGATTTCATATAAAAATTCCAAATTCAAATTAGTGAAGGGAGATTGGTGTTATTAGTAACGAGTTAGTCTTCAAATAGAGCCCTAGGAACCATATGAATTTAATTTCATTCACCATAACCTAAGTCATAAATATCAAGAATATATATAAACTCAGCCACAAACTTACAGGTTACATCCTTATCTATCCACCCACACTTCGCTAAAATCAGTCCATTTTTTTTTTATTTTTGTAGTTGCGATTTGTCAGTGTGTGTGAATAGGGATACCTAAATATTGAAATAGTAACAACGAAAAATGACGTGTTTTGTCTAAAAAAGATATGCATCAGCCAACATTTGACTATTTTTTTAAACATATTTTGACAGTTGACACTCCATCAAGATGCATATTATCTGCGTACAAGGTACTTTGTACAAAAGTCGTTTGCTTGGGTACCTCTATCCCATTTGTGTTTCAACCGTAAAGCAGTTGTTTGCATGGCTGTGTTTCGGTTTGAAGGGTGGGATATGGCGTGAATTTACAGGGTACAGAGGAATAACACCTGAGTACTCAGGAATGGCAACGCATGGGGGGTATCATGGGCGAAACAGTATACTCTGTTATGTCCATGGTACTGCTCATGTCTATAGGCGACGGTTACCACTTTCCATCAGGTGGGCCGTCAGCTTGTTTGCCATTCTAAGTTGTATAAAAAAAATCTTTTAAAGATCCATCATATTTTTCTTACCAAAAGTTAATTAGTTCCTTAGGATTCGCTCCGTCATTTGTTCTTATCAGGAATTCCGCCAAGAACAAATCGAGCCAAGTCGATTTCTGCAACAAAAAGTCTCGTTAAAGATACGGCGGTGAGCATCAATTAACATTTATATTCTTAGCCAATTCAATGTAATAGTTCATTTCCGCGCATCGCTGGAAGACATTTGATCATGTATGCAAGCTGAAATCGAAATCGATAGTAGTATGTAAAATTAAGAATTCATATATATCTATGTATATATATTCTTTATTGCACTAAAACATACAGTAACAACAATAAGTTAATAACAATGTTAGCAAAGGCGAACTTATCTCTAAAAGAGATTTCTTCCAGTCAACCTAACGCAGTGGCATAGGAAGCAGTGAGTGGGCAGTAATAGTGCACGACAGAAATTTTAATAAATATTTATATAAATTATAAATAATTATATATATACATATATACACACACACACACACACATACATACATATATATATATATATACATACATATACACACATACATACACACGTTAAATACAACATATAAATATCAAATACAAGAGAACACAGTGATGACAGTCTTCTAATCATTTTTATTCATATCCATGCAATAAAATTTAGATTCCTAAATTACTTGTGTTCATAGGCTACGGTAACCACTTACCATCAGGTGGGCTGTATGCTTGTTTGTCACCTTAGTGGTATAAAAAAAAAACTTTGGCCAAGAGATCATTTTTCCAAAATGAACTAACTAATGGACGGTCGTAAAACTATAACCCAAATCTTTTTGTAATATGGATAAAAAAAAAACATATTACGCCGACCCCAAATAAATTGGGATAAGGGTAGGAAGATGATGATGTAATCTTACCTTTTATCTCTTTTTTTGTATATCTCGATATGTTATTATTTGTGTTTTTTTTCATACAACTTAGAATAGCAAATAAGCTGACGGCCCACTTAATGGAAAGTGGTAACCGTCGCCTATAGACATGAGCAGTACCATGGACACACCAGAGTATACTGTTTCGCCCATGATACCTCCCATGCGTTGCCATTTCTGGAGACTAAGATGTTATTCATCTGTACCCTGTAAATTCACGCCATATCCCACTCTTCAAACCGAAACACAGCCATGCAAACACAACTGCTTCACGGTTGAACACGAATGGGACAGAGGTACCCAAGCAAACGACTTCTAACTTGTGTGCTGCAAGTACTGCAAATAAATTATATATCTTTCTATCTACCTCATAAGTGCCAGTCTCTGCTTTGAAGAAATGATCCCAATACGTCTTGAGAGTGTTTGGTTCTCCTTCCGTCGCCATGTTCACCAAGTGCCGTCCTGTAACAAGGCTTAAATTGTAGTAAATAGTTCCCATGAGGTCATACCAGGGTCATCCTGGCATTGAATGGACCACCCCTTCCCTTGCCCGTAAGAGTTGTAAGAGGCATCTAAAGGAACTTGTAACTTGGCGCCTCTTTTGGGTTTGGCGGCTGCGATCGCGTATTGGATAAGGTGTATTTAGGGGGGGGGGAGGGAGGGATATTAATAGTGGGGACTAATAACCTCCTAATAATATACTCTATAAGATTAACTTTTACGCGATTTCTTCTAGAGGCCATTACGGTTAATTTGTGGTGAATTCGTCACGGTAGACTAATTTGACTTCTTTCACATTTATATACGCGTTTTACACTTCATTGTCACTCATAAAAAAGGTAGGGCATAGCATGGAATGGGGCCACCGGACCATATTGTGGTTATTGGTGGTTGTTGGTTGGGGGAGGGTTAAATTAGTTATTTAATCTAGGTCAGAATGATTTTATATTCGATGTTTATATACGTGCACAACGGTAATTTTGTGAACTCACTGTGTTTCTCATTTCTGACTTCATTCAGAAGTCTTCTACAGGAGGCGTATAGCGCTGTGCAAATATTTCCGTCGGGCATATAAAAAAATAATATATCATAAAAAGATTGAATATAAGTTTTAGAAATAATATTGATTTTATTTCCTCTTAATAAAGCTGAGATATTTATTGTTATAGGCTACCGCAAACAATACGGAGCGCCACAGCACCGTTATCTGTGTGCCCTGCTAGCTACAGCCCTCTATCAGGGTTTCTATTGTTTGTTATAAACTACTTGACGATATATTATCATTGAGCAAACAACAAAACGTTTCTAAGCTTATTGTGGATCAAAATACCTAACTGCATTTTTATTATGCCGTGTGGTCTTGGCATAGAATGGGCCACTCCTTTCTATCCCCTATTTCTGAGTCGTAAAAGGCGACTATGGGAATTTAATGGTCGAGGGATAGGTAGCTGCGTCTTTTAAAACATTACGAAAGCTTAACTGTGGTTGCCAACCCGCTAGTCAAGCTTAGCAAATACTGGCAAAATCTTCTCTTATAAAGGATGTTCAGCAGTGGACAGTTAACGGCTGATGATGATTTTTAACAAGGGGGTCTGGATGGAGGCCGCCTTTAAAGATAATAATGGGAGTTAACATACCCATTAAAATTATCGCCATTTCTACCCTGATTACAGAGTAGTGTTACCAAATGTTCATTGCTTGGTTTTTCGTCATATTTCTTTTTGAAAATTAATTATAATCTTCATTCGGATTTAAAACGAGTTTTAAATAGTATCTTTGTTGAGTCACTTACATGTGTACATCGAATAAATATAATTTCTGGAAGTCACAATATACTTTCTTATGTACTCATATATCTAGGCAGAAGTAATTACATTTTAGACAAGTTCATATATTCACCATATATCTGTACCCATCGTTTAAGAACATAATATTGTATAATTATTAATAAAAATTTGAATTATTATTATTACCTATCAAAACTGCGAAATAAAGTTTACGTTGGGGAAAGTGAAATTAATCTCTTACATTTTAGAAGACATAGTACAGGAGGTACTAATGAACAAATCCTGAACATAATAATACAAAAATATATTGATATTAAATATAATTTTCATGTTTTAATAATACTATATTCTCAAATAATAATAATACCTTTTTATTGTTATTTTTTGCGTATCTAATATAGTAAACACGTGAACTGAACCAGTAATTTGGCGGGAAATCTCGCAACGTGTTTGCCGAACGATCGACCGGACGGCGGGGCGGCGACTGGAGGAAACCTTATCGTGCCGGTCATAACTTATAGGATAGTGAGAAACGTAGATAATTGTATTTGTATATTATTATTTGCCGACTTCTTAGATTTTCATGTAATATTTACACACAGTAGTAGCTATATTGAAACAGTAGTTTAATTCATTCTTTGACAGAATATAAATATTTTTAATTTAAAATTGATATTTGGTTTTTAAATAAGTTTAACAGCAGTTTATATAGCCAGTTATAATCTTAACTTAAACAAGTCTAGCATTCAAGTCACTTAACAATCTGAGGTTACTTTCACATTATAATGCTGGTTACAGTTCTCAGTTTGATCTTGGTCTAATAAAATACTATCATGTAAAAAATAATCTGTATATTCGTATTATCTGTAACAGCATATACAGGGGGAAAGGGATTGTTAGTAATGGGATGAGATTGGCCCACTGCTAGCAATATATCCTATCAGGTCAACCTCCACACAGTTCCCCCTGGCAACCATCCTTGTTAATTATTGATGAATTTGTCAAGATGGGCCAACTCACCGATAAGTGAGAATCATCCTCACTTCATCTTTCACTGATGCCCGACCAATGTATTTTGATAGCATAGGTGAGGTTACCATTTCATTATCATCCATTAAAGAAAAACAGCATATACATATATATCAGCCATGATCAGTTTCAAAGTGTTCATCAGACATTATACTTTGCTAATTTTCTGTATTTCTTACTAAAACACTGTATCTTCCATTTGTGCTCGTTGCTGATTGATTTAGACACTACATAGCTAGTTTAAGACAAGCTTGTTGCTGGCAACACACACTGATGATGCTAGCTTATTTATTTAAAAAGTAAGTACCAAATTAATTACTTCTTCAATTAATGAATTATAGAAAAATTACTACTAGTCAATATAGCTAGTACTGCTATTTTTTTTTTTTTTTTACAACACAGGGGGCAAACGAGCATGCGGCTCACCTGATGGTAAGTGACTACCGCCGCCCATGATCACCCACAACACCAGCGGCATTGCAGGTGTGCTGCCGGCCTTTTAAAAAGGAACACACTTTTCTTGAAGGTTATGTTGTCGTATCGGTTCGGAAATACTGCTGCTGGAAGTTGATTCCAAAGAATGGTTGTGCGTGGAAGACCGCCACTCGTCCAGATGATTGGGATGAAACTTTAGTTTGTGGCGGGTTGTACGGTGGTGAAAATCAGCAGCAGGTATCAATCCGAACAATTCCTCAGAACACTCCCCATGATAAATTCGGTAGAAGATGCACAGAGATGCAACATCTCTGCGCAGTTTCAGTGGGTCGAGTCGGACAGTAAGGCGTTGACTATCGATAATTCGAGCCGCCCGACTTTGAATATTGCTATACATATTTTATGCATATTAAAGGCAAAAAAACCAACGGCCCACCTGATGAAAAGTGACAACCATCGCCTAAGGACATAAATAGTACCATGCAATACATGGTGACATCCATGGTGCTGTTCATGTATTACCATCATAGGCATATATAGAAATGGGGGCTGGGTGGAACATTCCTATGCTAGAATTGCCTAGTGCCAATAATATAATAATAATATCGAACTTTGAGGAGATACAAGGGTACATGTGGTGTTTTTAAAGTTTCAAGCCAGCTATTTAACATGATCTGAAATACCCCAATGATTGCCATTCCTGAGGACTATGATGTGTGTAATTTCAAATTTCATCTTTCAAACTGAACCATGCCAGTATAGTTGTTTAATTTTTTTTTTATACCACTGAGTGTGAGTGTGTTGCAGACCCTGTAGAAACCTCTTTACCCCCCTTAAACATGGCATTCATGAGAAATATGTAAGAGAGAGGTACTCCAGCAGATGCCTTTTGTACAAAGATGTAGCATAAAGTGTCATCATTTTGTAAAATTATATAAAACATTCAACCAGTGAATATGAGAGTTAGATAAGAGTAAAACAAATTTACATCAAAACCTACTTGGGATTATATATATTCTTTATTGCACTTGTAAATTACAATGTTAATGCATTTATAAATATTGTGAGCAAGGGTGGACTTATCTCTGACAGAGATCTCTTCCAGTCAACCCAATGCAGTTAGAAAACATGTTGCTAGCGGGCAGCTGAAACGCTACAACTATTAATATTTAGTATACATAAACAAATATACAGTTAAATAAAATATTAAGATACATAATAAAATATAAAATAATAAAATATTACATAAATACATATACTATAAATAAATATAATATCTACTTACTTATACAGTGGATGTTAAAATAAATGAATATACTACCTAGAATAGAAATTTAGTTCAATGATTTCAAAGTTTGACAGTTCAATTATAAAAATAAATAAATTATGACTCAAAGGAAAGAAAATGTAACTTCAACCTTTTCTTGAAAGAGGTAATTGAAGGGCTCTCTTGTTTGTGGGAAGGGAGTTTGTTCCATAATTGGGCAGCTCGATACGAGAAAGAGTTGCCCATAAAATGTGTTCTAGACAAAGGTAGGTCGAGAATCCTGGACTGAACTTGACAGGAGCGTTTAGGACGGATTGGTGGTGGTAATAATTTAAATCGAGAGCGGAGGTACGAAGGAGAATTGGGGTTATTAAGTATGTTATAAAGGAAAGAAAGGATGTGCATATCACGTCGAAGTCGGATAGGAAGCCACTTTAACTGGTTGCGAAAGGCAGAAACGTGATCATATTTACGAAGACCAAAGATGAACCTAATGGCCAGATTTTGTAATCGTTCCAGCTTGTTTAGAAGCTCCTCAGTCACATCCAAAAAACAGACGTCGGCATAGTCAAGTATTGGGAGTAGTAGAGATTGTGCGAGCATGATTTTAGTATTTACTGGGAGAAAGTATTGAAGTCGCTTGAGAGAGTGAAATGTAAAGTGCATGCGTCTACTGAGCTCATTTATATGACATGTCCAAGATAGAGTGCCGTCCATTATGAGACCAAGGTTCTTAACCTTCTCGCTATATGCCACTGGAACTCCATCGTAGTAAAGTGGCGGTATCCCGGTCCAATTCAACCTGCATCGCATCCTGCTGCTGCCAATAATGATAGCTTGTGATTTAGCAGGATTTACGAGAAGACCAAATGTGTTAGCCCACGATTGTATTGCAGATAAATCCGTATTTAAGACAGCAATGGCATCAGACACTTCGGACAGTGCAAAGTGTCTGTAAAGTTGTAGATCATCCGCATACAGATGGTAGGGAGAATTAATGATCCGAGAAATATTGTTTATAAAAATTGAAAAGAGTGAAGGAGACAGCACGCCACCTTGAGGTACACCGGCAGTGAGTGGAGACCAATCCGATGAAGCATCATTGGCTCTGACACACTGCTGACGACCGAAAAGATAGGAAGAAAACCATTCAATAGCAGGAGAGGATACGTTTACTACACGGAGCATGGCAAGCAAAATGTCAAAATCTACTGAGTTAAAAGCGTTAGTAAAGTCAAGAAGAACAATAGCTGTGAGATTAGTGTCATCCATGGCACGCCGAATGTCCTCAGTAATATTAAGTAGTGCTCCAGTAGTGCTATGGGATGGACGGAAACCTGATTGGAAAGGGCATAACAGGTGATTGGCAGTGAGATACTGATGTAATTGATGGTGAACTACTGATTCAAGGACCTTAGAGAGAATGGGGAGAATGGATATGGGACGGAATTGGGAGAAGCTGGTCGGATTCAGAGTTTTGGGAAGTGGAATAATAAAGGCCTTTTTCCACTGTGTCGGGAAAACATTGCATTTCAGTGAGTAGTTTATAATGTGTGTGATTACGGGCAATATCTCATCCAACACCGGCAGAATCATATCGAGGCTTAAGTTGTCACTGCCAATGGCTTTGGTAGATATGGAACAGATAATTTTTCTGACAGCATCTGTGGACACTATACGGAAAGTAAATGAAGGGCAATCAGGCACTTCGGCATCAGAAAGATATGAAAGAGAGTTGGCCCTAGCAGAATTACTTAAAGAAGAGGGAGGAGTAGAAAAGTGAGTATTTAAACCATTAAGGTCCAAGTTATTAAGAGATTGACTAGAGGATTTGCCTATGCCTAAAGATTGCAGAAATTTCCAAACTTACGGTTGGGAGAGGTTTTGAATGGTAAAATGGATATAGTGGCGTTTGGCATCCCTACACATTCTGTTGCAGATGTTACGTAGTTTCTTATAAGCCTCAAAATTAACCTGAGACCTGTCGCGCTTATACCATATTATATTATATTTCATAATTTAAAAATAAAACAGAGAAAAAAGTAATAATAAATTAATAAAATTAATACAAAAAAAAAATTAATACAACAATCTTTGTAGCTATTTCTTTATTATAAAAAAATGGCTGTGCAAGCCATTTTTTTATTGAGAAGATAAATTTTAAAAATTCAGTAAGTGGATACCCTTAGTTACTTAATTTTTTTTTTATTTACTTATTATGTACCTGAAAGTGTTTTTAGGTATTTAATGTTAACAGAAGCACATTTTCTCTGTAGAGAAATAACAATTTGAGTATCAGCATGTTCTACCAAATACAAACAAAAATCCCAAAATTGATACAAAAGATATAGCAAAGGATAAACACAAAAAATATATATTAACTGAAAACCTCCCATTCCTTTTGAAGTTACTTGAAAAATATAAATTGTGAATAATTTTAAGGTAATCCTAAAAGGAATTTCGATATGTTTTTAACAATTACATCATCTTTTGTGCATTTCTTAGACTTTGAATTACAATTTTATGTAGGTAATTATTTGTTGGAAATAAATACAATTATAAAATCATAAGTAGAATTATTTATTGCTTTCATGCAGTTGTTTGTAAACAAAACTAAAAATAATAATGCTCTTTTTACAGTTTTTAATAAGTCTAAAATTAACGAGATGATTTTGCAAGAATGTTTATAAAAAGGAAAATATCGTGTTTTGTTCAGTTGTAAAAAAAAATACTTTTACCTACATACTTACATGAAAACTTGTTTGTAGTCGAAACTTTATTTATGTTGAACACGCAAGCAGGTTATATGTGAATTTCCAAAATTAAATATATTACTTAATAAATCACTTTATTTTTTATCGCATATGCTCATAAATTAAAGAAAAATAAACGACACATTAAGCAGCGAAGGATAGTTATAAATTTATTTAGTTTACGCAGGGTAGGTAAGACGTTTATAAATATTTTTATGTCAATTCAATTGGATTCCCAAGCACTACTTTTACAAGAATTGCCTGACGGGACGATAACTTTTAAATAAACATCTATAGAAAGTAATTGAAAATTTTAAAATATTTAATTTTTAGTGAAGTTTACCTACAAAAGGAATAATCCCAATTGCACTGCCATTTGACAGTGACATTTTAAAAAGCCTTATTGCCTACATAGATAAAGATTTTCAGGCTAATTAATATATATAAAAAAAAATTTTAGATTTGTGAAATCCACTTAGTTCACTAAACAGATAGATGAGATAAGGACAAGAACAAGAATAATATAATAAGAATAATATATATCATGTTCCACAGAAAAACTATATTGATATTTCTAAAGAACTAATCTAAAAAGAATACTTCAAATCGATTTATAATTGACGGAGATTAAGGTAATAAATAAAAAAGCTACCGAATTGAAAACCTCTTCCTTTTTTAAATCGGTTGAAAAGAAGTGTTCTAATAGGTATTAATTATATTGGTAATTTCATTTTAGCTTTATTATAAGAAATTGCTAAATTGTCAATTAGTTTATTTATTATATAAAACACAGAATTCTGAACAGATTTTTATTTCTAGAATATCACAAAATAATGACCCATATTTTTTTACATTCTATATTTAATTAAGGACAGAATTAAAATGAAAAGCTATAATTTGACTTAAGAGGCCATATTGGCACAAATGGCTCGAGTTACCAGATCTAGTCAGCTGAGAAATGACAACTGATCTCATTGACAGACAAGTTGATAAGAAAAATGACAATTTTACATTGTGTTTTAATAAAACTACTCTAATGAAATTCTCTCTAACAGTCGGCTTCGATTATCACTAAATACGCTCGTTAAAAGTGAAAATTATATGTTCAGTGAAAATTATAAAGTTTTACAAATGAAGCATTAGTTTAGAAAAGAAACAGAAAAATGTGGGACAACGCTATCGAATATTTAAAAGATCCTTTACTTGTAGTTAAAGTTCAAAACTTCTTCGGTGTAATTTATAAAAGTGTTCAAAAGAATGAATCATCCGAGGTGGTGCATTCTGAGAGGCTGGAGCGTGTAAACGAAGAGTTTGATATTAAGCAACATAAACGAATACCAAGTAATATCTCTAGTAGTTCTGGTTCCTCGTATGAAACTGATACATCGTCGGAGAGTAACAAGGACGAAGTGGAGTGCACGATAAACAACAAATTTTGGTACTATGTGTTCGTAGTGGGCACCGCCTTTGGTGACGAGATATTCTATGCTACTTTTATACCATTTTGGTTTTGGAACATCGATAGTGCCGTTGGTAGAAGGGTTGTTTTGGTCTGGACGGTCGTTATGTATATAGGTATGTGTTGATTCGCTTATTTTAAGGCATCTATCACGTGATTGGTTTTGTTATGCATCATTACTCATATGCTGAAATAACAGAATATTCTAAATGTATGTCAGTAGCCTTTAAAACCTCTAAAACAGAATGCCAAATTTTTGAAAATTAATTACATCCAGGGGTGAAGGTATTGTTAGTAATGGCAGCCTTATTATCAGTAACATTAAATGTCAAATCAACTTCTATGTAGCTTCAATTGAAACCATAAATAATTTCTAATGAATTTATTCATAGGAGCCAACAAATTTTTGTAGTCACATGTTTTCTCTCGCTGGTACCCTTGTCAGTATAAATTATTAGCTATTATTTACTAGAGGGAGACTTTGTACAAAAGTCGATTGCTTGGGTACCTCTGTCCCATTCATGTTTCAACCGTGAAGCAGCTGTATTTGCATGGCTGTGTTTCGGTTTGAAGGGTGGGATATGGCGTGAATTTACTGAGTACAGAGGAATAACATCTGAGTCCTCAGGAATGGCAACGCATGGGGAGTATCATGGGCGAAACAGTATACTCTGTTATGTCCATAGTACTGCTCATATCTATAGGCAACGGTTACCACTTTCCATCAGGTGGGCCGTCAGCTTGTTTGCCATTCTACGTTGTATAAAAAAAAATCTAAAAAACTGTTTACTTATCAGTCACTTCATTATACTCTTAGGCAGTGAATATACCTATGACTAGAAATAATCAAGAAAGAGATTGACAGGAAAAAAATATTGTATTTTGTAAATAATATGTAACCACCTTATTCATTATAAAAACTAAAACTTACAACAAACCTATTTTAACTATTATAGTATTTAGTTCTTTCAAATTGAGCCTAGTGCAAAAGAAAGAGACAAAACAGTAAATAGCTTAAGTAGATTTAGAAGACATTTGGCATTTTTATGAATAAGCATGTTAGTCTCTACTATTGACATATTGGGGACTTTCTAAAATCTAAAATATACATGACTGTTATAGATTTTTTTATTATTTTTATTCTTTGGTTAAATGAATTTGATTTAACAAAGAAAATCTAGTTTCAGTTAAGAGTTATTGCAAACTAATATTATTTTTAAATAATGTTAACAGAATTGTGATGCAGACTTTGGACTCTAATTTACATATTTATCTTTTAATTTGCAAAATTTACATATTATCGTTATTTTTAGGACAAGGCTTCAAGGATATAATACGATGGCCTAGACCTGGCTATCCTGTTAAGAAGTTACAGACAAAATGGGCAATAGAATATGGTATGCCGTCAACACATGCCATGGTTGGTGTGTCAATACCGTTCTCCGTATTACTCTACACCATGGATAGGTATGAGTATCCAGCGCACTGGGGTGCTCTCTTAGCTGTCTCCTGGTGCACCCTCATATGTGTCAGTAGACTGTATCTTGGAATGCATAGTGTGTTGGTAAGTTACTTAATTTTTTTTTTTTATTATAAATTTGGTGCCATATAGTAAAAAGAGCAGCTGATTCCTTTCCATAATAAAAATTTGTTTTTATGAAGATACTTTTAACTATTTATAACCCATGACCGCTCATAATATGAATAAAAATTAGCCTATGTGTTTATAAGGATCTATTTGAATACTAAATTTCATTCCTTTTAGCCATAAAAAAGTTTGTTTCAGTAATCTAATTAACTTTAGAAAGTTTCACTTTAATACTATTAGTAGAGTTATTGAATTTATACAAGTTAATAAAATATTTAAATTCTTGTATCTATAATAAATTTATTATGGTAATCTTGTGGAGGAAACAATAGTTTGTCCTTCTAAATATTTTTTATCTACTAAAAAATATTCTCTCACTTGCAATTTCATACCTAGTCTAATACCAGTTTTATTTTTTTCTATAAGTAAGGGTGGTTAATAAAACAAGCTCTGAAATTTAGCCTTGTACAAAAACTATCAACATATTGTGTAACCTTTTAATTCAATAAGACAGAAACATTGAAATTATTTCTACCATTGGTGTTTTTATTACAATCTTTAAATTAAAAATGTATGGTAAAAGATAATTTTTTTTTAAAAAGACAGATCAACAAATACAGTAATATCGAAAATATGGCTATGTTTTATTAGATATTTGTGGTTTTCTTAGATATAGTGGAGTAATAGAAAATCAATAACATTAGAATTTAATAAAATCCTTACATTACAGGATATAGTTGCAGGTTTGCTCCTATCAGCCGCTCTGTTAGTAGTGCTGATACCAATTGTTGACTGGCTTGATGGTCTCATACTTACTTCACACTATGCACCCTTAGTGATCATAGCTATCTCTATATTGGTGATAGTCTTCTATCCAAATGCCGACAAATGGACTCCAACAAGGTGAGATGTAAATGTAGAAACATAAAAGAATAATTTTTAAACTTATTTTTTTTATATTTATGATTCCACTGCCCATAATTTTTTTTATAGCTGCCAGTCTATCTGATTAAAATTGGTTATTATTGCCTATATACATGGTCATCTCTGTAGACTTAACATAATGCATTGTAACATCCCTGTACTACATATACACTCATATATTGTCCTTTATGAATGCAGTAATGCCATTATAATGTAAGTTTGTTCGCTCACGAAAGTATTAAAAGTACATACATAAATACATACATATCTGTCCCGCCTGTCTCCTATTAGGGTAGGCAGAAACAATGGAACGCCAAATGCTTCGATTCAAGCAAACCTCTTTCGCTTCTTCTACATTCAATCTTTTCATACACGCTCGCCGGTTAGATATAATATTAGCCTATCAACCTCAATAGATCGTGAAAGTGTGACGTCACGAGTCTATTGTGGTTGTGGGCATGCCTATCGTACCCACAATGATGCATTTGCGGTTGCTTCCTCCCTACAGTTGCTTGCTTCTACAGAGCACTGTCCATTGAATTTGAGGAGGCCAATGTTCAGAAGTAGATAATGAATGACTGAAATATTGAAAAACGTGTGAATGTTTATCTAACTATTATGTACACAATATAGTACGATAATAACATTCATTATCTTGACGTTGTCATCTACTCCACTGTCTCTATTTGTGTTACTAGGGACTCGCTTCGATTATTGTATTTAGGAATAGATTTGGGGGGGAGGGGAGGCTTAACAAGACGCATATGTGATCTCAAACTTGGCTTTGCCTACATTTGATAACTTCGATCCTCATTCTGGGGTGGGCACGAGACACTTCCTGGATGGTCTTGGCCCATCCGGGCCACTCTCTAAATACGCCTATGGCTCTGACTTAGTAGGTATGCAAATTAGGATGTATTGTACATACAAAACGTCAATAAAATATCTATACTACAGTGAAACTCGTATCAAAATCCGTCGGTGGTAAAAGAGCGAGAGATGTGTACAGCGACTTTATTTTATACTATTGTATTGTAAAATCTTTATTGTACATAATTTACATTGGACATATTAAAATATTTAATATACAATGGCGGACTTTTCCCATAGAGGGATCGTCATCTTAACCTTTCCTTTCCCGTGGGTGTCGTAATAGGCGACTAAGGGAACTTAATGTTCAAGGGACAGGCAGCAACGTTCGTTTAAAAATATCAAAGCTTAATTGCGGTTGCCAATCCGCTTGTCAAGCGTGGCAATTACTGGCAAAACTACTCATTATGGGGGAAGCCTATAGTCAGCAGTGTACAAGTAACGGCTGGTATGATGACGATTCGCTATATTCGTATACCTTACTCATGCGCACCTCATATCATAGTTATTGATAAACTTGAATGTTATCTGAACAATGTTGGTTTTATTACGTAATCTATACAGAGCCGTATGTTAACCGTGTTGAGGCTACGAGGCAATACATGTTATTTTTTTTCTTTACATTTAATTTGTTTTTTTTTTTTTTGTTTTTTAACATGTCAATCCTATAAAATCTAAACAGGTTATTTACTATTATAATTATAAGGCAATACACATCTTGGTCATGAAAAAAAAAACTTGGCCCTATTACCTCCTTATTCATAAAGTCGTTAAACCTCTTATAAACTTATTTTATATATTGAAATATTTTGTCTCTTTCTTTTGTGTTAAATTCTCAGTTTGAATGAAAGTGACAAAACAGTGTAATAGGTAAAGTACCCAGCCGTTCCTCTCTAACCTTACCAAAAACGTTAAAAGGGTCGGCAACACGCGTGACAATTAGAGATGGGCAATCCACCTGGGTGGGTTTAAAGTCTGGTGGGTAAAAACCGGGTGTTTTGGGTTTATTGGGTTTAAACCCCATAAACACCCAAATTTTTGGGTGTTTATGATTTTGTACTTCATCATCGTCATCTCAGCCGCAAGACGTCCACTATACTGGACATAGACAATATTATTATGCAGCCTACAGAATAAAAAACTTTTAATTTGATTTTGAGTTTATTAAGAAAGAGATGAAAGTAAAATGTAAAACTACAGTCAATCACTGTCAGATTCAGAGTTATTACAAGCGATGAATTGTATAGGTTCGATAGGCTCTATTTCGTCTAAACTGTTATGTTCATTTACTTGCTCAATGAAAGCTTCTAAGGTATTTTCTTCATTAAACTGAATGTCCTCGCATTCAGCTTTATGTTTAAGATTCCAGTTATAACAAATGAATGAAATTTTTTCAGTTCTTTCAGTTGTAAGTCGATTTCTTTTGTTATTATGTATGTAGCCTTGGATACTAAAGGAACGCTCAGTGGCTGCCGAAGTACAGGGAGCTGATAGAATACGAATCGCTACTTTGCTTAACTCAGTGGAACCACAAATACCTTTCCACCATATTAGGGGCTCAATCCTTGGTGTTACAGGTTTGCTACCAAAGTAGTATAAAAAAAGAGCTTTAACTTTTTATGAAAAAGGGAATTAATGTACATAAATATAATAACTTATCCGGCGTTCCGTTTTGAGTTATACGTATACATAGACAACTTTGGTGGTGTAGCAAATTTAATATACTGACTCACCTTCTGATTTGATGGTCACGGGGTTGATCCATTGAAAATATAGTATGTTCGTAAGTATTGGTCTGGGTCAGGGGTCAGCAACCTGCGGCTCGTGAGCCACCTGCGGCTCTTTGGATGTGACGCTGCGGCTCTTCAGTTCCATACGCAAATATTATTCATTTAAAAATAAAAAAATACTCTGAATCGATTAACGAGGATTAGGCATCAAACTTTGTATATGAAAGTACTATTTTTTGTTGGCAAGAAAACTATTTGTGGCTCTTTAAAAACTTTGAAATTTTGTAAATTATTGTTTTGATGAGTGAAAATGGAATGGTAACCCCGCCTGCGCTAACGGGATACGCTGGCGGAGCACCAGTGAAGGGTGATAGATGAGAATGAAAACAGGCCAGTTAGCCCATCATGATGAATTCATCAGGAATTAACCATGATAGTTTCCAGGGGGAACCGCAAGGAGGTTGACCTGGTTGGGTATATTGCTAGTAATAGGATTCTCAGTCTCCAGTACTAACAATCTCTTTCCCCCCATTTTGTAAATTGTAATTTTATACTCTTCCGACTTAAAAGGTTGCCGTCCTCTGGTCTGAGTGTTTCCTGTGTTTATAAAATGAAACTGGTCAAATGCTAGTTGTAATAATATATCGTGAATTCCGACATATAATAAATTTGTAACTAGCAATATATGATAGATTTACCTTATACATATATAATATAGTGCTTCTTATCTGAAATGTCAAGCTTTGGGCATAAACTGTGGTTAGAAACCACAAACGCGTTCCATTTTTTCCTTTAGACCTACGGAACTCTAAAAACGAATTACTGTAGCTAGTATCCCAACTTAACACATAGAATATATACTGTAGCATATATGTAAAGCCGCGGGAAATAGCTAATGTGTTATAATTTTAACATCGACAGAGGCGACACCACACTGATCGTGAGCGTGTGCGCGGGCATCCTGACCGGCTCTTGGACCAACTATCAGCTCGGGAATATGACGGCCAGCGCTGAACGACCACCGTACGAGATCATCTGGCCGTCAATCGAGATGCTGGGCTGCACCATACTGAGAACTATCCTCGGCTTCTGCGGAGTGCTAGCCACTAGGGCGGTGGGCAAGTCAGTTTCCTATGCGTTTGTCTGCGCGTTACTAGGGAAGGACAAGAACGAACTGAGGAACTCTGAAGATAGTCTAGATAATAAAAATAAAATAATTGTGGAACTCAGTTATAAATACTTCACGTACGGTATGATAGGATTCAATACGACGTACGTCCTTCCAAATGTATTTGATTTGCTGCAAATCAATAGACTGACATACTACACAGAGGTATGATTCCCATTTATTCGTGATATGAACAGTGATCATACGAATGTAAAACAGTTATTATAAATCGAATTCGTCCAAAAATATGTAGATATTAGTTAGACGATGTAGTTATCTTATTAATATAATAAAATTGTAACTGTATAATGTCTGTACATGGGATATATTTGAGAACAATTAATATAAAAGGTCTTAATAATACTAAAACAATATTTTTTTGAATTTTTGTCTGTCTGTATGTTTGTTCCGGCGTCACGGAAAAACAATTGCACGACATTTAAGTGTAGTTTTAACTTGTCTTTCTGAAAGTTTTACTCAAAATCTTGATACGTCGTCTGGAAGTGGTCAATTCTATTGTTTTTCCTACTTCTGAAGTACACGCGTCAGAAGTAGCGGGCAAAAAGCTAGTTTACAATAAAATCAGTGAAGTGCGTGTATATAGTGCCTGAAATATTTTGTTAATTCTTTTTACTTCTAATAACATATACAGGGTAGAAGGGACAGGTTGGTCAAAACGAAAACGGCTGATTCAAATGAATCATCTGAATTAGATTGTAGATTATTTTCCTACCGGAAATGCACCACAACTATATAATTAACAATTTTTAGTGTTGACGGCGCGCAATGTATTTGAAATTTTACGATCCATACGACGCGCGATACCTACATCGCCCATTCAATGGCACTTCTTCGTAGGTAGTCTCGTACACTTTTGGCGTTGATCTTACACAGCTGATTCCGCGCGTTGTGGTGGGATTTTAATAAGAAAATTACATTTCTGTTTTTGGTATTTCATAGTGTTTCACTATATGTAAAATATTATTATTTCTTTGTATTATGTCAATAATAACATAAATTACAAGATTTAAAATTAAAATATAGGAAAAAATTGAAAATTTTCTGAAAGACTTTCCACTGGTTTTCAATTCAGAAAAGTGGTCTGAATTCATTGTACCAACCTGTTCCTTACACCCTGTATTAATACTTATTTAATTTTTTTTAAATCTATCAAATATGCTAAACATTCACGATTATCCGTTGAAGACAAATATCGCAGAGAAATGAGGGTATTAAGGATTTCCCAAAATCCCTGTATATATATATATATATATATATATATATATATATATATATATATATATATATATATATATATATATATATATATATATATATATATATATATATATATATATATATATATATATATATCATAATTTTCCTGCGAACTACATAATGTTTATACGTGATGATATAATGTATATAATGATATGTTTATTATAAATATTTGTTTTTTTTTTTTTATTATAGGCAAAATGGATCAATCAGCCAGTCATATTTGATTTATTGCTCGATCGATTATGCCTATCATCGTATCAATGTGATGATTAATTCATTAAATGGTCGACTACCATTTGCTGTGTTACCTGTTATTTTTAAATTACTTCTATAAAATTATTTTTATGATATTAAATTTTATTTTTAACTTATCACTTTTGGGTTTTGGTATCTGTATTTTTCCTGATGGAATTGTATGCTAATATCGCCCGAGCTATTGGTATGGTCTGGCGGGGTACTAGTGAGGGATGATAGATGTGCATGGAGGTAAGTCATTTGGCCTATCGTGATAAATTGTGTGTGTGTTTCGGTTGGAAGGGTGGGATATGGCGTGAATTTACAGGGTACAGAGGAATAATACCTGAGTCCTCAGGAATGGCAACGCATGGGGGGGTATCATGGGCAAAACAGTATACTCTGTTGTCCATGGTACTGCTCATGTCTATAGGCGACGGTTACCACTTTCCATCAGGTGAGCCGTCAGCTTGTTTGCCATTCTAAGTTGTATAAAAAAAAAATCACTAGCGTTTAAACTCACTAGTGGTTTCCAGGGAAACCGTGCGGACGTTGACCTTCGACATGGTATATTGGGGTGAAGGGCATTTTTAGAAAAGGATGGAACCGCCACATTGCTTATAATATGCTTAATATGTCAACCTCCAAGTAGTTCTCTCTGAAAATCATCGTAGCAAATTTTTATGGAATTTGTCACAATAGGCTAACTGTTCTGCTTTCATTCTTCCCTTCATCTGTCAGTGTTGCCTCGCTAGTCTAAATAGATAGCAGAGGCGGTGTTACCATTCCATTTCCACCCATCAAAAAAATACAGGGTATATTGCTCTAGCAATGAGGTTTTTAACCTCATCAGTAATCCTCTCCCCAATTTTTTTTTTTTATTAACAATAAAAATACAAAGTTACAGAAATTATGTTACATTAGCATTCAGAAATCACGTAGGTTTATATTAATACTAAATACATTAAAACTATTTAAATTGTATTAAAACCATGCAAGAAGTATCGTTTTAATTTACACTTGACGTTGCTAATAGCAATGTTATCTCGTACATCGGTGGGTGGTTCGTTAATAAATCGAGGAACCAGGTAGTTAGCCGTACGCTCACCATAACAGTCATTTACGCGAGCGCTTTTCGGTTTTGGGTTTAGTTTGATAGTTTCTTGAAATTTTTGTATGTGCAAAAAGGGATTAGCCCAAAGTTTTTTCAACATATAATTAATTAGCGACCCGCCCCGGCTTCACACAGTTGCACACTACATCACGTCACATTAGAAACTTCAAAATTATCAGTGCTTCTCTACTATATTATGCATGTATTATACATATAAACCTTCTAGAATCACTCTATCTATTAAAAAAAAAAAACCGCATCAAAATCCATTGCGTAGTTTTAAAGATTTTGTTTTTATTTCGATTTATGCACACATACATATATACATATTATATATATGCTGATATGCATACCTATAGCAGATCTAAGCATACATAGGGACAGACAGACGGGAAGCAACTTTGTTTTATACTATGTAATGATAGCGATTAGTATTATTCAAACTCGGGCAGATTTGTAGTTGCGTGCGTAGCTAGCATTGGTAGGATATTTTTTTCAGCTTTCGAGTATATAAATATAAAAGTGCCATTTTTAAACTTACATTGATATTTCCCAGTGTTTGGATAATACATGTGTATATACATATATGAATGAATGAATAAATGAAAACTCTATTGTTCCCTTTAAAGAATCATTTTCTTTTTTTAATCTTTATTTATTTAGGGACTTTTGTCCTTTTAGCCTCGTCAGTCCCATCGTACCTTAATCAATTTTAGGACATCATTGGATATATTTTAACAATCAAAAGACACCACCAAATCAAGTAATATGAACGAATGTCGTGGGACAAAAAAAAAACTTAATAATCTATGGTCCGATGCAGGCCTCAAAAAGAGTCATAAAAGTTTATAAAAATTAATAATATGTACTCAATTTACTGTGATATTTTGGTTCCCCAGTGACTCATAGGACACTCAGGTGATGAGTGAACATTTATTCATAACCATCAATCATGTCCCACTGCTGGCCATAGACCTATATCTATCCCCATAAAAAACGGATACAGCTTTATTACCATATTGGCTAGAATGCTTATTTATTATACTTTTCAAGTTGTTTGATTCCGAACAAATACGACATAATGATTATTTCTTCATACGCTTGGGGATGAAAAAGAAAGGTGCTAGTAATGCCCGCTAGTATGATATTTAAAAAAATACAGATTTGTAAAGACGATCCGTATATAATGTATATAATTATAATAAAGGTATTGTAAGTACTGGGGGTCTACCATAGAATGAAATTCCGAATTTTCGGGCTCAATTTCGTGTTTTGTCCGTACCCAGTCGAAATCGGCTCAGTAAATGGAGCTTAACATTTCTTTTGTCATAAATTCTATCATAACAGTCCAAAGGAACGATATTTTAACATTTTTAATATTTCCAAATGGCATGTATTATGTAATTTTAACATGAAATTTGTACATTTTTGTTCGGCCCCGAAATTTCGGAAAATATTTCATGGTAGGCCCTCTGGTTTTAATGAACAAACAATATATTATTAAGAAGAAAAGAGAATAAGACATTCTGTGCATATGAGTTCACAAATAAAGTTCTAAACATGACAATGATGTTTAATACCTACAGTAGGATGGTGGTTACAGTTTTCCGATACGTTTACTTAACACCCTGTATATTAAATTTCTCGAATATGAAGTCTGCTTGTTGATGAATTGATATGATTATATAAGTGTATGCCATATTTATTTAACCCTTAAGCCTTAGTTTATCAGAATTAATCTGCACCAGTCACGTGTCAAAGTGATGACGTTTTGCATTTTATGTATCTAATACTACTGCGTACTGATATGCACTAAGCACTTGGTCTAAGCTACTTTTAAATGTCGTCATAGTCGTAGAATACTGACGGATCTGACAAATATTACATATATAGATCCGTCAGTATTCTACAACTGTGACGATATCTTCTTTTCATTTAAGAGTTTCCTCTTATCGGTGCAACTAATTCATGCATTTTCTTCCAGCCAGCTCTATCCCAGGCCATATACATATCCTTGACCTCATCTCATACGACATGACACCTAGTGTTCCTTTTATCTGTCCCATGTAGTTATTCCTCGGTTTTCCTATTTCTCTTTTGCCCTCTATTTTTCCTTCTGCTATGCTCTAAAAAAATCGTCATGTCGTATAATGGGGCCCAGCATTTTGCCTCTTCTATTCTCTATTATTTTAATTAATGTTCTATTCTCTATTATCACTCTTTTCAGGACTTCCTCATTCGTTAGTGTGAGTGAACATTCCTTTTCCACAATACTTATTTATTTATTATTTATTTAGTTATATTTGTAATCGATTTTTTCATATCAACCGTTTTTTTTAATGGGTGATAATGGAATGGTACTCTTCGCCTGCGCTAACGATATACGCTGGCAGGGCCTGGTGCTCCGTGTGTGGGATGATAGGTGTGGATGAAGGCAGGTCAGTTTCAGGTTCAGGCAGGAATTCAGCACGATGATTTCCAGGGTCCCTACCCTGGAGGTCAACCTGACAGGGTATTTTGATAGCAATGTGATTAGTAATGCAGACTACTAACAATTCCTTCCCCGGCCATATTAGCCGTTATCTGTCCACTTATGGATGTAGGCCTCCCTCATGGACTGTCATAAGGAACAGGAGTGTTCCTTATGGCAGTTTACCATCGGGGGGATTTTTGCCGTAGTTACCACGTTTGGCAGGCGGATAGACAACCGCAGTTAGGATTTGGTGATGTTTTAAGATGGACGCTGCTGTCCATCCCTTGATCATTAAGTTCCCTTAGTCGCCTCTTAAAACATCAATGGGAAAGTGGTTCATTTTGCGCCGGGTCCATACAGGTAAGGTAAAATAACATAAAAAAAAATACAACCGAATTCAGACCTCTTTTTGAAGTCTGTTAAAAGCGTAGTAATCATATTATTAATTTGATTAATCCCCTTTTAAATATGTGTAGGTATATCTTACCCATCGCGTTATCTTTACTTGAATGTTACCGAGCACGTAATCGGATTATAATACTAGATCACAATTAGTATTTACTATTGCGGGTGATAACAGAAATGAGGGTATGAGAGATAAGCGTTAGATAACTAAGTACAGTTATTTTTTAATGGACGATAATGAAATGGTAATCCCGCCTGCGCTATCAGTATACATTGGCGAGGCTAATGAGGATGAAAAGGTAGGTCAGTTAGCCCATAGTGATGATTTCAACGATAAATTGATAGTTTCCAGGAGGAACCGCGGAGAGGTTGACCTAATGGGGTATATTGTTGGCAAAATAGTTATAAATCCCCATGACTAGTAATCTCTTCCATCCCGAAGGGCTTGCCATGTTAACTTAGACATGGGGGGGGGGAAGAGATTGTTAGTAATGGTATCTAACAGTTCCATTGCTAGCAATGCACCCTATCAGGTCGACCTCCACGCGGTTCCCCCTGGAAACCATCATGGTTAATTCTTACGGAATTCTTCACGATGGGCTAACTGACCTGCTTTCACCTCATCTATTACCTTTCATTGGTGCTCCG